TCATATGGATAGGTTACATCTCATAGAGCATACATTGTATGATATACACGATATACCACCTATTTCTCTATTTGGAGATACAGAAAGGAATTTCCCTTTATAATCCTGAATCTCATGTAGCTAGTTCAAGAACAGGCATTTGGGTATCACTTACAGAATTAATCCCCTATTCCATTTCAATTTATTTTAATGAGGGCTTTGTAAAGTCTTTGCTATCAAAATAGTCACAAATAATTTCCAGATTAAAGTAATGCAACTATGATCATTTTGTTCTTCCATTGAAAAGTCTTGGCATTCAAAGCCCTCTCATTCTCCAATCAATCAAGCTTTTCTACTTCCTATTCTTTTGACATACCCTGTACATGGTGCCTCTTTGCTTTTATTCAAGCAGATCCTATCCACTGACAGTGCACTCTCCCTCAACATCAATACGAATTCACGAAAATGTTTTATTTTCCAATTAGTCTATGCCATGTGTCAATGAAGTAATAACTAACAATTTAGAACATTTTATAGAAGCCAGCCAGTCTGCTATATCTTCATATGTATTAACTAATTTAATCGTCACAACCACCTTATGAGGTAGCTACAACTATTTACTTCGCTGTATAAGAGATGAAACTTAGGGTAGATAGGTTGAAGTGACTTTCTCAAGAATACTTTATTAATGACACTTGTGAAGAATGGTAAGACCTTTTCAAAGCCAGCTATGGAGATAGCTTTTGGGACTATGGCAGTAAGGTCTGGCAATGGGGAGTGAGATTGGACTCAACTCTAACTCCCATAAGGACAAGTGGGAATTTATAACCAAGAAGCAGGGCAAGGAGCAATGGATGAAAAATTACTAAGAGGACACATAAAGGATAAAGGATTTCTGGCTAAACTTACCTGATAGGATTATTGCTGAAGGCAGGCCATGGTGATAAGATATTGAGGGTGGTCTGATGCCAAGGGTGGGGGATATTCATTAAAGTGATGTGGCAGGATTCTTGCTCCAACTGGATTCTGTAGATGGTTCTCAACTTACAATGACTTGATTTTATGATGATGTGAAAGCCATACGTATTCAATGGAAACATACTTCCTATTTTGAATTTTGCTCTTTTCTCAGGCTAGTGATTTTGCAATATAAGACTTTCTCCTGGTGCTGGGCAGTGACAGTGAGCTGATGCTCTCAGTCAACCATGCAATCACGAGGAGCGTGCTTAAGGTAGGCTGGGCTAAGATATGATGTTCAATAGGTTAGGTATGTTAAGTGAACTTTCCACTTGGAATATTTTCAACTTATAATTTTTTTTTTTTTTTTGCATTGTAACTTCATCCTAAGTCGAGGAGCATCTGTACTAGAGGAAACCCCAAGATCAGGCCTCGTCAAGCAGAGGACTCAGAGAAAAGCCTGACTAAAGTTTTGGTCAAATAAGAGAGTGCATGTTAGCCCTATTCAAGGTTGCTGTCATTGAGAGGGGATCGTATACATACATGTCATAATTCTATTGTCTCAGGACCCTGGGATAGGAACTGTGAGATAATCATTCTTGTGTCCCCATCTCCATGTCACTACCACCTAACAATTAGCACTAGGCCTTGTGTATAGCAGTGATTTAGTAAGTATCCAATGAATTCAGGATGGCTTTATAGGATTTTCTCTTTAGTATGTTGTCATGTCTTCTTTATGCCTTAATTTGTAATAGTCTTAAAGCAATAAAAAAAGCATTTCAGTTTTGAGGGGGTCAAATATATCAATGATATTTTTAAAATGCTATTTCTTCTTTTTGTTTCTTTTCCTTTAGTAGTACTCTGTTTTCTAGAAACTAGGTATTTACTTCAGGTGACTCCTTTTCTTCTCTTAGTTGTAACTTGACAACTGAGAATAAAACTAAGAAAGGATTTTGAGGCCAGTGCAACAAATACAAATTTGTTAATTGTGTATTAACCAAATACAATTGCAAAGGGTTATTAAATATTCATTGCAACGCTGTATTTCAAATGTCAGAAATCCATGTCAGTAGCTGAAGGCATATGGTTTTGTCAGATTTTAAAGTAAGAAAGATATTGTGTGTTTTTGTGAGCATAGATGTGGTTTAGTCTCTACTATCCCTTTTTTTCTTTGTGGCCCTACAATCAGAAATGTGAATATGAGTATGCTGATATGTTAGGGAAATGAGAACCGTAAATGAATCTGACCATTTTATAAGATGTTTTGTATTAGACTGCAAAATTATTCCAGTTGCAAACATATTTCCTGATCACTCCCACAACCTTTTAATTTCCCTTTTCTTCCTTTTCTCCTAAGATCAGACAGTGTGACCTGTTTATTTTTGTTTTTCCCTAAACATTAAGATCACTAGGTAGAGCCCAAAGAGAAAGGAACTCCTAATACCCTCATGGGAATTTTTGGAATAACATGTGGATAAATACAGGGCATTTCTGTGGTAGCCAAACAGATGACACCTGTTTGACATCACCTGATCTCTGATTGACAACCCTTAGTTTATAGTAATGCCTCCAAGTCAAAATATTTAGAATTTATCTGCAAGTACACATCATAGCACAGTTTAACAACTGCAGCACAATAAAAGAGATTATATTTACTTTCAAAAGTCACTGAAATATTTTTTGTTAACATTTCACTTCTGAGTAGTGTCTAATGCGTAGTAATATCTTTGTCAACAAGCTGTGAATTTCCCTATTACTCTTCTAGGAAGAATAGGTTCTGTCTGGTTAGTTGATTTGTTCTTGTCTGAAACATCTTCATTTAGTAGCAGGGAAATTGTGATTTAAAACTAATGGAGTTGGGAGGCTGAGGCAGGTGGATCACTTGAGGCCAGGAGTTCTAGATCAGCCTGGCGAACAAGGTGAGACCACCTTTTCTACTAATACTACAAAAATTAGCTGGGTGTGGTGGCATGCATCTGTAGTCCCAGCTACTCAGGAGGCTGAGGCTGCAGAATGGCTTGAACCCGGGAGGCAGAGGTTACAGTGAGCAGAGATTGTGCCAGAGCACTCCAGCTTGGGCAACAGAGCAAGACTCTGTCTCAAAAAAGAAAAAAAAAAAAAAGAAACTAATGGAGGTGTGGGTGGCCATGTATTGATAATTTTTGAAATATGTTTCTCTGTATTCTCCTATTTGAAATTTTCCATAATTAAAATAAGTAAAAATAATAGAAGTGAAGAGAAACACTTGCTACTTTTTAGTTGAAACTATAAATGGAAATAGGTAAAGGCACAGGTTCTGCATTCCAGTATGCCCTGTGTTAGCAACAGCCAAGAAACGCTGCTGTACAACAGGCTGAGTAGGAGACGTCACTCAGGCTGACTAATACAGCATCCAGCTGCTTACTTTAATAAGAAAAATCAGACGTGAGCCTTAATGTTAGAGCATCAGCAACAATTGTGTTCTGTAGACAGTTAATTTAGACACAACCCAATTCCTACTACGTCTGAAAAATAAGATCAATGTCAATTTTCATAGATCAAAATTTGTTCAAGTTTTAAAAAAAGTTACACGGGCAATGCCAGTTTTCTTGTATATTTTTCCTAAATGACATTCAGAATTTTTACTCATATCCCTGTGGAAATCATAGTCTGCCAACTCTCTTAAATGCCTATTTTTATTTTCCTTTACATAACACTAAGGAGTTGTCAACTATCTTTCAGAAAAACAAAATGAAAAGGATTTATATGATATATATATAACTGTTATGAGTCTAAGACTTTGTATAGACATTTAATTATCTAGATCACTTATTTTCCTACGTTTTGTACCATTATTTTTTTCTTTTATTCTTCTCCCAATATGCAACATTTTAGGTTGTTCACAATTCATTGTAATCAATTTGCCATGCCCTTCAATCTTCTCTTTTTCTCATTTCTTAGCCAATTTACAAGTCCAGATTAGCCACATATGTTGAGTGTGTGGATCTCCAAAATTATAAACTACAAATGGCATAAGTTTGAGGAATTCAAATAACTGTCCAAACTCTATCCTCAACTGCATTCAACAAAAATGAAAGAGAAAAGACTCCCTTTCTTTAGGCTCTAAAAACATTTTCGTAGAAAGCAGACTTAAAGTCGTCCTGCCACTTCTTTTACCTTTTTACCTTTTAGGCTCTTCAAGACCTAAATTCTCCAGGCCTCATCATCTTTCTCTTTCTTTCTTTTTTGGAAATCCATTTTGGATATATAATAAATATGTGGAGGAATAAGGTATGCCTAAATGTGACAAACCAGAATCAATGTATATTTTGAATCTCACCTGCAATTTTGAAAGTCCTATTAATTTAAAAAATTGTAAATATCTTAATATTCATGATAGCTTACCGTAAGTCTCCCTAGAGGCAATGAAAATGGGAATCTCAAGAAAACTAAAACCACCATACATCTTGGCTTCAGAGACGAAAACGGGGGAAGAGGATTGGCTAGTTATCAACAGAAGGGTAAGGAAAAAAAAGTACAGAGAAAGAATAGACAAGGTCACAAAAGTGGCAGAACTCTAAGGGCCAATACATATCCACTGCTTCAAGTTTTTCAGCCATGCTCCATTCTCTGAGATTTTTGGTAGAGCTTCAAGAACACTGGTCTCCAAAGTCTTCCTGACAAGCTCTAGGAATGCTTCTGCATGAAGATCTTACCTATTTTTCTGGGTCCCATGATCTCCCTACATGATTGATCAACCTACTATTTCAACTCTTTCAAGCCTTTGCACAAATGTCAACTTCAGTGAGGCCTCTATTTAAAAACTGACACCCTACCAAGTCCTTTCCTCATTTCTGATTACTCCCTGTGAATTTACAACAGCCTACTCCATAACAATCATGATAGACTGTGTGAATATGCTCACAGTTGGGATGTATTATTTATAAATTAAAAAAGTAGATTATGTCCTAGCTTATGTCCCCTTTGAACACTCTTCGCCAGGCACTTCTCCTTTAAATCCTGAGTGGAAGGGGCGGAGCTATGTCCCAGGCTCCCTAAGAGGAGCTTTCCGTAGGCTCCGCCCACTACGCCTCAGTGAGCGCCCCAAAGAACCCTAGATATGGTCTCTTCCTAGTCCGTTCCGGAAATGCGACTGCGTACGGGCTCGCCACGTGATCGTGACGTCAGCGCGCCGGCGCGGGCGCCGGCTGGCCGGACGCCCAAGGCTTCCGCGACATTTTCGGTGGGTGAAAGGCCGCTTTACGCCACGGTGTTGCTGCGTTTGGGTTCTCTTCTGCAGGCTCTCTGCACCTGGTCACGATTCACAATGTACCACAATAGTAGCCAGAAGCGGCACTGGACTTTCTCCGGTGAAGAGCAGCTGGCAAGATTGCGGGCCGACGCCAACCGCAAATTCAGATGCAAAGCAGTGGCCAACGGGAAGGTGAGGTTCTCAACGGTTGCCCGTTTGCCCTGGTCTCTAAATTCTAAGCAGCTGCGGGGGCTCTTCTGGCTCCCAGGACAATCTCATTCCCTCAATTCTCTGTCTCCACGGCGCGGAATGCGCTTATCTATTTAAACAGGCGAGCACCTTGCCAGTTCCGTGGGTGCAAAGACGAACAACGCCGTCCCCGTAGTAGAATGGCAGACAAGTCTTTGTAACGTGGCGAAGGAGAGACTAAGTAGTGTGCTAAGGTAGTGCCTGGCAAGAGCCGTTCACTTGTCAAACGGTGATGTCGGGGAACATTTTACCCAGTAGCTAATGCGGAGAAAATGGGGAAAGGACATTCTAGGCAGTCAGAGCTACCGTGCAGAGTGGGAGGGAGGTCGGAAATTACAGAACTGGTGCCTGGACGTGTTTGTGGTCGTATATGGTCGAGGTTGAGTACCTGTGCAGGAATTGCTTGGGAGGGTAGGAAGAGAACTTGTAAGTGGAAGTGAGGCGTTTAAAATTTCTACTGAAAGGATGAGGAACCTTTGAAATACTTAAAATGGGAAACTAACCTTATCAGATTTCCGTTCTAGAAACCGCTCTGGCAACCTCGTGGTGAATGGGTTGGATGAGGGAGGGAGACAGGAGACCGAGTACAAACCAACTGACTAAAGATGGTTTGGACTATGGCCCGCTATGTCCCTTCTGTTACGGCTCTCGGACTGGTAAAATCTTTCCTACGAGTTCCACTCCAGCAAGTGTTCAGCGCCTCCAAATTATTGATACAGAGTAATTTCGCTTTCTACTTTAATTCACATCTGTTTCAAATAACTGATTTTAGCACCTGAATTCGTTTCGTAAGGGCTGCCTTAAAATCACCACAAACTGGATAGCTTAAAATAACAAATTGAAACATTTGCCTTTTTTTTTTTTATACCTCGCTTGTGTGACATAATGACTTACTGAGAAACGGATGTTGAAACTTTCCAATCATTTTTTATTTAAGTGTATCTATTTTTTAATTTATAAATAATGACATCACAACTGTGAGCATATGCACACAGTCTATCATGATTGTATCTTGAAGCAGAGGTCTAGCTGACATTCCGAAATGTTGCGAAATGATGGTACAGTTTTAGTTTATTAAATATTTTCCTAAAGCTATTTTGTGTAATGATAGGGGAATCTATAAAGAGAAAATGAGGCGTGATGTATTTTCCTTCGTTGGAGATATAAACTAAATTTAATCTAGTTAGAGAAAAATATTTTACAGTTGTTTAATTCACTGAACTTGTGTTGTAATTGTTGACCTAAAGGTTCTTCCGAATGATCCAGTCTTTCTTGAGCCTCATGAAGAAATGACACTCTGTAAATACTATGAGAAAAGGTTACTGGAATTCTGTTCAGTGTTTAAGCCGGCAATGCCAAGGTCTGTTGTGGTAAGTTACGGTAGTGATGAAATATGATGTCCTTTAGTTGGCTTGTGAAATCTGACCTCTTCTAAATTTGTAGCTAAGTTCCCAGTCCATTTTAGTTTTAAAAATCACCTTTGTTACATTTAATTAGCTTTTGACACATTATATATTTTTCAATACAGGCCTTAAATCATGAATTGCTGTATCATCTCTTCCAACGTATTTCAAGTCTCATTTTGTAGTAAAAAAAAAAAAAAAAAAGAAAATTGAGGTCAGGTAATGGTATAAATAAAGAAAATTAACTTACTTTCCTCTAAGTTTTCAACTAGTGAGCCTTAGAACCAGAAATAGAACTAGACTACTGCTTTTCCAACTCTATGACACCCGGTAGATGTTTGAAATAATACATTCATTCATCATTTGTAATCATATGCTCCAGCTGAAACTGATGCCATAAGATTTTTTTTTTAAGCTTTGATTAGTAGAAGCTGGAGTTTTATCTTTGGTTAAAAAGATTGTCATATTGTTTCAGATGTATGATTCTGAGGACCTGTGGGTTTTTTTTGTTTGTTTGTTTGTTTTGCTGGGGTGCACAACAGTGAGGAGAAACAGGTAGCTGAGATTAAAAAGCTGAAAGATAAAAAAGTGTAATGGGGGAGTGTTAAAAATGTTTTTATGTTATTTTATCAGGTTTGTTGTGAAGACTAAATGTAAAAGTCTATTTTAAGTAAAAGTCTGTTAAGTTTTAAAGCTATATACAATGCGATTAGCTTCTAGGAAATTATCTCCATTTTTATTGTTGAAAAAACATTGAAGTATGTCGAAAATATTAAGTCATATAACTTATTTTTTTTTCCATATGAGATATCAAAGATTCAGAGAGTTTTAGGTGTACTCAGTTTCTGTCTTCAGATTTGGCTTATTCTTACAAAAGAATTGTAAAATGAGGCAGTAAATTTAAGTGATTTTATCAAATGAAGAAACCTTTAATAAACTTCTTTATGGAATTTATCTTTAAATAACATGTTTGTGATTGGTGAATAATTTTTTGTTTTAAATAATGACAAAACTAAACTTTTAAAATATTTAAAAGGAAATATTTTTTCTATCATAAAATAGATAAGTGGTTATTTTATTGGTTCCAGCCAAGTGATATAATGGTTAAAAGTACAGGCAGGTGTTAACTTGAATTCATTCCTGTTCCTTATTAGCTGTGTGACTTAGATAAGTCAGTTAACCTTATTGATAACTCAGTTTCCTTCTCTGTAGAGATAGTAATACTTCACTAAGCTGTTGTAGGGATTAAAACATGATGATAGTTTAGAGTCTGGCACATGGGATGCATTCAGTAAATAGTAGTGCTGCTTTTGCTGTTCAGTTAGCAGCAGTGATCACAAATCATGGAGTGGACATACGGTTATGTAAAAAATATGAAGTGACTTTAGAGAGAAGGCTTATTACCTTACCCATGTATTTTTGTTAATATTTTTATAAGATTGGTTAATCTCTGAACATTTGTATTTTTTCTCCTTGAATTTAATTCAGGTCATTTTTGGTACTCTGAATTCTGAAACACACATACCCTATTTTTAAATCCAGTGACCATAGGAAGGATTAGCCAGAGTAGTCTGGGGATAGACAACCAAAGGACGGGAAAGGGTCTTTTGGCTATGGCATTTATGTAGTAATTCATCAATTTATTTTGATTAAAGAAGAATTAATATTAGCATTTTTATGGGTAATCTCTACAAAGAAACCTTTCCATAAGTAAATTCTGTTTCACAAAATTTAACAGGTAACATTTGTGAATACTGATGATTTTTTTTTAACCCTTAGGGTACAGCTTGTATGTATTTCAAGCGTTTTTATCTTAATAATTCAGTAATGGAATATCATCCCAGGATAATAATGTGAGTATGTCTGTCTAATTTATTTTCATTTAAAGAGACTTTTATACTCTTTGAGTATTTGTGGAAGGAGAGTTGTGTCAGAGAACTGACTTCCTAATCTAGGTCATTTAGACTTGAATTTTTTTTTTTTTTTTTTTTTTAATTCAGAACTTAAGATCTCTATTTACCTATACTTCGGTAATACTGATGGCATCTGAACTTCAAGTTGTCCAGATTCAAATTTTGTTTTTCTCAATTAGGTGCTTCTCTAATATCTCTCCCTGTTAGACGCCTAAGTTCTTCCAGTTGTTCAGACCGAGAATCATTTGTAGTGGCCCCTCTCCTTCCACATGCAGTCAGTGTTTGGATGCTATAACTTCAGATTCATTTCAGTTGAACAAAGGTCTCTTGTTTCTGCTCTCTGCTGAGCACTGTGTCTATCATTAAAGTTGAAATTAGTATGAGACTCATCAAAGAGCTTGTTCTCAATGACAACGTACCTGTTTTCTCTTTTCGATTCCCATTTCCTCCAGTCAAGATTAGGCCCTTGATCTCACTTCCAACCTTGATTTTTGCAATAGCTTTTTTAACTAGTTTCTTATACTGAACAGCATGAAGTGGCCAGGTAAATTTCACACATTTGTCCCTGAAATAATAATTCCTTATTCAGATGCCCTCAGAGACTTCCATGGATGGGCTTCCACAAAGTTCCTTAAACCTACTTTTCTTCCCATGCTTATATGATATATAAGCGGGTATTGCTTTATTTTTAACTCTTTGTCTACATGATACAAAGTATTCTTATTCCTCAGTTAATTTGTTTTTCCAGATACTTAGGTTGTCCTGCATGACACTGTCATTGAGTGAATGATGGTTGAATGCCATGGCAATATTAGTTGGTTTGACCTGATTTTATAGTCTGCCTTATGTCTCCTAATGGATGAAAGTGTGAACAAAGAGCTATCTTAAAAATATATATATATTCCTGCAATGTCTACCAGTCACTTTTGAATATCAGACAATTATAGAATATACTTTTAGAAATAAATTAGATATTTCTCAAAGTATATGCATGTTGTTCCACCCCCCACCCCCGTACCTCCTTATTTTTTCCTCTAGGCTCACTTGTGCATTTTTGGCCTGCAAAGTAGATGAATTCAATGTATCTAGTCCTCAGTTTGTTGGAAACCTTCGGGAGAGTCCTCTTGGACAGGAGAAGGCACTTGAACAGATACTGGAGTATGAACTACTACTTATACAGCAACTTAATTTCCACCTTATTGTCCACAATCCTTACAGACCATTTGAAGGCTTCCTCATTGACTTAAAGGTAAACTTGATGTAAAATAAACGAACACATCGCCTTTCCTATTCTTTAACCAAGAGAATCCAAAATTTTAAAACCCTTAATTGTTATACCTTGGATATACCACAGGCCCTCGATGACATGTGGATCTGACCTGGTCATCGAGGGCAGTTGTTTCCAAACTTCTGTGGGCATGAACAGACATCTGGAGAAATTGTTAACTCAGATTGTTGGGTGGGACTTACAGAGTTTCTGATATAAGTGATCTGCAGTTCTGCTCCAGGGACGTAATGAAGACCATGGAGAATTTAGAACAGTGCCTATAAAGGTTTGAGATAACTCTTCTGACTTTGAATTATATTGTCATGGATATTGGCATGATTTAAAGAACCATAAATTCTTAAACTTAAACTAGAAGATTGCTAAGTCACTTCTATTTTTAGAGGTTTGTGAACTTGAGTCACTATGTAGGCATCAATAATATATGTAAACAAACATTGACAAAAGCAACCTTTAGATTGTTTTGTTTGGCTCTGACAGAATAGTTGGATAGTCTAAGTCGAGTCAAACAGAAATCAGAAACTGGTTTATTCATATTAGTTCAGTGGCTCAATTTGGGTACTTTTTATGTGCCAGACTTTGTGCTTGAGGATGTAACCAGAAACAGGAGAGGAACAGTCTTAACTTTTGGGAATTTTACAGTCTAACAGTTTTAGATAATCATATCCAGTGTGCTAAGTGATACAGAGAGGAAGATATATTTTAGAAGGAGATAACAGATTAAGGGGTAAGGAAAATATTCTGAGAATGTATCATTTAAAATAAAATTCAGAGTAGGAATAGGTGAGAGAAGAACATCCCAATCAGAGACTTCACTGGTCAAAAGCTCAAATTCAAGAAACCATTCTTTGCTAAAGAACCTGGGCAGAGCCTAGCAATGCAAGGGGAAGAATATCACAGACAACAACTACCAGTGTGGAAGGCAAAGTCTAGAATGTGGAGACAATGATACACATTTCCAATACAGCAAAGAGAAGCCAGTGAAAGGTTTAAATTTAGAGTGGCATAATTAGATTTTCAGCTTTAAAACATCATGTTGGCAACCTTATGCATCAGGCTGCATCAGGTATTTATTGCACATCTGTTGTGTCAGGCATACGTGGAGAAAGGATTTGAATGAATTAAGGGAGTAATGGGGTACTGTTAAAGGATTCCAGGCAAAAGATGGTGGTGAGCTTCACTCATATGAAGTTCATGAACTCTGGGCTTGAGTTACAGTCTGAATATCCCTTATCTGAAAAACTAGGGACCAAAAGTATTTGGGATTTCGCACACACACACACTCAAAATCCTTATATATTTTGTTCCACTTTAGGTTCTGGGGTGCATGTACAGAACATGCAGGATTGTTGCATAGGTACATACATACATGGCATGTGGTTTGATGTCTCCATCCCTCTGGTCACCTGTATCTGGCATTTCTCCAAGTGTTATCCCTCCCCATCCTCCCTACCCCTCTATGTCCCTCCCTTATTCACCCCACAACAGACCCCATTGTGTGATACTCCCCTCCCTGTGTCCATGTGTTCTCATTGTTCAACACCCGCCTGTGAGTGAGAACATGCAGTGTTTGATTTTCTGTTCTTGTGTCAGTTTGCTAAGAATGATGGTTTCCAGATTCACCCATGTTCCTACAAAAGACATGAACTCATCATTTTTTATGGCTGCATAGTATTTTATGATTTATATGTACCACATTTTCCTTGTCCAGTCTATCATCAGTGGGCATTTGGGTTGGTTCCAGGTCTTTGCTATTGTAAATAGTGCTGCAGTGAACATACAAGCGCATGTGTCTTTATAATAGAGTGATTTATAATCCTTTGGATATATACCCAGTAATGGCATCTCTAGGTCCTTGAGGAATCGCTACACTGTCTTCCACATGGTTGAACTAATTTACACTCCCACCAACAATGTAAAAGTGTTCCAATTTCTCCACATCCTCTCCAGCATATGTTGTCCCCAGATTTTTTGATGATTGCCATTCTAACTGACATGACATGGTATGTCAGTGTGGTTTTGATTTGCATTTCTCTAGTGACCAGTGATGAACATTTTTTCGTATGTTTGTTGGCATCATATATGTCTTTTGAAAATTGTCTATTCATGTCCTTCACCCACTTTTGAATGGGTTTGTTTTTTTTCTTGTAAATCTGTTTTAATTCTTTGTAGATTCTGGATATTAGTCCTTTGTCAGATGGGTAGATTGGAAAAAATTTTTCCCATTCTGTTGGTTGCCGGTTCACTCTAATGATTCTTTTGCTGTACAGAAGCTCTGGACTTTAATTAGATCCCATTTGTCTATTTTGGCTTTTGTTGCCAGTGCTTTTGGTGTTTTAGTCATGAAGTCCTTGCCTGTGCCTATGTGCTGAATGGTATTGCCTAGGTTTTCTTCTGGGGTTTTTATGGTGCCAGGTCTTATGTTTAAGTCTTTAATCCATCTGGAGTTAATTTTAGTGTAAGGTGTCAGGAAGGGGTCCAGTTTCTGCTTTCTGCACATGGCTAGCCAGTTTTCCCAATACCATTTATTAAACAGGGAATCCTTTCCCCATTGCTTGTTTTTGTCGTGTTCGTCAAAACGTTCGTTGTAGCTGTGTGGTGTTGCCTTTGAGGCCTCTGTTCTGTTCCTTTGGTCTGTTTCTCTGTTTTGGTACCAATACCATGCTGTTTCGATTACTGTAGCCTTGTGGTATAGTTTGAAGTCAGATAGCATGATGTCTCCAGCTTTGTTCTTTTTGCTTAGGATTGTCTTGGCTATGTGGGCTCTCTTTTGGTTCCATAAGAAGTTTAAGGTGCTTTTTTTCCAGTTCTGTGGAGAGGTTCATAGGTAGCTTGATGGGGATTGTGTTGAATCTGTAAATTACTTTGGACGGTATGGCCATTTTCATGATAATGATTCTTCCCAACCATGAGCATGGAATGTTTTTCTATCTGTTTTTGTCCTCTCCTATTTTATTGAGCAGTGGTTTGTAGTTGTCCTTGGAGAAGTCCTTTACATCCTTTGTTAGTTGTATTCCTAGGTATCTTATTCTCTTTGTAGCAATTGTGAATGGAAGTTTGCTCATGATTTGGCTCTCTGTTAATCTGTTATTGTTGTATAGGAATGCTTGTGGTTTCTGAACATTGATTTTGTATGCTGAGACTTTGCTGAAGTTGCTTATCAGTTTAAGGAGATTTTAGGCTGAGATGATTGGGTCTTCTAAATATCACGTTGTATGCAAATAGAGACAATTTGACTTCCTCCTTTCCTAATTGAATGCCGTTTATTTCTTTTTCATGCCTGGTTGCTCTGACTAGAACTTCCAATACTATATTGAATAGGAATGGTGAGAGAGGGCATCCTTGTCTAGTGCCAGATTCCAAAGGGAATGCTTCCAGTTTTTGCCCATTCAGTATGATATTGGCTGTGGGTTTATTATAAACAGCTTGTATTACTTTGAGATACATTCCGTCGCTACGTATTTTATTGAGTGTTTTTAGCATGAAGAGCTGTTGAATTTTGTTGGAGGTCTTCTCTGCATCTATTGAGATAATCATGTGGTTTTTGTCTTTGGTTCTGTTTATGTTGTGGATTACGTTTATAGACTTCTGTATGTTGAACCAGCCTTGCATCCCCGGGATGAAGCCTACTTGATCATGATGGATAAGCTTTTTGATGTGCTGTTGCAGTTGATTTGCCAGTATTTTATTGAAGATTTTTGCATTTGTGTTCATCATGGATATTGGCCTGAAGTTTTCTTTTCTTGTTGAGTCTCTGCCGGGTTTTGGTATTAGGATGATGTTAGTCTCATAAAATGATTTTGGAAGGATTTCCTCTTTTTTGATTGTTTGGAATAGTTTCAGAAGGAGTGGTACCAGCTCCTCTTTGTATGTCTGGTAAAATTCGGCTATGAACCTGTCTGGACCTATGCTTTTTTTGGTTGGTAGGCTATTAATTGCTGCCTCAACTTTACCCCTTGTTATTGGTCTATTCAGGGTTTCAACTTCTTCCTGATTTAGGCTTGGGAGGAGGCAAGTGTCCAGGAATTTATCCATTTCTTCCAGGTTTACTGGTTTATGTGCATAGAGTTGTTTGTAGTAATCTCTGATGGTAGTTTGTATTTCTCTGGAATCTGTGGTGATATCCCCTTTATCGTTTCTTATTGCATCTATTTGATTCATCTCTCTTTTTAATTAATCTGGCTAGCGGTCTATTTTGTTGATCTTTTCAAAAAAAACAGCTCTTGGATTTACTGATGTTTTTGAAGGGTTTTTTATGTGTCTGTTTCCTTCACTTCTGCTCTGATCTTAGTTATTTCTTGTCTTCTGCTAGCTTTTGAGTTTGTTTTTTTTTATCTTGCTCCTCTAGCCCTTTCAATTTTGATGATAAGGTGTCGATTTCACATCTTTTCTTGCTTCTCATATAAGCATTTATTGTTATAAATTTCCCTCTAGACACTGCTTTAAATGTGTCCCGGAGATTCTGGTATGTTGTCTTTGTTCTCATTGATTTCAAAGAACATCTTTATATCTGCCTTCATTTCGTTGCTTATCCAGTCAACATTCAAGAGCCAGTTTTCAGTTTCCATGAAGTTATGCTGTTCTGAGTTAGTTTCTTAATCCTCTGTTCTAATTCGATTGCACTGTGGTCTGAGAGACCGTTTGTTATGAATTCCATTATTTTACATTGGCCGAGGAGTGATTTACTTCCAATTATGTGATCAGTTTTAGAGTAGGTGCAATGTGGTGCTGAGAAGAATGCATAGTCTGTGGATTTGGGGTGGAGAGTTCTGTAGATGTCTATTAGGCTTGCTTGGTCCGGATCTGAGTTCAAGCCCTGGGTATCTTTGTTAATTTTCTGTCATGTTGATCTGTCTAATATTGACAGTGGAGTGTTAAAGTCTGCCACTGTTATTGTGTGGGAGTCTAAGTCTCTTTGTAGGTCATTAAAAACTTGCTTTATGTATCTGAGTGCTCCTGTATTGGGTGCATATGTATTTAGGATAGTTAGCTCTTCTTGTTGCATTGATCCTTTTACCATTATGTAATGCCCTTCTTTGTCTCTTTTGATCTTTGTTGGGTTAAAGTCTATTTTATCAGAGACTAGGATTGCAACTCCTGCTTTTTTTTTTGCTCTCCATTTACTTGGTAAATTTTCCTTCATCCCTTTATTTTGAGCCTGTCTGTATCCTTGCACTTGAGATGGGTTTCCTGGATAGAGCACATCAGTGGGTTTTGACTTTTTATCCCATTTGCCAGTCTGGGTCTTTTTATTGGGGCATTTAGCCAGTTTACATTTAAGGTTAATATTGTTATGTGTGAATTTGATCATGACATTTTGATGCTAGCTGGATGTTTTGTCTGTTAATTGATGCAGTTTCTTCATTGTGTCAATGGCCTTTACCATTTGGTACATTTTTGGAGTGGCTGGTACTGGTTGTTCCTTTCTATGTTTAGTGCTTCTCTCAGGAGCTTTTGTAAGGCAGGCCTCATGGTGACAAAATCTCTCAGCAATTGCTTGTTTGTAAAAGATTTTATTTCTCTTTCACTTATGAAGCTTAGTTTGGCTGGATATGAAATTCTAGGTTAGAAGTTCTTTTCTTTAAGGGCATTGAATATTGGCCCCCACTCTCTTCTGCCTTGTAAGGTTTCTGCGGAGAAATCCTCTGTGAGTCTGATGGGCTTCCCTTTGTGTGTAACCCGACCTTTCTCTCTGGCTGCCCTTAGCGTTTTTTCCTTCATTTCAGCCCTGGTGAATCTGAGGATTAAGTGCCTTGGGTTTGCTCTTCTTGAGGAATATCTTTGTGGTGGTCTCTGTATTTCCTGTACTTGAATGTTGGCCTGCCTTGCTAGGTTGGGGAAGTTCTCCTGGATAATATCCTAAAGAGTGGTTTCCTTGGATTCATTCTTTCTGTCACATTCAGATATGCCTATCAAAGGTAGATTAGGTCTTTTCACATAATCCTATATTTCTTGGAGGCTTTGTTCATTTGTTTTCACTCTTTTTTCTTGAATCTTGCCTTCTCGTTTTATTTCATTGAGTTGATCTTCAATCTCTGATATCCCTTCTTCTCCTTGGTCAATTCAGCTATTGACATTTGTGTGTGCTTCGTGAAGTTCTCCTGTTGTGTTTTTCAGCTCCATTAAGTTATTTGTATTCTTCTCTAAGCTGTTTATTCTTGTTAACATTTTGTCAAACCTTTTTTCAAGGTTCTTAGTTTCTTTTCATTGGGTTAGAACATGTTCTTTTAGCTCAGAGAAGTTTGTTATTACCTACCTTCTGAAGCCTGTTCCTGTCAATTCATCACACTTATTCTCCATCCAGCTTTCTTCCCTTGCTGGTGAGGACTGTCATCCCTTGGAGGAGGAGAGGTATTCTGATTTTGGGTGTTTTCATCCTTTTTGCGCTAGTTTCTTCCCATCTTCATGGATTTACCTACCTGTGATCTTTGTAGTTGGTGACTTTCAGGTGGCGTCTCTGAGTGGACATCCTTTTTTTTGATGTTGAAACTATTTCTTTCTGTTTTTTAGTTTTTCTTCTAACAGGCTCCTCTGCTGTAGGACTGCTAGAGGTCCACTCCAGACCCTGCTTGCCTGGGGATCACCTGCAGCAGCTGCAGAACAGTAAGGGTTGCTGCCAGTTTCTTCTTCTGTTATTTTTGTCACCGAAGGATACCCGCCAGATGTCAGCCTGAGCTCTCCTTTATGAGGTGTCTCTTTGGATATACAGTGGTCGGGGAGCTGCTTGAGGAGACAGTCTGTCCTTTATAGGAGCTCAAGTGCTGAGCTGTGAGCTCTGTTGGTTCTTTCAGAGCTTCTGGGCAGGTATATTTGAGTCTGCTGCAGCAGAACTCATAACTGCCTTTTTTCTTAGGTGCTCTGTCCTGGGAAGGTATTGCTTTATTGATAAGTTCCTAAGGGGCTGCTGCCTTTTTTCCAAGATACCTTGCCTAGCAAGGTGGTAGCCAATCACAGTCTGCCAGCAGAGGCGTTGCTGAGCTTTAATGGGCTCTGTCCAGCTGCTGTGTGAACTTCCTTACGGTTTTGTTTACAGAGGTATAGTTAGAACTGCCTCGGTAATGTCAGACTGCCTCCGAATGGTGGACTACTTCAGTAATGTCAGACTGCCTCCGAATGGTGGACTACTTCAGTAATGGCAGACTGCCTCGTAGTGGTGGACTGCCTGGGTAATGGTGGATGCCCTTCCTCCCCCACGGAGCTGAACATCCTGAGTCCAGCTGCCCTTGCTGTGACCTCTCAATCCAAATTGTTTCAGATTGCTGGCTCCCTGCTGAGCCAGACCTCCTGGCTCCCTGTTTCAGCCTCCTTTTTTTCAGTTGAATGGGCGGCTCTGTCTCCCAGGCTTTCCAGGCGCCAGTTGAAACGGCCACCCAGCTTTGGGTGAGTTTTTGTGCAGGGACCCACTGCGCCAGTTGAAAGAGCCGTGCTGGAAACTCATGGCGTTTTTCAGCCTGGGAATCTCCTGATCTGTGGGCAGTAATGACTCGTTTGGAAATGCGGTGATCACTCGCCCTCTGCGTCGTTCTCACTGGGAACTACACTCTAGAGCTGTTCCTGTTCGGCTGTCTTAGATCCTCCCCAACATGAGTTCCGCCTGGCTAATTTTTTTGTAGAGATGGGCTTCTGCCATGTTGCCCCGGCTGATCTTACTTTTTTTTTTTTTTTTTTTGGCAATATTTGCGTTGTACTTACTGGTTGAGCATTACAAATCAAAAATTTGAAATGCTCTAGTGAGAATTTCCTGAGTGTCAGTGCTCAGAAAGTTTCAGATTTGGGATCATTTCAGATTTTGAAACTTTTGGATTTGTGATGCTCAGCCTGTAGTTAGGTAAAATCAATAAAACTTGAGGATTGACTGTTTATAGAGATGAGGACAGAGGAAGAACCCCCAGGTTTCTGGCTGGGCGAGAGTTTTTTTGTTGTGCTTTGTTTTATGGAAAAGACTGATGCAAATTTAAATACTGATGCAAAGAGCTAGTAGTGAAAGAAAGATGAAATACAAAATAGTCTCTTTGGAGTAAGGTGGAAGGGGTTGGCATGGGATTTAGAATCAAGGTAGAAGAACTGGGCTTAGAAAAAATAATGGCTCCTTTTAATCGTGGAAAGGGAAATTAAGGGTTAGGATACTGTTATGCCTCAGGATTTGGTGTTGGCAGGAAATAGCACCTTTCTTTGGTAAGAGATAGTTTTCTGAGAGTGATGGAGTTTCTGAGAATTATCAAGGAGATAATTTAAGATGGAAAATATTTATGTAGTTACTAAAAAATAGGAGGGTAAATTTGCTGTGGAAATACTGTGGTTGCTTGGCAGTGTTTAAGAGCCTTGCTGAGGTCAATGAACATGAGTTTATAATAACATTACCAGACCTCTGGTTGTATGGTTTTCTCTGGCAGTACTCAGAAATCTTTATGTAGTTGCAAAGTGAAGGTTTGTTGGATTCAACCACTGTTAAATTTCTGGTTTTGCAAGAAATGTATTGGCAGCATATTGGGGCAGGGAATTCGGGAGAGAAACGAGGACCAGAGGACACTGTTAAGTGGGAGCTAGTACAGGGATAAGTGATCAAAGGTTCTGAGGAGGGAGAACAGCTGTGAAGTAAATGAGTCAATATATTTTAAAAGGAGGCATTGTGATCAGAGTAGTGTGTCTAAATTTCTCATATCACAGATAAGGCATTTTTGCACAGTTGACTCTTGAGTATTTTGTTTCAGAGTGTAGAAAAGGTTTCTTAGTGCTTTAAGTGTTGAATATTGATATCTGAGGGCTTAGGATTTATGGTTTATTTCATAGGGCATAAAGAACTGTCAGGAAATATGAGGTCTTCCATAGCTGTTGGGCATATTCTAAAACTTTTTCTGTGAGAATCTGAAGTCTAATGTGTTCTAACCAAATCGAAATTCATTTTTATTTACTTCTTCCTGAAAGTAAATTTTAAGTAGAAGGAATTTATATAAAAATAAGGTTTGTTTCCCAAATGTTGCCTTACGTTTGAATCACATGGGTTGTTTGAGAGACGTATTTACCTGGGAATATGTATTTCTTGGCTCTACTTTAGACTCAATGGAATCTTTAAGAGTTTCCCTTCCCTCCCCTTCCTATTCAGGTAGAAAATGACCAAGAGAAGAGATTAATGTAAATTGAGGATAATGTCAATAATTTCGGATATGTTATTTTAAAGCACATATTTCTTAATGAGTTGTGTAATTTTAAACTCTTGTTACTCCATTTAAACCCTTAGAAATGGTAACATTTGCAAACTTTTTTTCTAGACCCGATATCCCATGTTGGAGAATCCAGAGATTTTGAGGAAAACAGCTGATGACTTTCTTAATAGAATTGCATTGACGGATGCTTACCTTTTATACACACCTTCCCAAATTGCCCTGACTGCCATTTTATCTAGTGCCTCCAGGGCTGGAATTACTATGGAAAGGTATTAATTAGTGTTTTAACTTAGGTCAAATTCAATCACTGGGTTTATTTATTCATGGAGTCATTTGTGACTAGTCTGTAATATCCCTTGTAGCAGGGATGGTTGGTGAAAAGAAGAAATGAAATTGCCTTAGGGAAATCTTTAAATATTATGAAAAATATTGTTGAACTCAGAGGATAACTTTAGGATTAAAGTAGAAGTAAACCAGGTGATCCTTGAGAAATTGATAAAGATATCAGTATATGACAAATTTAGAAGTTCCTCTGAACTGGTGAGGAACTCGAGTGCAGCAAATATGTCTGCCTTGTTTTATCTTCTGTAAAGCATGTATGACACATGGAATTAAATATTGTTCGCTAACTGTAACAAACTGCAGTCAGATTTTTTTAGTTTCTATATTATTTCTCAATTTATGGCCTTTGAAGTTCTGCTTGATTTTATTCCTAGAAATAGCTGAGGAAGGATGATAAAATTTCCTGAAGTTAATTAAAACTATTTTACGTGACTATAATCCCTTATCCATAATTTCAGAATTCATTGATAAGGTGGCAGCAAATATGAACTGATTGTATTTAGTTTTTATTTCACTTAATAGGAATATTTGTGTTTCGTTGCAGAAATGTTAATATTCCTGATTATAGGATGCTATCCCACACATCACTTGGGTATTTCACATTTCATAATATATACACCAGATAACTTTTCTAAGACATGAATAATTATTAATGAGAATTTCACAACATATCTGCATCTAAGATAAGGGATTATAGGTTTATATTTGATGATATGCCTCTTCTCTGCAAACACAACTCACCAACTATATATAAATATATACATTTAATCCCAAAGTGATTTCTATTTACTAAGCAAATATTCACTGAATGCCTTCTATGTACTACTATACACTGTACTACACTTTAGGAATATGAATATGAGTAAGATAAAGCTCTAAGTTAGGAAAGATAGTCATGTAAGTTATTGATGTATATGGAGTTAAGATGTGGACTTCCATTCATTTTGGGGAGAGTTGGTTATTTTTTTGAGACAGTGTCTCATTCTGTCACCAGGCTGGAGTGCAGTGGCACAGTCATAGCTCACTGCAGTCTCAACCTCCCAGGCTTAAGCAATCCTCCTGCCTCAGCTTTCTAAGTGGCTGGGACCACAGGCACACACCACTACATCCCACCTAAACTTTTTGTTTTTTGTAGAGTTGGGGTTTTCGTATGTTGCCCAGGCTCATCCCAGTCACTCCTAGACTCAAGTATTCCTCCTGCCTAGGCCTCCCAAAGTGCTGAAATGACAGGTGCACACCATTAACCTAGGCGGCAGACTTCATTCTGTAGGGAAACAAAGGCCTTCTTTTCCACAGTTCAAATAACCAAAAGTTTGATTAATCTTGAAGCACTGTATATAGTGCATAAATAAATTCTTCAATGATGAGATTTTAATTATGTAGAGTGGGATAAAGCATTCTTAAGTCCAGATGAGTTTACTGTATCTTAGAAGTTTAGTTCATTATAATTCCAGATAGGTAAAATTGAAATTGTGATACCTTTGGCTCCTTGCAAATTTAATAGGCTTTTGTAACATTCTGGTGACTACATATTTGGGGCTTTTTTTTTTCACCCGTTAGGGAAATGCTTTCCAATCATTTTAAACTTACTGATACAGGCAAACTTTTGGCATATGTGGAAATTGAGTTTACATTTATTGCTGATTTCAGAAGGGAAAGCCCTCATGCTGTTGTCATAGTCTGGATAATGCCTCAGATTATTAATCATAGGATTACTGTTATTTCTGAGTTTTCTTCTCTTTCTTGTAGACTTCAAGCTTTATTTCTCATCTGCTACTTTGACCCTTTAGGTATTCTTACTTGCCTGTGGATTTTATTAAAATATCACAATATTAAAATTCAGATTTGAAATTGGATTAAGAGTTGCTAGGCTGGGCATGGTGGCTCATGCCTGTAATCCTAGCACTTTGGAAGGCTGAGGTGGGCAGATCACCTGAGGTTGGGAGTTCAAGACCAGCCTGACTAACATGGGGAAATGACGTCTCTACTCAAAAAAAAAAAAAAAAAACAAAATTAGCCGGGCATGATGATATATGCCTGTAATCCCAACTACTCTGGAGACTGAGGCAAGAGAATTGCTTGAGCCTGGGAGGCGAAGGTTGCAGTGAGCTGGGATCGTGCCATTGCATTCCAGCTTGGGCAACAAAAGCGAAACTCCATCTCAAAAAAAAAAAAAAGTTGCTAACTTCACAGAGAGAAAGAGGCTAGTTAGCCAGCTCTTAGCACCAAACCTATGACCTTTATGCATAAGAAATCAAAAGAAAATGAAGAGTAAAAATAAAGGAAGATGACAAAAATAGGAATTTTAAGTAGAAAGGGAAAGGAAAAAACTAGTTATTTTGAATTACTAGTAACTGGAAATGGATTAGTTGTCAGGGGATTTCCTGATTTTCAGATCCAAAATTTATTTCCACAATAGATGATGAAGATGTAATAACAGAGTTATCAAAACTTGATAACAAAATGAAAATAATCTGGATAAAGACAGCAACAAGAGTTCTTAAAGTATTGCTTTCTATTTTTATAACTATTACATCCAAGAGAAAAATCTTTTTTTGCATTTCTGTTTGAAAAACTAACACTTTGAGAATCTGTTCATTTGGACTTTTATCAATTATCGGTCAAGTTCAGGTATGTAAAACCTTAGAGTAATTAAAAATTTAAATATAGAAATTATGTTTTTATACTGTCAGTGGCCCTGAGAAAAACAAGTAATTGAGTTTTATATCACATTGATGGAGAAGTTTAACACCTTTGATTTGGACTTGATGCAAATAAGTATTAGGTGATAGTCTTGTTGGTTTGAATGTCTGTTACTCCAAAGAAGTACAACTATAGGTAAAATGGCTTTCATATTAAGGGGACAGAAAATACCAGTGCCAAATTCCAGTTTTGCTGCTTCCTAAGTTTATTTCTTTGGGCAGGTTACAAGATCATGACTTGCTCATCCCTGTAACTGAGATTCCTCTTCTGTAAAATAAGGTTAGACTCATAGGATTTTTATATTAAAAGGTATAAATTTATAAGTATTGGCTATTACTGCTGCTTTCATACTATTTCCTTCTGAAGGTTTATGCCTGAATATCACTAAATTTAAATGAATATAAACATCTTTTAATGTAATTGGTAATAAATCCTTAAAACATAAGAGTTATGGATTATATTTTTATACATTTAAACATTTTAAAGTTACCATTGATGAGATGGAGGAAAATAATTGATGATGCCATGCTTTTGCAATGTGCTGTATGTTTTCAGTAGATTAAATTTTTTCTTTCCTTTACCAGTTATTTATCAGAGAGTCTGATGCTGAGAGAGAACAGAACTTGCCTGTCACAGTTACTAGATATAATGAAAAGTAAGTAAAACAGAACACTCTACATATGTTCTTCCATTACAAAGTTCCTTTCTAAATAAATATCTTGGTGTTTAACTAGAAATATAACTTAGATTTTTGTTTAGATTTATTTTCATTGAGTGACTATATTATGGAAGCACTGATCTAGAACAAATAGAAGGTACATGGAAGTAGTGTTCATGTATATAGAACTTATGCAGAGTGAAACTATAATTGGATTTAGAAAGGGTTTAGAGATTGACAACAGGATCCTTTTAAAGAATAAAGAAACATACTAGTCACTAAAAAAGATGTAATGGGAACTAACTTAAGGATAATGTTTAAATTTGGAACTTCTATTTTGTGGATAAATCATTTTTTTAAAGAGAAGGAGATTTGACACACTTAGAATAGGCGCTGCTAAGACAACAGAGAAAGATTTAAAGATGCTCACCTTGAAAATTAGAGTGATGTGGCTGTAAGCCAAATGAAGCTGGCAGCCACCGGAAGCTGGAACAGGCAAGGAATGGATTCATCCCTGGAGCCACCAGAGAGTATGGCCCTTCTAGCACCTTAATTTTGACCAATTGAAACAGATTTCAGACTTCTGGGCTCTAGAACTATGAGACAATACATTTCTGTTGTTTTAAGCCAACAAGTTTGTGATAATTTTAATAGCAACTTCGGGAAACTAATGTAGCCCTGCATAACCAAGAATTATCCCACCCAAAAAGTCATTAGTGCTAGTGTTGAGAAATTCTGTCCTAAGGGTTGAGTAGAATCTCATCTTATTGACTGAATTAGCCAGCATTCTCTATTCTTCATTCTTGCCCATGGCACACTTGTTGATGGCTGCTAAGCTACTCTTTGGGGTTAAAGCTCAATCATGTTTGTTCCCAAACCTTGTTGTCTAAATTGTTCTTAATTAGATTTGTAATTTAATTAAATATTAAACCAGTGTAAGATTGAAGATCTTGATCTTGGATGACAGCAAATGGGTATACATTTTATATATTTTGTGTTTTAAAAGTTAAGATGCTTGAGGACATCTGTATCATTTCTTGATTCTCTGCTTGAAGTGATCTTGAGAACTTTCTTTGAGAGTGATGGGCTCATGGTTTATGAATTAAACTGTAGCTCTTTAGTTATACCACTAGGGGGTTCACTTTCAAAGCTAATTGTGAGTTGACTATAGATAATAGGAGCATAGAATTTAGTAGGTAAAGGGAGTCTTATTCCACTTTATTTATTTCATAGCTTAGTTTTATTACTGATTTCTTCTCAATACCTTTATTTTGCTCCACTTATTTTAAATGAAATAAAAATAGCTCTTCATAAAATATTTATAGATTTAACGTACTAAGATATTTGTAATGTTTGGAACAGATAGTGTCTTATGGGCGTTGAGTCACAAGTATTCAGTTGAAAATACTGCTTTGTTTGCATTATGAAATAGGTCAGTATAGTCATTTGGATCACAAGGCTGGCAAATAATAATAATAAGCCAATTGGCGCTCTCCTCATTCCCCTAATAGGTTTTGAAATTTGTGTTCTTTGGTTTATTATAGTTGAATAAAAAGATCAGCTAGAGGATGCTTTTGCAGTTATAAAGTTACTGATATAGTAGTTTGCTTTTAACCTAAAATGGACATTTTTTTCTATAGGGTCTGTTTTTTGTTAAAGCAAAGGATTATTAACAAATTTTTACTAAGCATCCTCCCTTTATTGCATGTTGTGTAATAACAGTTTCCTTTGTAAATGGGAAATATACTCTTAGTCCACTATCTGTGGAATAGAATATTATGAAGATGGTTGGTGATAGAGAACAAAGCATGTTCACTAAATCATTTAGGGATTTTTTTAAGTCTTAAGCTGAACAAGTGACCCCAGTAGGATTTGCAAAAAATTAATACTAGATTACACAGTGTGCTTTATGCTGTACATGGTATGGGCTAAACAGCAGAGAGCCATAATTACTTGAATTAAACATATGGTGCCTATAGGATTTTAAAGTAGAATGATGCAAATCTTGAGAAGAATAACCATGTCATTTGAAGAGTGTTTCGTTGAAAAGTAACAAGCTCCCTTACTATGGAAAGGTTTGCTTATTCAGTTTAAATTATTTTTTGTATCCACATAGGCATGAGAAACTTAGTAAAAAAGTATGAACCACCCAGATCTGAAGAAGTTGCTGTTCTGAAACAGAAGTTGGAGCGATGTCATTCTGCTGAGCTTGCACTTAATGTAATCTCGTAAGTTGATGTTGATCTCGACAGTGTTGATCAGTAGACATAACTTTTATCCAGTCCAGCTGGTTTGTAAATCATTTTATTGGTGTTTGCTCATTTAAGGAAAGCTGACTGATCCATTGTATCAGATTTTCTTTGTTGAATGGACATTTCTAATAGATTAAACTTAAGACCTTAATAGTTCAGCATTCACTGTGCAGTTCTGATCCTGCTGTGACTTGTGTTCTTTGGCTTGCATGCCCTGTCCTGTTCTGTTACTTGTCATGGACTCTCAGGGGTCAGGGTCTTCTTAAGGAATCCTTTAACCTTTTCCTGTCATTTTAATCTTTGGTCTCTGCAGTTGTGATATTTGGTCTGAAGAACAAATGTCCTTTCCAGACTTCTGTTAGCTAAAGTAGGGAAACTTGGCATACATACTTTCTTTCAGTGCCAAACTTTATATTGAAGATAAAGCCAATAGGAAAATAGGCTGTTTAATCTCTTCTTGTAGACATAAGAACACCTTTAATGTTTCTTAATTGATTTGTAAGCTGAATATGAAAATCACCATACAATTGGCAATTTATGCTTTGCAAATTGAAAGATCCATTGAAATTTTTAGGTGTTTAAGCAGTTGGGAATTTGGGCAGGTACTAGGAATAATGAAACTGACATTTTCTATTTCCTGTGGGATGCATTTTGTTGTTTAAAGTTATAACCTATATGTTAAAATTTAATGGGAGTTACTTGTGGCATCTTATAGTTAAGATGTATTTTGGATATTATTTCTATAACTGGTGAATATGTGCTGCTGGATACGTATGAAAAGCCAGAACAGCATTCTTAGGTCCTTATGTCAAGTACACATGACTTAAATTCCTATACAGTTGTAGTGCAGTAAATATCTAGGGACTTAGGAAGTGTGTAGAATAGCATGATTTAGCACAGAAGTTGAAATTGATGGATTTCATTCACTTCCAGGTTTGAGTGGTAACAGGAATTTTTCAGATTGGTTATAGAGAAGAAATGTTGGCTTTAATTAATGAAAGTATTGCAGCACTGCTTATGTTCTTTTTGCATTAATTTTGAAATGGGATTAGACCAGGAGTTGGCAAACTATGACCTACCAGACATATCCAGCCCACTGGCTGTTTTTAGAATACAGTTCTGTTGGAATATAGCACACCCATTCATTTATTTATCACCTATGGCTGTTTTCTTGATACAATAGAAAAGTTGGTTGTGACAGAAACTGATAATAGGACCTGCAAGGCCTAAAATATTTGCTGTCTCTTTAAATAAAAAGTTTATCCATCCCTGGATTAGATCACTGAACTATTAATCCTACCCCTTCTAGCTAAGTAACTGAATGGAACATAATCCAAAATTCCTAATTGCCATAGCTTATTCCAGATTGCCATCTGCTTTTTATTGGGCCAAGCAAATTCTGAGTATCTATGAGTATTTGAGGAGTCCTTCTCAAACTGTGAAGGACTTTTAAAAAAAACTTCACTAGATGTATACTTTTGAAAATTCAATAAAAAATGCATTACTGGAAAAGTGAAGACACAAAAACATAAGTTTTTTTGTGTGTCAAGTTTTATTAGATTCAGGTCATAAAATGATTATATCAAATTGCTATTAAAAATTTCTAAACACGGGCTGGGCACCATGGCTCATGCCTATAATCCCAGCACTTTGGGAGGCCGAGGTGGGTGGATCACGAGGTCAAGAGATCGAGACCTTCCTACTCAACATGGTGAAACCCCATCTCTACTAAAAATACAAAAAACTAGCTGAGCACGGTGGAGTGTGCCTGTAATCCCAGCTACTCAGGAGAAGGCCAAGGCAGGAGAATCGCCTGAACCCAGGAGATGGAGGTTGCTGTGAGTCGAGGCCACGCCATTGCACTCCAGCCTGGGTAACAAGAGCGAAACTCTGTCTCAAAAAAAAAAAAAAAAAAAATTTCTAAACACACGATTCCTATACTTAACTCACCACAAACTGGAAATAGTCATGGACCACCCCATGAGTTGTGCTACTTTAGGACTATTTGTTTTCCTTGATTTTCAAAATTATTTTACCTCTATTTTTCATGACACAAAAACTGTATTGTCATTGTCAGTCAATACAGGTGAAACCAAAGTTCCCTTTGATCAAAATCCAAATCTCTCATGACCTCAGAAGTAACTTAGTAGTTATTAACTTTTGCCAGCCCTTTCTCTGCACATATATCCATATGTGTGTATGAAATAAGTCGGTTTTTTTCTCCTTTGCATTAATTTTCATATTATACAAAGTGTTAATTATCAATGTTTTACTTTTGCCAGTCTGGCTAAAAAAGTATCACACTGGCATTTTAATTTGCATTTTCTTGATTACTATGGGGCACTGAAGTTTCCATGTTTAACAGTCACTTATTTCTTCTGTATTGCTTATTTATAGCCCTTGCCCAATTGTCTGGCATTATTTTTGTGACTTGTAGTGCTTTATAGATTCTATATACAGTTATCCTTCAGTATCCATGGGGGATTGGTTTCAGGACCTTCTGCTGATAACCAAAATTCACAGATGCTCTAATACAAAATGGCCTATTTGCATGTAACCTATACACATCCTCCCATAAACTTTAAATCATCTCTAAATTACTTCTAATACCTAAATACAATGTAAATAGTTGTTATACTGTATTCTTTAGGGAATAATGACAAAAAAGTCTGTACATGTTCAGTACAGATAGAATTTTTTTTCATATTTTCAATCAGCAGTTGGTTGAGTCCACTGATGTGGAACTCACAGGATACAAAAGGCTGATTGTACTTATTTACATATGATATATTCTATTGTTTTTCACAACCTTTTTTCCAAATACTAGTTTTTGCCTCAGCTCCCATCTCCTTTTTTGAGATAGTCTGTCTCTGTCATCCAGGGTGAGTGCAGTGGCTTGATCTTGACTCAGTGCAACCTCTACCTCATGGGCTCAAGTGATCTTCCCACCTCAGTCTCCCCAGCAGCTGGGACTACAGGTGTGCAACCACATTCGGTTAATTTTTAAATTTTTTTTTTAGAGAGGAGGTTTTGCCACATTGCTCAGGCTGGTCTCAAACTCCTGGGCTCAGCGATCTGCTGGCCTTGGCCTAAAGATCTGGGATTACAATGGTGAGCCACTGTGCCCAGTTCATTTTTTATTTCATGTTTTTCCTAGTTATCTGAAATACTTTTTATCACACATTAAATTCCTACTTCTGCACAGTCATTATTTTGATTATCTAGTCTGATCATTGATCTGTTAATATCTCACTTTAATTACCATAGCTTTTATAGTGTGCTTTGAAGATAGCACATGGTTCTTCTTTAAATTCTCTGCTATTTTTTCACACACTCTTTCCTAGGTCAGTGTTAGACTTGACAAGATTCCATGAAAAGTTTTATTGGGGTTTTAATTAGAATTGCATTAAATGGCTGGGCACGGTGGTTCATGCCTGTATTCCCTGCACTCTGGGAGGCTGAGGAGGGTGGATCGCCTTAGTCAGGAGTTTGAGACCAGCCTGGCCAACATGGTGAAACCCCATCTCTATTAAAAATTAAAAAAATTAGCCGGGCATGGTGGCAGGCACCTGTAATCCCAGCTACTCATGAGGCTGAGGCAGCTGGGAGGCAGAGGTTGCAGTGATCCATGATCGCGCCATTGCACTCCAGCCTGGGTGACAGAGTGAGACTCTGTCTTAGAAAACAAAGAAATGCATTAAATTTAAAGATTGATTTTAAAAGTATCATTTCCCCTACCCGTAACTCTTCATCTTTTTTCATGTATCCAGGCCTTGTTTTTCAGTAGATACATGACATTGCATATAGCCTTGCTAGTTTATTTTATATTTTTTAGTTTCTGTGACTGGTACTGGATTGCTTATTGATAGTTGCTTAATTATAGGAAGAAGAGGAAAGGCTATGAAGATGATGATTATGTCTCCAAGAAATCCAAACATGAGGAGGTATGTTTTACTCCAAAGATAAACTCTTAAGTCATTTTTGTTATACATTCTGGTGTGACTATACTGTTCAGATTTATTCTCCACGAGTAAAAACACTATAGAAGTAAAAGAATTATAGAGTTGTGGGTTTTTTCTTTTGCATACTTTCTTATGTACAGTGCAATTGTCCATTATTAAAGGGATTTTTATCTCTTCTGTCTTTACTTGACGAATCCTTCCTGTGTTCATAGAAAGCAAAAGGGATACACATACATACTAGAGTTTTGCTTTATTTCTTATTCTCCAAGGATTTTATGCTTACCCCCTTTTTAAAAACAAAAATTACACTTGTCAAGTCAGATAAGTGAATAATAATCAGAGGCAGAAGGTCACAGCTGTAATCTTTATTCCTCATTGGAGGAGTCTGGTGAGACCATGCCAACATTACTAACAGTGAAGTATTACAAAATTTCCTGGTTTATCTTTTGTAATCCACATAGGTAAAAGGAAGAGAATATTTTCCTAATGGGAGGTAAAAGGTAAACAATACTGGTTATGCTTCAGTGTTATCCTTACCACATTTTTTTTCCTTCTTAGGAAGAATGGACTGATGACGACCTGGTAGAATCTCTCTAACCATTTGAAGTTCAGTTGTCAATGCTAACTAATCAAGAGAAGTAGGAAGCATATCAAACGTTTAACTTTATTTAAAAAGTATAATGTGAAAACATAAAATATATTAACCTATTTGTTTTTTTCCCCCTTTCACAGTAACTTTATGTAAAATAAAACATCTTCAAAAGAGCTAGAATAGCACCTGTTTGGGATATTCTTATTCCATCATGACTCATATCAAATTAAAGCTGCAACTTATTTGCCTAATCATTTTTTTAAGCAAAATATGATAGGTAAACCTATGCTTTTTTAAAAAAAGACACCACAAAAACAATTCAGTAGCCACTTTAAAAGTGTTGCAAGGAATGTGTTTTGCCCTCTAGAAACATTTACAAATGGTTTTTTGAATGCCATCCTGATATATTTAGCTGTTTTTGCATTACTATTAAACTGCAGAAGGTATTTCAACTGTTAGATGAAAGCCAGTCATCTGGGTAATGGATATTACTTGTTTTCCTTCGTTACCTGAAAACATTTCCAAATGGGTTTTTTAAAATCAAATATATGATTTTGAACAGCTGTCAGCTAAAACTCTTAGGCTGGTATAGTTAAGTAGGTAGCAAAAAATTGTATACAGTTGTGGTTTTTTAATTTTGTTTTGAGGTAGGGCCTTGCTGTGTTGTCCAGGCTGTCTCAAACTCCTAGGCTCTAGCAATCCTCTGCCTCAGTTTCCTGAGTAACTGGGCCAACAGGCACACACTACCATGGCCTTATAAGTAACCTATTACATCTCCTATAAGTGAGTCCGTGTAAGTAGATTATAACAACAATTACTAGGAGTTTTGCAGATTAAATATGTTCAAGAAATTTAATTCAAATTGAAATGAGCTGATATAAAAATATAAAAGCACAGACTATGACAGCAAATTACTTAGATATGAATCATGGCTGCCTCTATTTCAGTATGTGACCTTGGTAAGTTATTAAACCTCTCTGTGCCACTTTCCCACACCGAAATATAGGGAAGACAATAATGCCTACTCCTTATAGGGTTAATTAGAATAGTACTTGCATACACTAATTATTCAGTAAGTGCTAGCTATTATAGTTGGAACCAAACTGCAGACGTTGGTATATCAAGCCAGATTTTTTCCAAGAAAACTGGCTGGAAGGAATTCTGAGAAATTTGTGTCCTGAATCTAATTAAATTGCATGAATATACACACCTCCTCAGTCTCAATACATTCCCAGGCTGTACTTTCCAGAAGGGTAGGTACCATTATAATTACATCTTTATATTTTAAGGCAGTACTTACTCTATGCATATTCATCTCTCTAACAATCCTTTATATTGTAGGTTTGAGTTTTGTGGGGTTTTTTTCCCCTTCTCATTCTGGAGTGAAAGGAATAAAATTCATGACATGAGATTTTGCAAAAGCAAAGTGGAAGAAGCCAAAAGTTATAAATCCTCCATTGTAGTCCTAGTTAAGTACATTGCTGCTAGGCTGTAGACGGAATTGCAAGATGTTCACAATTTGTCTCATTTTCCCTTTCAGATCGCCAAACTTTGGCATCAGAGCAAGGTCCACACTTACCACTGAAAATTTTCCCACCCAGCCCCATTAAAAAAGTTAAAGTTTGAGAGATTTTATTTCAACACTGACAAGCTAGTTACTACCTACAAAGGTAAGTAACAAGTTTCCATTTCAACTTGAGAGACAAATTACATTAAAATATAAGAAGCACAGGGTAAGTCAGGTTTGTGATTTTAAATAAAAGGGGAGAAGGATTTCAGGCTGAAGAATGACAGCTTAGTATGGCTAAAGATTGAGGAGCGATTAGTGGGAACCAAAATGCACAGCAAAAATATCTTGACTAGTTCATACCCTCCCTGTCGGCTATCAAGTAACCAAGGAAGGAGACCACCAGGGATACTATGTTGGTCCAAGTTCAGCTGAAAAACAGAAGGGATGGAAAAGAGGAAAGGAGAATAATTTGATCAAGAGCCAAGAAGGGAGAAAATGGAATGAATTGAGTTGATGTCAAGGAAAAGGAGCACAGGACTTTAGATTTTTGCTATCATTGTTGAACTATGATTAAGTCAAATAAGGTTAGCAGCTCCCATAGAAATAATTGACTTTTGTAGCTTGAAACTATTAAGCAGACATCTTTTAAAGCCTTAAAAATTTTTTCCCTGTATTTTATACATTGGAGGAATAGCATAAAGTGTTGCTCTTGGAGTCTAGGCCTTTCCTTACTGTGGGAATACCTAACCTTGGGTTCCTGTCTCACCCACTTTGATTACCAATGTCATACTGCCACATATGTTCCATATGTCTTATCTCCCCTGCACAATTATGAGAGGGAAGGAATTGTTGAATAATACAGAATTCTTTTCAAAAGATGCCATTAGTAAAAGTACTGATCTGAAGCTTCAGCTTCTCCCTGGGCCTTGCTCTGGTGCTAAGGTTTAAACTGCCCCTGAAGGAGGAAGAAAATAAACAAATGCTTAGCTCTATTTAGACAAAAGTAATCAATTATGCAAGATATCCCTTGGTTTTATTTTAACTTAGCCTTTGTGAATACTTCACGAAAATGCACATACAGAAGTAAATAAAACTATACAGTTGAACTAAATATCCAGCAGATACAACAAGTAGTCAGAAGTTCAAAGATGGATAAGTTAAGCAGCTGATGAGGTTGTCTGCATAATCAAAGGGGTAGCACAAATAATGAACAAATACGTTTAACAAAAGCATTCTAGTTAACATAAAAGAAATTGGTAGTTTATAAAATGGTTGCATGGGTGACATGCATTGATCAATACAATAAACCAGTAATATTTACTGAATTCAAACTATTTACTGTAGTAAACATTTAACAAAGCATTATGAGATCTAAATACAGTCTTTGACAATTTCAAAATAAGTAGTATGTTTAAAAAATAAAGCTGACGAGCAATAGATCATTTTATATATTTTCTTTCAACAGTTCCAGCAAGAGAAATAGCACAATGTTTTTTAAACGTATACAGCAAAGATTGTTCCTGTTATAATGACAAACTCTGGAAACTGTAAATACAAATAATCATTGAACAGTCAAATGGTCGTATTTCCTAATCAGGAAGTAATTACAGTGAGAACAGTCTGCAATCCAGTTATACACATAAGAGAATGCTTTTTTGTCAGTTGATTTCATAGTTCTTCCTCCAAGAGACAGGAAAACTTTGGCAACTGGGTGTACTGAAAATATATTTTCAAAGTTCAAGATACAGTCATAGCATTTCATTTTGTGAAAGGTGATCTGTAAACCAAGGCTCAGAGGTTGTTAAAGATTGATTCCATGTGGAAAAAGTGCAAATAGCCTGCACAGATAGCATACAAGGTTGCTGGCACAGTTACTCAACAGCAGAATCTTAGATTTTGTTTGCATAGCTCACACATCACTGGAATGTGGAAAGGTGTGCTGTTTTTTGGCAAGAGCAAAGGAGACATTATACTGATGTGAATTACCATACTGCACATGCCGAATCCATGCAGAACAGTGGGGCGAAGGCTGCTACCTGACATCATTGGTTTTTGTATACTGGTGTTGTTTTTGTTGAAGCAGTTCTGTTATAGCCAGAAGCTTTTTCAAGACGTGCTAGACAGAAGGAAAAATGGTATGCAAATAAATGAAACCTCAGTCAGCAATTTCAGGATGGAAACCTAGATTTGAAAAAAGCCGTATCAAAGTAAAGGGATTCATAAGATATTATCACAATTCCACTCAAAACGTTAAGTTTCTATTACTCAGTCATTGGCTGAGCATTTCTGGTCATAACTAAGAATTTTTATACCCTAAAGTGAACAGAAATTCATTTGTGCTTGGCATATTGCTATTTTTTAGGCCAGAACTATCTTATTTTGCCAGAAGCAGTTTACCTCTTTTTTAAAGTCTTCTATTTTTTATTTAATATCTAAGGCAAGCCATTTAATTATTTTCTAGGATTCTAGTATCTCAGGTTGAAGAGAACTCAGTCACCAAACTCAATGCTTTAATCGCTTTTACAAAATCCCTGCCGAATGGTTAGCCAGTGCAGTGACAGATTCACTATCTCCTGAAACTACATTAGAAAGTAGTCAAAACTCCTTGTGCTCACTTCCTTTCAGTGGCCCTTATGTCAGCTGAAGACATTCAAAATGTAATTCATTTTGTTCTAATACCTTAATTGACCTGGTTTTAAATCCCTTGAAATTCTAGTCCCTCTTTGAATACATCCTAATCTGTATCTGGTTAGTGCAGATGGCAGACAGAAGTCTATGTAAGTCTACTGTTTCCCAAAGTGTAGGCCATGGGTCACTTGCATGTGAATCCCTATAAATTCCTGTAAGAGTTTGTTAGAAGTGCAGTTTTCAAGGCCACGCTTCAGAATCTCTGGATGTGAAATCTGACAAACATCCCAAATAATAGTAATTTGTTTCACAATTTCAGAATCACTTTGGTTATGCACTGTATCTGTATATGACAGAAGACACAAACTGAAAAAAAATCAATACTGACTTACTAGCAGTTTTCACATATGCCACCAAAGTATATTAACAATGTTTTCCCATACAATCAACATTCAGACTTAAGAGCAAAATCAGATGTTTTTCAGTTTTAAATGTACATCATTTTAGTTTGGGCCTGTTATTTCTGTCTGCTGAGATCTTTTGTTATATGATTCAGAGTCTCAAAAATTTAATATAACCAGATAAAAATGTTAACCAGAATTCAGCTGTTTATTACCTCTCAAGAGTGTTAACCCTTGAAATGTCGCTGATAATGAAGGCTGGCAAACACTTACCTGCTGTGCACCACGCTCATTACTGAGTGTTCGAAGTTCATCTGAATGAGCCACACAAATCTCATGCAGTGCTGCTAAATCACGGGACAGGTCAGTTCTAGGATGCTCTGTAGTGTCCGGAAGTTCAGGCACATTCTTGAAGGGAATCATAAAATTGCATTTAGAAATACAAAAAATAAAAATCTTATTTTTTTTTTTGAGATGGAGTTTCACTCTTGTTGTCCAGGCTGGAGTTCAATGGCATCATCATGGTTCACTGCAACCTCCGCCTCCCAGGTTCAAGCAATTCTCCTGCCTCAGCCTTCTGAGTAGCTGGGATTACAAGAACCCACCCCACCATGCCTGGCTAATTTTTTGTTAGGAATACAAATCTTTATAGTCTCATGTGAAAAGATTCTAATCGGGTATTTTAGATAATTTTTTTTAATTCTCAGATTTCTCTTAAAATTCTAAAGATTCTTACTGAAACATTCAGCATTGATTATGATATAAACTCTGTAACCTTTCTATTCATATGAAAGCCAGATTCCATTTTCTTCCACAGAATGGCAGGATATGGTACAATATTATTGCTATTCTAAAAATAATGGTGGAGGGTGTGGCTTCATAACAATTTATATCTGAAATCTAGAACATATACCAAATAGTATAGGTTAACTGTTAATCTGGATTAAATTCAACCTAAACTTAAAATTCCTAGACTAAATTCCATTATTAAGCTCCTGTAGTTAGTCCGAATTGATCTGTATATAAGTAGGAGCTGCACTATGAAAATGCAATGAGAATATGTCAGGTTTGCAATTATCTGTGGACTCTGCTCAGAATGCTTGCTAACATGTGGGAATAATCAGTGTTAATTATGATACTTTTAGATAAGGTTCATAAAGTAACTTAAGTCACTAGAATTAAAGTTTATCGTATAGGTTGAATATCACTTAACCCAAAATGCTTGGGACTAGAAGTGTTTAGGATTTTGGAATATTTATCTGCAGTATACTTGCCAGCTGAGTATCCCCAATCCAAAAATCCAAAATTGGAACTTCCAAGTAGCCTTTCCTGTTGGTGCTCAAAAAGTTTTGGCTTTTTTAGCATTTCAGATTTTGGATTAGGGATACTCAACCTGTACCATTATCAATACTAAATGCCAATGCTACTTTAAGCCTTGGAATAACATTTAGCAAAGGCTTGGGTTACCAGTAAAATGGGGACAATATTTGCCTAACATTACTAAAAACTGCAAAACAATATTTTCTATAGAATAAACAGTTATGCAGAATACACTCATTTAGTGATTCAAGTAAAGGATTACAGAGATGACATACACCAAGTTTGCCTTCAGAGAGCTGACTCTAGTAGAAAGGCCTTTAGAAAAGTAACTGTAGCAACAGAGTTATGTATTGCAGGTATGCAGGGGATACTTAGGAGGTAAAACAAAAGTTACAAATTTTATTCATCTTTGGGGCTCAGCAAAAGCTTCCTGAAGGAGATAATAATCAAGGTGGGTCATCAAAAGTGAATTTGGTTTATATGGATGGTGAAAAAATCAGAATATTATATTTGGATTCTAAGCAGTATGAAATCCTAGATTGTTTGGCATAATTTCTCACACAGCTCCTTTTAAACATTACAGAAAAATGGTTTCAAATGATTGACCACTTATATCCCAGTTCACATATAGAAGAATGAACTTATAGCATTTTTGTCAATTTCACAATAAAGATAGAGCTATGCCATAATTTTTCATATACTTGTTTTTATACCTGAGGTTGCAAACCTGTGACCTACATGCATTCCTGATTTGTTTGCCACAGTGGTATGGTTGTGGTGGTCTTTTTTTTTTTTTTTTTTTTTTTTGGAGACTAAGTTTCGCTCTTGTTACCAGGCTGGAGTGCAATGGCACAATCTCGACTCACCGCAACCTCTGCCTCCTGGGTTCAGGCAATTCTCCTGCGTTGGCCTCCTGAGTAGCTGGGAGCACGTGCCACCATGCCCGGCTAATTTTTTTTTGTATTTTTAGTAGAGACGGGGTTTCACCATGTTGACCAGGATGGTCTCCATCCCTTGACCTTGTGATCCACCCGCCTCGGCCTCCCAAAGTACTGGGATTACAGGCGTGAGCCACCGCGCCCAGCCGTGGTGGTCTTTTTAACTGAATCTGAATGCATTAAGATGGAAGATGGACACCCCAGTCTCCAATCCTGGCACTCCCTAATGCCACGCCATATACCTGGCTCTATTCATGTGTACATGTACCTTCCTGGTTTCTCTTTATATGAACTGAATTACTAATAAGTTTAGTTTGGCTTAAAATTGACTCAGTACCTGAAAATACAATCATGAAAATTTAACTTAAGAAATGCAGGGTCCTAGAAATTACAAAATATCCTCATTCATAATTTTGTAATCACAGTTTATTAACAAGGCCCAAATGAGGCATTGGTATTCACACTCAATGAAGCATAACACCAAATTCATGTCTTTTATTCTAGAAAAGAACACTCTTCAGTCTATTTATTTAACCTGGTCAGAACTCTGTCATTGTCTTGCTTCAAGCCCCACATAGTAGCAGCAAAGTAGGACTCAACAGAATGTCATGGCAGTCAGATATGATAGCTTTAAAAGGATATGAAAGGCAAGACAGACCCTAAAATATGATGAAAGTAGTCCAAAAGCCAAGAGTAATGTATGCTTTGGTGTTAACTATTAATTACAAACAAAAATGCACTGTTTTATTTAGGAAGGCAGACAAAAATTTGCAGGCTTTTTGTCTTTTTAGTTCTGGATGGAAAAATCTTTCTAAAGGTTGCTGCTTAAGTGGGTTAACTCAGCTATACTAACTATAAATTTTAAAGTACCTAAAAATTATATACATACCCCAAGTTCATCTAGAAACATGATCATACGATGTTTGTTGCTTTTGATGAATGGATTGACACCTTCCATGTAGGGCTCCTAAAAAATAAAATGCCTCTATTATATGCACCAGAAACAAACATCACTGTTTCATCTATCAGATTGGTGCAAAAGTAATTGCTGTTAACAGCAATTCACAAGGATTAAATCATATAATGACAGTATTTTCCTTCTAATATATAAGCAAATGGCTATACTGAGGAGCTTGTTCTTTTAATGAAAGAGCAAGGAATTCTGGACCCAAACACAAATCATAACACATAGCCTGGCAGACACAAATTGCTTATATATAAATTCATTCAAACATGGCCCCAGGTAGAATCCGGCAGATTACAGGGAATTAAAATACAGTATAATAAAGACTGCAATAGAAAAATATCTTATTTGTAACCTGCCTCAAGATTCAGATAAATTCAAAAGCTAGGCCATATATGTTAACTGCTCATCATACTAAAATCCTACTTAAAAGTATGCTATAAATATGGAAAAGGTTCAGATTAATGCACTCTTTAAAAGTCAGTAGGAAACTCAATGAGATAAGAACCTCAATAGGCAATTCCAAAGATAGAGACATGAAAGTCTAAAAGAATGAAACACAAAATAATATGTCTATCAAATTGGGCAAAAAAGAGAAAAGCATACTACCCACTGAGTTTTGGCAAGGCTGCAAGTAGCAACAAAAGTATCTTAAATTGCTGACAGGAAATCTTGCAATACATAGCAAAAGCCTAAACCATGTATTTAACTTTAGTAATTTTACTCCAAAGTTCAGCTAATAACTGAACAAGTATGAAAGAAAATGTATGCAAGGATATGTTACAGCAGTAACAGGGACAAACTGGAAGCCATCTAAATATCCAATATTAAGAACAATGAAAATTATATATTTCCACCTATGGCAAGATGTCTGTCACATGTTAGGTGAGAAAAGCAGAAGGCATTATATGATCCTAACTATTAGTCTTATCCTTAGATAGTACAACTAAGTGTGGGTGTTTAAAAAGAAAACAAACTCATCTGAGTTTTACTATTTACAGTGAATATTGGGAAATAAAATTATGCTCACTGATAATTTTTATGTTTAAAAGTGAGAATTTGAGTACACTAGACCTTGAAAAATTTGTTTTCTGTAATGGCTGACGTGGTGTTTTTTAAAGTCCCACTATTAAAATGTAAAATTTAAACAAGATGCTTTAAAAACAAATACCAACAAAAATTATCTCATTGCTAAAAATTTCAGTTAAAAATTTACTTAAGCTATATTTTGTGGTTTTATATCAAACTTGCATTCATAAATTTTAAAATATCAAAATGTTTTTACCTTAGCTCCAAATTCCACAAGGTTTGCTAAATTTTGCACAGATTTAGCCACCAATGTCAGTGTTCTTGCAGCAATAGGAGATGGGGAATCTATAAGAGAATTGGGCACAGCTAATGACACCAACTTCAACGGCAATTCCAGCTAACCCATTTTAAATTTAGCACTTTAATATTACTTTACTGTTAAAATACTACCCATTCTTCCAGTCAGAACTCAGGAAAATGTATGGTCTGTATAATCAAAAGAACTTCAGTTAAAAGAGGAAAACTGAATATGCTTATCTGTATCTCTAGACTTGTGAAAAGCGTACTACAAACTCAGCAATTCCCAATGGTTGATACTATTTCAGAGGACCTTAAAGATTTACCTTTATCACTAGAAAAGACTGTCACTCCTGACATCCTTTGTGACAGTTCACAAAGCTAATTTCAGCCTACTCAGGTTAGGAATTTGCAATCTGAGCAATTCCCTCCTCCCAACATTATTTGCAGTCCAAATAATTCACTTAAAGCTCAAGAACCAAGATAAAGTCTAGGACCTCTGCTTTGAAGAGAAAAACATTAAATTTAATAAACTATTAAAATGTAAGTCAGGAAGCATTTCCCTGTAGAACACAGATAGTGGGATGTAAATGAAAAATATTGGTGTCCATTAAATATAAGCTCTGAAACTTAACGTAATTATTTAACAGTAAAATCTCATAGGTAATCTACATGACTGCCTAGTTTTAGATAGTGTTCTCTGAGGCCAACATCAGAAAAATCTCTCCAAAAAGAATTTTAAACCCTTAATCTTAATAGATTTTATCCACTTTATTAGCAGTAAAATTATCCACTTTATTAGCAATAAAAGGTAATTACGGAGATGTGATGGCTATAAAAGTAAAACTTAAGACAATCCAAAACATTTTTAGTACAATTTTAAGCTTCAGATTATTAAGGTAAAAATGGTTCAGGGTCTTACTGTTTATAATGGTTCATTATTATATTCAAAGTCACAAATATCCCTGTTATCCTTTCTTTGAAAGAAGCTTGTAACACCTGAAAGTCATCTCAATATAGCTATAAGGATAATAAGCAAAGCTGGATCAGGTTTACCAGAGTTTAAAATGGCCAATTAACACTATATATAACTGGTGACCTAAAAAATCTCTAATGAGAAGGAACCAATACTGCTTTCTTCGTAAGTACTCACAGAATACTATTCCAAATATAGATATAATTTATTTTGATTTTGAAGATCCAGCTGGCAGCAGTCTAGCAATGGGCTAAGCAAAGCTCTTCCCAACTTGGAAAAAGCCAACTTGCAGACTCTAAGAAGTCATCTATTATAAAGGTTTGAGACACAGTATGGGCAGAAAAAAGGTGGAATGTGTATAATCATACCGTCTCCGACCAGATATTAGATGAAAGAAAACATAAAAAACAAGAGAAAAGCTGAAGAAGGACAAGGAAGGAAGGGTGCTCTGGAACACTTTATGTATGCCAAGATTTAGAATTGGATAATCCAAAAAAAAAAAAAAAAACCACACATTTAAATTAAAAGTATTCTTATTAACATACTAATTTTTTAATTTCAAGATTTTATCAAAAGCTGATTACCTGAGATGATATTGAACATCCGTGGATTCAGGATGGCAGGACAGATAAGTCGAAGAAAAACAAAACCACTAAATGGGAGGGAAATTGTTTTGTTTTTTTTAGAAAACACCTATATAATGTGTTACTTTAAAACAATACATACAAACAGAATTTTTAGCACTCATAGAACCATAAACTTCACTCTAAACCAGTATAGGAAAGCCCAGACACAGTAAGTTTTAGGAAACAGTAAGCCAAAGCATCATATTTTAAGAATATACCTATTATATCTGATTCTTGAATGTATTACTTACTCACTTTCTCAATTTAGAATTTTAGATTATTAGAACAGCCTAAGTTGGTTGCACTGATTTTGTTGATGAGTCATATGAAGATAAGAATCCATTGCACTAGAGAAAAGGCAACTTACTGATAAATGAAAATGTATACAATAGGAGGCTGAAAAGGTTTTCTTTGAGACAGGGTCTTGTTCTGTCACCCAGGCTGGAATGCAATGGCCCACAATCACAGCTCACTGCAACCTTGAACCCCTGGTTTCAAACACTTCTCTTGTTTCAGTCTTCAGAGTAATTAGGACTATAGATAGGAGGGTACACATCACCATACCTGGCTAATTTTTTTTTTTTTTTTTTAATTATTTTTGTAGAGACCAGAGTCTCACTACGGTACCCAGGACAATTTCAAATTTCTGACTTGAAACAGTCCTCCTGTCTTGGTCTCCCAAAGTGTTGAGACTACAGGCTTGAGCCACTACGTCCAGCCTGAAAAGCTTTTTAAGGCAAGACATAAGGAATAATAAAGTTTAAAAAGTTGTCAAATTACAAAATGATAGCAATAGCAAAAATTATACTCATAGCTGTCATATGTGATTTTATCTGCTCATTTTACTTTGGGACAATGTCAGTGTAAAAATAAAGCTTTTGCACATAACTCCTTTTCTGCCTCCTTTAGTCACTGGTAGGGAGCATACGTTTCATGTAGATAAATTCTAATTTCCTTTTAAGAGGAATACACACTAATAACCTCTTACTTGCCCCATGTAAAGACAAGCATTATTCCCAAAATGAGTTACCCAACTCCTTCTAGAGATTAGTAAGACACAATCTCTGTTCTCTGTTAGAGTGAATTACCTAGTATCTCAGCATTTACCTTTGAACATGTGCCTGTTTGCTAATTTTTGAACTCTTAGAAGTAAATACATTACCTCTCAACAGCATTTATAGAAAGTGTAATACATTGGCCGGCATGGTAGTTCACGCATATAATCCCAACACTTTGGGAGGCCAAGGTGGGCCTCTCACTTGAAGCCAGGAATTCAAGACCAGCCTGGCCAACATGCTCTCACCCCATCTCTATTAAAAATACAAAAACAGCCAGGTGTGGTGGTGCATGCCTGTAATCCCAGCCATTTGGGTGGCTGAAGCACGAGAATCACTTGAACCTGGGAGGTAGAGGTTGCAGTTAGCCAAATTCACACCACTGCACTCCAGCCTGGGCAACAGTGAGACCCTGTCTCAAAAAAAAAAAAAAAAAAAAAAAAACTAATATATAACAGTAACGATTAAGTCTTTAAATTTGGACTTCTCAAATTACAAAGACTCTTATGTAAACTTTACTTGAAAATACTGTGATACTTACACATAGTAGGTCTATGAGCCTGAAATCAACCTTCGCAAAAATGCCCCTAAAACACCCTATTGCATCTAACAGTTCACAATTTCTTGCTGTGGTTGCTTAACAATTATGCTTGTTTGAAACATACAGATTTATAGAGCAGTTTTAATTGACGTATCACCCATAACTGCTGGAATATTATGCTTGTAATTCTTTTCCTCCCAATGACCACTAATGCCAAGAAAAGCAGAATCTGTGGTTCTTAAATATTGCGTCACATCATAACCAAGAGAAATTTTATCTGCCCCCCTCCCCCACCAAAAAAAAAGAATTAGAAACCCCTTGACAAAATTTAGGTTGGAGGCAGGATTAACACACATTTTCAAAATGAATTGTGTAATAATGGTGGTAATGATTGCTTAATTTTTTTAAAATAGAACATGACATGGCAGTGTATATTCTAAATAACGAATTATAAGAAGACTGCTATATACCATGACACTTTTGCATTAAACTTCCATTTGCCTGGAATTAATTGGTTGTAGTATGCTTAACAAAAGCAAAAGCCTACAATAAGAGTTAAGGATATCATATTGGGTCTTAGTTGCCTTTAATTCTGCTTACCCACTAGCTTTCTATATAACCTTAGTCCAGCAACTTAACCTCTCCAGACAGATCTGCTTCTTCATTGGAAAAATATGTTAGAATAATGATAATGAAGTAACCTTAGAAACTCCCAAATTCCAGGATTTGCCAAAGCAATTCTTCCTATAGAATGATGATAATGAAGTCCCTTTATATAAGCTCGCAAATTCAATGGTTTGCAAAAACAGTTGTTCCTAATTATGGTAAAATGAACAGACTGAAACACAGCTTCAAAATTACATGTTCTGGATTAGCTCAGAGTCACAGATTGCAACAAACCAATTAATATCTAAATGGGTCAATTACTGCTCTTCTCTCTTAGTGCCAATCTGTGTGAGTGTGTATATATGAAGAATAGTATATGAAGTTAGCTACAGATTTTGTTATATAACTTTTAACCACATCCTGTAAGGATTTAAAAATCCCCAATACTTCAATACTTATTTGACTGTAAATGAATGTTCATGTTTTTATAAAATGCAGATGGTAGCTAAATCTCAGAGTAACTTGAAGTTTACTTCAATTTTTTACAATTATCCACCTAATGGATATTTGGTATGTGATGTAACAAATAATTGATGAGCCTTACCTAACAACTCTTGTTCTCATGGTGGTATTTGTAGGCCACTTATCCTGAACAGATTTTTGTAAACACCCATAAATATATCTCAGTGTCCTGCCAAAATAAAACAACCATCTCAGCACAGAAAGCAAGTGAAAAGCACAGAAAGCAAGTGAAAATACTGATCTCATAACAGCCAAAAGCTTAATTTACCCAAATATACCACAGTTTAATACAACTGACCATTTCCCTCAAAAAAGTATTTTGCCAGAAGTAATGAGACATTTAGCAAGAGGTAAGGAAAATTTTATCCACTAAGTTTATCATCATCAGTTTATTCAGTCAACTTCTTGACATTTGCTTTCAGATACAGAGAAGTAACCAGTTGCAAATTCTGAGGAGAAATATTTAGACTTAAGTTAACTTCTATCTGAACAAGTGAGTTCACTAATACTGGAGGCCTAAAAGCATATTAACAGAGTGCTTAGCCTATCAAATATAGACAAATGGATAGAAAAGATGTCTTACAATCTCAAATCTGAAACTCTATTCACTCCCCAAGCTACTATACAAACCAGACATACTGGCTCGTACAAAAACAGTGGTTTAATTTTAATGTAAATATTTCACTCTGGGATCTTTAAGGCAGTTCTTTTCTTTAAATACTACTTATAAAGATTAGCCATGACTTTTTCAGAATATAATAATAGGACAACAGATAAGCTTTCACGTGTATTAGGAATATAAATTTTTCAAGACATACACAATTTCTTGTCAAATGAAAATTTCATCACTTACGGTGGAAGTATTTCTGAAGCCATGAATATTTTCTCCACAAGCTCTGAAAGTATGTTCAATAGGTGTGCTAAATTAGTGTTCACATCTTCATTTTTTTCCAACTTTGATGGACTTAACTAAGAGAAGTAATAAATCAATATAAATGCATCTTGGCAATGACAAATGCAATGAATTGAGGTAAACAAGTAGTTTTAAAGGTTGTCTTTTTCAGTATCTCAGTGTGTATTCATCTTTTTTCTTTGTATAAATGGGGGTTTTTAAGTAGTTTGCTCTATGAAACTCCTTCTGGCAGGTTTCTTACCATTTATTCCCAATTACCCAACTGAAAAGCAAACAGTAATTAGTCAATTATGTTTATTTAGAGGGGGAAAAAGCCAATTAAAAGCCTTTTCTGAATGAGACTTATTTAATGGCTAATAAAAGTATCAAATGTCTTAGGCAGAATCACAAACCTTTCTCAGAAGTGTCAGCAGAGTAGATTTATCTATGGAAGTCCAAATTCTGTAGCCTGTCTCTAAAGTCTGGAGACTCTACCTACTTGCTGCATTTCTGTATCATCCTCATGTTAGGCTAACTATGGCATTACTCCAGATTTCCAACATTAAATCATTAATTTCTTCCCTTCACGTTATTAGTATGAATTGACATCTTTGTGCAGGATTAACATTTGCTAGATCCCAGTGTCCACTGTGAGAAATGAATTCCTTACTTTATTGATTTTTGTGTCAAATCTAAAATATGTATTTCTTTATAGTCGCTTTACCATTAAAATGAAAGGGTATACATGTGAGATTCCACTTACTATCTTAATAGTTTATTATGAGTTTGTACTTAAGCTTTAATAATCCTAAAAGGTGTTTTTTTTTTTTGCTTTTGTTGAGGTTATCTCAATTCTCCTCTCACAAAAAAACCTTCAAGGACAAAACGAGATGTTATGAAATGCTACATAGGTTATAATGTAAGTCACTAGCAAAGCCTTCAGTTTATGTATGCACACTTTCTGTAAGGAGTATATAGTTTGTCGTTAGTACAATAGAAGAAATGACCAAGTATTTTCAAAGTTCATTTTGCAGAACATTTTTATAAATGTATTACAAAAGGGTATAACTGCTATGAGGAATAATTTTAGAAATTTAACATATTTTCCTTAAAATGTAATGAGCTACAAATTACCTATTAAATTATTACCTATTTGCAAAAAATACTTCTTAAAACATTAAATTCTTACCTCACAAGACTGCTTGCTTTCCATTATCTTTAAAATAGAGTCTTTCAAAGCATGATGAACAAACTGTGTAGCAGTGGCTTTCATATACTGCTCCATCAAGGTGCTTGCAAGTGTTGTGGCTCGAAATAGGGTAGTGGCTTCATCTATGCAAATATTTACATTAGAAGATTATTTGTTGAGGACTCAATGTGACCAAATTGGAAATTAAGTGAATTCATCTTACCTCAACAGGAACAGCCTTTTAAATGTACTTTTTGCATGCAACATTGAAGTACTAATTACAATGACATCCTATACTTCTACAACTTAACTCTGTAAGACTTTCAGATGTATTACCTCATCATATCATGAACAGGAGAAGAGATTAACACTGCATGTTTATATGGAAAAATGAAGACTCAGAATGGTTATGTGACTTGTCTAAGATCAATTAGCTAGTGACAAAATTAGGACCATAAATCAGCTGTGTTGTCCAAGGACCCCATGCTTTGAAATTTGGGTATTTATTTAGAATTACGAATATAACACAAAAAATCCCAATATAGATTCATTTATTAGCCTAAAACATGTCTGATGAGTTGCAGTAAAATTTTAATAAACGACAAATGCTGTCAGAAAAGATAAACTCAATGTAAAATAAGGACCACCATTTTATCTATTCCTTGACAAATTATATACCTTTATAATTTTTATGAGGAGGACATAGTTCTAAACTTTACTATTTGGGGAATCTAGAAGCAAGAACTGTTACTGAATCAAAGTGCTTGGTCGGAGGGGCAGGGAGAGGATAATTATTTCGATGTATTTATAAGTCATTAAAAACTGTGTGTCCATCAGCTTGGGAACTACCTATCTATAAAAGCTAGAAATAAAAGGCAGGTGACACCCAACTTCTGTGCAATGACGTAAAAAGTAAGAGAATATAGTTAAGTATGCCAGACTTTTCTTGATAGTCAAGCACTATGAGCCATCGATGTGGACACAGATACCACTTTCTTGGAGCTTCTAATACTCATCTGCCAAAACCTCCATTAGAAATATTAGCTCCCCAAAGTAACCGACATAAGCAGAACATCCAACTGCAATTTTTAATAAGGGAAAACAGATTAACTTGATTTGCATTTTAACAATTTAGTATATTCAGAGATAGAGTCCATATATGCGTGATATAAAATCTAAACCCAGTTTCTTAAAGTTTCACACTAACACAGCCATACTATACCTTCCATGCTTATTTCTCTGTCATTTAGTGTGCATAACAACAACGATTCAAGCTTTTCATGAAGAAAAATCCTCAGTAGGATGCTGGCCAGTAGTGTTCGGTCTTGTCCACATACATGTGATAAAGCATAGACTACATGAAGTTCCTTTTGCAGTATAAGCTAAAATGACATTTTAAAAGATGGTTTAAAGTACACAGCATTAAGCATTCTTTCTTTCATAAGTTCTTAATAATTAAAATGCCCCACTGAATACATTTATTTAAAATAGAATACATTCATAGTCTACCTATTTCTAGTCTAATCAAAATCACACTATAATACAAGGTTTTTAATCTTCTCTGGTGTCACTGTGCCACTAAGCTATGAATTACTATGTCTAGCTTAATGGATCTTTTATTAAATGTTTATGTTAATTCTAACAAAAATTAGACAAATAATACCTCTTTAAATTCACTGTACTCTTCTTCTGGCATGATTTTTTCCATAGAATATCGTGCTCGAACACGCAGGGACCCTGGTTCAATACCTTTTAATGGTATATGGGAGCTGAGCAAAAACCATTCATCTGTGGCATGCCCTTTCTGTAATCGGCTCAACTGGCAACGCATAAATACTTGGGAAGAAAAACAAGCAATTATTATCTAAAAAGATAACATGATAATTAGTCATGCAAGTAAATTTTCCTGGTGTTCAGTCTTCTCAATGGTGTTAAATTCTTTTCATTAAAAAAGTTTTCAGTAACATCACAAATTCAATATTTAACTGCTTCATTCATTTATTGAATGTCTACCATGCACTAAACTCTGATAGGTGGGGGAAGTATAGAGAAGATTCAGATGTGGTCTTTAAGTTGCACGGGGGTCAGTTTATTCCAGATGGCAAGAAATCAGTCATGTTTCAGCATTGATAAGTGCTGTTAACAGTGGTGAATGCTATTGGAATACAGAGAAACCATATCTAATTCAGCCTGTGGCGGTGAAAACTCCATTTTAAACAGGCAACCCTTAAGCTGCCAAGATCTGGAGGTATATCTAAGAAGAAAAGTCGTGAAAAAAGAACACTTTATATATAAGGCATGGCCTGCTTTCTTTGTCATTACTGTGGGGTTGGGATTTTATCGTAAAAGGGAAAACTAAAATTAGTACAAAAAAAATTACAGAATAAACATTTTATAGAGAAATATTTAGGCTTTGATCTGTCTGTTAATACATATCACTTCCTTCCCTAAGCCTGAGTTTTAAGAAGGCATTAACCTAATTCACCCCGATGTGATTGGTAAATCCCACTGCCAACTGTTTTAGTAGCAGGATGGAAAGAGTTGTGCTGCTAAGAACAGGAACTGAGAGCCTTTGACTACCAGAAGTGAATAAATGACATATTCAAGGTTAAGGGTAATTTTTAAATAGAATTCTTTTTTGCTTATATGCTAATGTAATACTAGCACTTTGGGAGGCCGAGGTGGGTGGATCACCTGAGGTATGGAGTTCGAGACCAGCCTGCCCAACATGGTGAAACCCCATCTCTACTAAAAGTACAAAATTTAGCTGGGCATGGTGGCAGGCACCTGTGATCCTAGCTACTCAGGTGGCTGAGGCAGGAGAATCACTTGAATGTGAGAGGCAGAGGTTGCAGTGAGCCAAGTTCCTGCCACTGCACTCCAGCCTGGGTGACAAGAGTGAGACGCCATCTCAAAAGAAAACATGAAAAATCTAAAAAGTAGAAAGAAGGGATGAGGGTAAGCCCTTCAAAACGACCACTGTAATCATTTTCTTATTCTTCCTATTCATTGGAGAAAGGAGGGTGGCTAGATATTTTAAAGTACTTAACTGTACAGTTGAATCAGGTTGGTGTTTTCTTTCTTAGGTATATTCTTTCTCAATAATCAATACTTTAAGAAGTACAGAAAGAAACTATCTCAAATTATACTACTTGCATTTGTTTTATTTTTTAATTTTTAAGATTATTTCATTGTGAATTTTAAAAGTATATAAAACATGCTTTTTCTACTTCAGAAAGAGTTTCCATATCAACTTACAGATATCAGGATCTTTGCTTTTCTTTGTTTTATTACTAAGAGTTATTTCAAATCTATTGATGTCAGGAGGAAGATCACTAAAGGAAGAAGGAGAAAAAGAATTAAGAAAATGTTTTGACATCAAACTTCTTTATTCCTTTAGTTCTACTATCAAATAAGCCCCCTATTTCAGCTTAAAAAGAAAAGTGAGTGTGCTATTTTTATTTCACAACATATTTTATTCTTTGGTATACAGAAGACAAGCAAATTATATACTTTACCTAGCATCTTTAAACTCCTAAATAATTCAAATAAGTACTGGAAACTCTAGTAAACATTTTCATTTTTTGACTTGCTAATTCATGTTAATAACTAGGTGGAATAACCAAGGGCACAGCACTTCACAAATAAAGGTGAACATATAAAACAAACTAACAAAAAATATATATATATATATGCTGTTAAAACACCTGGAAGTGGTACCTTGTTCTGATGGTTTAGATAGAGACCCAAAAAAATGGAAAGAAATGAAATATGGTAAAAGAAAATGATTAATGATAAAATAAGACTTACTCAAAGACAAATTCTTCTGACCATACTGGGTTTTGCCCTTCCCTTGCATGAGTTTTTGCTACTTGGACACTATTCAGGTAGATGTTACAATATGGATTAGTAAAATGTTTTACTGGGAGTTTATGGGCTTCTTCAATATGTAAAACAAGGCTGCTGACCTAAAAAAAAAAAAAAAAAAAGAATTATTACCCCAGATTTCTAGAATTGCGCTAAGTTTCAAAAGCAATTACTCATAAGATAAAAAGCCAAATATAGCGAATTATTTTCCCCTTTTTTTCAGAAAATATGAGCTTTGGTTTTATTTTGCCTTTTTATACGACATACTTAAAATGTTAAAACATTTAAAATAATTCTTCCCACCTAAAAAGATAAAAACAATGCAATTTTATTTTACAAGTTATTTCTACCAGTATCTTCTTGGAAAAATACACCTTTTCTACCATAAAACAATGATACAGAGAAAATGAAGTCAAGAGGAAAATTCTTTATTCATGTAAGTAAACAACTGTCACTACTCAAATCAAAATCCCGTATGTTATATAATGGTTATCTAGAAGATTTTATTTCTATAAAATACAGTTCCACGGCTACAACTTTTTAAAACACTGACTCTGCCTTCTTATTTTACAGGAAAGGATACAAATGTAAAAAAAAACTAAGTCATTTGTCAGTTTGGATGCTAGAATTTAGATCTTCTCCCTTCTACTGTCAGGTCCTCTCTCTCTGCTGCAGTCAAATGATCTACCACTGAGCTATACCCCCACTAAGTCCTCTTACTCTCTTGCCATGTACTACTTGTGTGGCCTTGGACAAATCAGTCCCTCTAAGCCTCATTTTTCTAATATGTAAGTAGAAAGTCTACACTACAGCTTTTCATAAGGATTACAAACTAGTCCCTCAGTATCTGCAGGACTGATCCCAAGCCCTCCCCTTCTGTCCTGGCAGACAACAATGCCCAAGGATGCTCAAGTCCCTTATAGAAAATAACATAGTACCTGCATAAAATCTATGCACACCCTCCTATATGCTTTAAATCATCTCTAGATAACTTGTAATACCTAATACAGTGTGAATGCTATGTTCATCATTGTGATACTGTATTTTTATTGTATTTTTTTCTGAATATTTTTGACCTACAGTTGGTAGATTCCACTGATGCAGAACCCATGAATAGGGAGGGCCAACTGTGTATGTAAATCACTGAATCTCACTGTCCACTGATACATTAAAAGTGCTTGAGAGATGTTAGCTATGATTATATTAAACCTGCAAATGTCAATTTAATGGCTCAAGTTTCATACAAAATACAACTTGCTCTTATTTGCAAAAATCCAAACTGATTTTTTATAGCTTACAAATGTTACAATGTTATGAACACATGGTGATTATGTGTATACTTAAATTTCCTTGGGGAACAGCCAGACTTTGGGTTACAGGGACTATTTAGTCACCTAAATATCAACAATTATCCACTCCCAGTAGAACAGTATATTAATCACTCAGCTTATCAGATAGTCACATGAAGAAAACAGAAGACACTTTGGTCAGTAAATAAGTATTATACCAAACTTTCTTTAAAAACCTCAAGAATGTCAAAATTTGCCTAACTTCTTCCAATTATATAGGGGTTACTATAAAGAAAAAAGCCAAGAAATGAAGGTTATAAAGTTACCCTTACACAGGCAAAAAAGAGAAAGCCTACTCTTCATGAATGAAAGTAATAGCCATGTTATGGTTTCAAATAAGATTAAACATTTCCTAAGAGTTAAGCAGTATGTTTCAAAAGCTGTTTTTCAGAATGAAAATCCCAAAAAAGTTTATTGGGATTAGTACTATAAATCTGATGATCTTTTCAATGTTCTACTTTTCTGAAAGAAGCCAAAATAATTTTTTGAAGGAAAATTAAATGCCCAACAGAACAGTTTCTGTTGTGGTGGTACAGTATTGTTATTTTAAGTGGAAGAATAAATCATCTTTCTTATGTTTTTAACGGTTGGCATTACGTACTAAGAACATTCTCTTTCATAAACAAGTAACGTTTTCCTGCTACTGAAGCAAGTGGCAGCTTAACCCTTCATAAGATATGATGCCAAAACAGTTCACATAAAAATAAGACATAAACGGCAAAGTGTTAAAGCAAAATTTGACAATTACAAATCAAAGAAAATTAAGCTTCACCTGACGAAGGCGTTTATTGGATGTCCCTGGACTACTTTTCCGTAAACTGCAAAATGCCTGCAGAGCTTTCATCCAATCCTACAAAGAAAAACAACATTTCAAACAAATACACACTAGTTTATCTGGTTTCCAAAATTTTTTTTTCAAATTCAATAATTCTTTCCTTCTCTAGACTGCCATTTCTATACTCAGACTATACTGCACTTTATTTATGCCCCAATAAAACAGTAACCAAAACAATTATAATTCTGTATAAATCTTGGTTTGAATTTATGTATTAAATGCACCATGAGTGACCACTAATTAGCCAAAAAATCAAATTTACATTAAAGAAGTTGTTTCTCTCAAACAGATACTACCTTGGGGAAATTAACTGTCTATGTTTAATGAAGCTGTTAACACTTGAGGCAAGCTTAGGTGGAATTTAACTTGATTTTGTGAGAAGGGGAGAGGCCTGATTGCAAAACCAACTGATACTGTGATGACTGATTCGATGACAAGCATGCTAATCTATACTTTAGACCATAAATACAGGTAGAAATGTATAAGAGGACTTGGGTTATTTTTAAGCTTCTCAAATATAACATTAGATTTAAAAAATCATTTCAGCCTAATATTCAAATTGAATTGCAGCCATGTTTTTTAAAATGTTTAGTGCTTTGGGAGAAAGTAGAGAACTACTTAGGTTTATTAAAAATAAATCCAAATATTCACTTTTGTTTTTACATGTTTCTGGAAACCTGTGTACTATTGCTTTATTCAATTATGTTTTTAGTTTGTTGGTTATTTCAATGAAGCTGAACTTTGTCAATGTTTAGACAATGTCTTTATATTAGAGCAAATTAAAATCAAATCAGTTACCATAGCTTTTTGAAATAGAAGAGAATAACCAGAGACCCCACAGCTCACCAAATCAACAAAAACTGGAAATACCATTTATGGAAATATAGAATATAGAGAGATTATGTATTATAAATACATTTTTTAAAATGTTATAAGGCTTGTAAAACATGCTAAAATGTCATTATGGCATGTGACATATTTTTATTCAGAAAGAGGGACCATGATAAAATAATTAGAAAATAGGATACTGAAGTTTAAATTTCTATTCCTAACTCAATTTCTAACATTTAAAACAACCATCTAAGTTACCAAAATGTTTTGAGCCCTATCTTTCTCATCTAAAGATTAGTGATACATAGTCATAGAAATTTTACGTGCATTATATGTGAAATGAGCAATGAGATAGTTTATAAAGATGTGAAATATGATATTTAACATGAGCCACAAAACACAGTGGCTCATTCAAGTTTATGAGTCTCATGCTGGGATCCAGTTTTAAGAGCATGTTCTTCATATCTAGGGTTGGCAAATTGTATTTCCAACAAAGCCACTTTCACTTCTTAACCACCTTTAAGTCCTTCGAGTATCAGCAGAAATTTAGCCATATTTGTATAAAATACAACCATATACTCCAGTAATATTAGGATTCAAAGAAAGCAAAAAAAAAAAAAAACAAAAAAAACAAATTTAAGAGACAGTGTCTCAGTCTGTTGCTTAGGCTGGATTACAGTGTCTTAATCTTACTCACTAACTCAAACTCCTGTGCTCGTGTAATCTTCTTGCCTATAAGCCAGAACACCCAGCTTATTTTTTACTTTTGTTGTAGAGCTGGGGTCTCCCTTTGTTGGAAAATATTTTTATTAAAGAGTTTATTAAATATTATTTCTTCACAGAATTACTTAAAACAATAGAAGCTATAAGGACATTGCACATGGATTAATAGCTAGTGCTAAAGTAGACATTTTATCTAGACTTGGCTTGAAGAACATATAGAAAGGAAGATTCCTAAAAAGATCTTTCTTGGTGTTGACTGAACTTTTATTTTCAGACAGAGTTCAACCAGTGAAGAATAATTAATGCTTGTTAGCAAAACTAACTGGCTTATCTTTGCATCGTACTGAGATTATCTAGAACCTTTATGCAGAGTATTTTAAATGAGCATTCTCAGTTGGCCTCAACATCATGGATTATTTAAAGGTCATGGAGTTTTCATTCCTAATAACATTTCTGCAAAAAAATTTTCTACATATGAAACTTCTCATTCCTTAAGAGATGATTAGATTTCAGGCATTCTTTCTACCACTTTATCTTGAATGCGGTCGTTTTCTATTCCAGTTAATAAGAAAACATGGGCTAATATAAAAGTTTACAGTAGTTTAAGAAACAGTAATCTTACCTCTGCTTGTTCTGGAGTTTCTCCTGCAAAGTAAAAGATGTAATGTTCTTCACTAAAGTGCTGAACTACTATCTGAAAACAGTTTGGCCTTTAAAATAAAAACAAAAATTATTAGGAAACTTAATAGACAATAGCAAAATATTTATACCAACTTTAAAATACTCATAATTCACATAAAATTGTAATTCTTAATTTAGAGAAATAATTCTTCACTGTACCAGATCATTACCAAAAAAAAGTCAGCTGTATATATTTTAGAAAACTTTGTCAGCATTATTAAAATGTTATCAGTCTTTCAAAGTGTAAAGAACAATTAATTGTAAAAGACATTAGAAATATAGTTACCCAAAAATTGAAGCTGAATTGCTAGAACTGCCTACAGCTAATCTGAAAAGCTTTATATGTACTGGAAAAAGACTAGAATGTTCTTAGTCCAAAAATATTCTAAGTAATTATCTCTAAGGAGATTGTAGGTGATTCTATGTTTTCAAATTTTTCTAAACTGACGATTTTTCTTCACCTGTTAAAATGGAAACATCATCTTCTCATACATATGCTTGTTCTAGAGTTTAAATGAACAGTTGTGTATAACAAATGTTCTTGTCTTCCTTTAGTATTATAAATCATTTGATATGTAAGTGCAATATTAGATAACAATTTATATGTCTTCTGGAAATATTTTTCTAACTAGACTTGAAAATGTTAATAAAATGTTTATTAGGGGCCTGTATGTTTTTAGAACTCAATAAATGTTATTTCTATTCCTGCTTTAAACAAAGATTTTATCTCACACTATAGCAACATACACAGAGCACAGGCTTAATACTATCTTCTCAGGCTTTGAGAATGTCCTCAAAGTAATCATGGAAAATAGGAATTGGAAACTTCCAATTCTAAAAAGTTGCCTGTATCAGACTAACCATCCTGGCTGGATAAAATTTAAAACATTATACAAAACAAAACAAAAAAAAAACTATTAGAAAGCACTGGAGAATAACCAAAGTAGCTATCTAAGGAGCCAAGATCATACTATAATGAACCTGACATTCCTCCACAGCTTTTCTGTTCAAGGCATTTACCAATTCCTAAGCTGTGTAGTGGAGATGCTAAGCACAAAACAGTAGCTCAATGGCTAAAAAACTAACCACAAATCCAGTAGTTTGACAGTGCTGGGAGAAAAAAAAAATGGATTTCAGGCTTTCTATTAGGACCCCTAAAGGGTTATGCCTTCATGATAAGGGTAAACCAGAAATAGAATAGCCTTCACCAGATGTACTATCACTACATCATCCGTCAGAACAATCCTTTCTGGACACAGTAATATTATCCATAGCTTCCATAGGTTTTCATGTACAATGTCTACCATTTAATCAAAATAAGTAGACACTACAGGCATCAGGATTAAATGACTAAAAGCTAAGACAAAAATAAGAGAAAGACATACAAATTATCCAGATATTGAAGACAGATAAGACTTTCAAGTAATTATAATTAAAATGTTTAAGAAAGTAGGTAAAAAGAAATTTGCCAGAAACTGGGTCTTTTAAAAAATGTAAATTCTAAATTGAAAAATTTAGAAATTTTCAAGAAAATGAAGTCCTGAAAAAGTGGACTTCACTGCAGAATGGTAGATTAGTGAACTAAAAGATCAGAAGAAAATACAGTTTGGTACAGAGGAAAAAGTGATGAAAAACACAGAAAACAGCGTAGGGAAAAGTGCAACTTTTTTAACAGGAATCCAAGAAGAAAAAAGACTGGCAGAACAACTGTTTAAATTAGATATTAATGGTTTTAAATAGATACTAACCAAGGGTTTTCTAAAACTGACAAAGAACACCAGGTCTCGGGCTGAAGAAGCACTACAAACATAAGGATAATTTTCTTTTCTTTTTTTTTTTTTTTTAATTTACAGTAGGTAAATTTTGGTTTTACTGCTGAAAATATAAGGTAAAATCGCAAAACATCCAAAGAAAGTTGAGTGAGATACACTGCCTCTAAGAGAAAAGACAAAGATATATTACCTCTAAAACAGAAACAACTTGAAAGGCAACGAAAATGTTGGAAGACAGAAAACTATCTTTAAAACGGCAAAAGAAAATGACTGCCAATCTTTAATATCCAGCAAAACATTTTAATAAATAAATGTAAAGCTATCAATACAATAAGATCCAGCTATGAAAAAATGGTGTAAAAATTAATTACCACATGGATATTCACTAGAATAACTTTGTATCACTAAGACATCTTTCTACTTGCGCTTCTGAAATTGTTAATATTTAAAGTAATGCAGTATTAAAAGTTAGAAGTTTAATACAAGGAAATAGAGGACTTGGAGTTTTCTTAATATTGAAAATAAACTGGAAAAATTACACAGCTGTGTAACTAGAGCCATGCAAGAAAAAAGCAGTGCCATCCAACATTCATTCAGCATCAGGCTGAGCAAGTACACTAATCACCTACTACAGAAGGCTGCTATTAATTTTCATATTAGACTTCATCTAAATACCAAAGGTCAACATACCAGGTTCTAGGTACACACAAAGCAGGAAATGTTCCATGCTGGCATTAATATGATAACATAAAGAAAAAGCATTAACATTAATGTACAATTTCCCCTACTGTCCTCTGGCATTTGTATCGTATTATGATTCATTCTTTATCAACCTATTTTTTATTTGTCCTATTATATGGTAGAGATGTCTTCTCACTTTCTTGAAATTTACTTTGTTAATGCCATTTGCCTTGGCATTCAATCTTCCTCACTGTTTCTCTTACTGTTTCACAGAAAGGCACGTTTTTTTTTTTTTTTTTGAGACGGAGTTTCGCTCTTGTTACCCAGGCTGGAGTGCAATGGCGCGACCTCGGCTTACCGCAACCTCTACCTCCTGGGTTCAGGCAATTCTCCTGCCTCAGCCTCCTGAGTAGCTGGGATTACAGGCACACGCCACCGTGCCCAGCTAATTTTTTTTTGCATTTTTAGTAGAGACGGGGTTTCACCATGTTGACCAGGATGGTCTCGATCTCTTGACCTTGTGATCCACCCGCCTTGGCCTCCCAAAATGCTGGGATTACAGGCTTGAGCCACCGCGCCCGGCCAGAAAGGCACATATTAAAAAAAAAAACAGCTGACTGTAAACTAGCATACTTTGAAAAAAATATTTTTATTTTGTTTTATTAGAGACAGGGTCTCACTCTGCTGTGGGTGTAGTGGTACACAGTCAGCCCTCTGCAAACATTTACCTCCTGGGATCAGACAATCCTCATACTTCACCCTCCTGAGTAGCTGGGACCACAGGTGCGCACTACCACACCTGGCTAATTTTTTAAAGAGACGGGTTTCACTATGTAGGCCCAGGCTGGTCTCCAACTCCTGGGCTCAAGTGATCAGCTTAACTTGGGCTCCCAAAGTGCTAGGATTAGAGGTGTGAGCCACCGTGCCCATACATAAAAAAAATCTGTTTTCTAAATAATGAGACACTTTAGTTCCTACGAACATAACTTTTTCATACTAGGTTTCAGACTTAGTATCATTAACTATAAGTCATAACGAAGACTTTTTTAAAAAAAAAAATCTTTAAGTTCTTTTAAGTCACCTTCAGCAAGAAACTGCACAAGCAGCAAGCTACAACCTTATAGCAAGTTGTAAATGTGTATTTATTGCTTTTCCCCCTACCAGATAGAAATTCCTTTCTTGTTGGTAACCAGAATAGGAATCATTCAGAATCTTTTAACTTGTACTTCAAGGATCTGATCCTTCATTAACTCTAGCAATTCTTTCTCTTTTACTGCCAAGTGTAATGTGGATCTTTCTTTTGATTGTGCCAATAGATTTCCAATCTAACTGCATCTGTTCATATAAAGTTTACTGAAATAATGCTAAAGCTTTTTGTATGATCTTACAGATATTGCTATATTAATCTTAATACTTTAAGATTCATATCATTCCAGTTGTAAGTATCACTAGTGAATCATTTTTAACCTCACTTTTCCAAGGCTGAATTTCTGCCTGAAATCCATAAACTGTCAAAACATGTACCTATAATTTGAGGAAGTTCACTCATTCTTCAGTAAATCTACAAAATGAGAATCATTCACCAAAAAAGTTTTCTCCTGTAATCATAAACTTTTATCAAAACTCTTCTTTTGGACAGCTAACATGCTCCAGCATCCAACAGTAGGTATTTTGATTCCATCTCACATAAGACTGAAAACAGATGCAGCTGAAGCAGCTCAGATTTTATTAGAGCCTCCATTTAATAATATTTAACATGGAATTCAGGTCTACAAACATAAGACAATCTTCATATAAATCTTTGAATGTTCCTATCATGATGCCTCATCATCAATCATAAACGTAACTCGCATTTCCATAGGACCTTCTTTGTTTCAAATGTATTTCTTTTCTGGCCTAGTGAGTTAAATCTTTATCTTATGAATCTAATTACTTTCCAGTGTTAGTCAGCAAATTGCCCTTATGGTGGGAAAATAAGTATCTGTAAATTAAAGCTAATTTATAAAGTAGTAACAATGAAAAAGATATCAAATTCATTATGTTATTTTCAAGAACCTCCTTATATATTTTGCAATGATAATTAAAACAATTTGAACTTCTGTTAATAGAAAAAATGTAAGAAACAAAATGAGACAGTTTCTGCTTTAACACAAGAAGTAGCTTCATAATGATCAACAAGAAACTGTGAGTAAAGTAATATTCAGAGTACCTGGATGACTGAACAAGTAGGAAGTACTGAACTATAGCCACTATAAAAAACTCTCTCCAAATGTTATGCACCATTCTTTTGCCCCAATAAAATAATGAATTAAAACAGTTTTTACAGGATGACAGGATTTCAAGTGTTACAATTTTTGAAATATAAAACATTTGTTAAATGTTTGTACTACGATAGGATTTTACAACCACTAGTATCTCAAGGGACACCTATACTGATTAATTGAACACTGGTTGGGAAGCTCTCCTCAACTATTCAAATAAATTTATACCCATCCTCCAAGAATCAAGAACCACCTATTTCATATTACTGATCTCAACAGAGTTGTTCCAAAAATACCTTACTGTTTTAACTGTTTTCATGATAATAAACTACACTTAGTAGGGAATAATGTTGTCTCCCCAACATCCATTTCAAACATACATATAAGTATAGCAGCCTCACTATTTGGGTGCGATCATTTCCAGCCACAGGTCTGGGCACAAAAGGGCCTCCTCATTCTATCAGGATAATCCCATTCCTTTTACCTCAGGTAACCCAGAACTAAAAATTGGTTCAGAGGTGACTCAACAGCATGTTTTCAAGATTTTTAATAATTAAGGGAGAGAATGCTTACAGCCCTTTCTCTGGTGCTGTTTGCCACCTTGCTACCATGTAGGGAACTGGTTGAGGAATTCAACCCACAAGAAGGGTGCAGAGTAGAACTAAAGAGAAAAGGAGGCAGAGGCCTGATCCAACCACATTTGAAGGCTAAGATTATCAGGTTGTTGAAGGAGGGGGAAAAAAATCTCAAGAAATCCTATCTCACCCAACCCTTGTGTTTTTTGGAGCAACTCTTTATGAGTTATTAGAGAGTATTCAGGGGGAAAAAAGGAAGGTATCTTTGTAAAATAAATTTATGAAGTAAATCATACTATTTTAGACATGCACAATATAAATACTAAGGTAGCAAAAAGCCATGCTATAAGTAAAACTATTTATTCAATCAGCATTTCCCAAACTTGTTTGATCATTTTTTAAAATTGTCAAAATCACATATAACACTAATGTGATCTCCTAAACACACGCTGAAAAAAGAAGTGACAAGGCTATATATTTTAGATATTTCTCTTGAAGAGAAATATTTCAACAGGATAAAACATACAGAAATGCCATCCTGTAGCAGAAAAACAGCTGCTGAAACATTTGTTTTAACTGCCTTTTTTCTTATTAATTATAAAAATGAGTAACAAAAGTAGTAAATACATCTAAGAAGACTGGGATGGATTACTGATAATACTAATAGTGAAAGGTAAAGAAAGGGCCTTGTTCTTGAGCAAAAATCCAGATGTAATCAAAAGCTGGATTTGTCTTGTGATGTTTAGGATTCAGCTTATACATTTATATTCATTTTTTAAAAACCGAGAAAATCAATGTAAGAAGAATTTTTTTTTATTTCAAATACATTTTTCCTATCAAAACAATTTTAATATTTTTAAATATTAACTTTCTTAAGAACTTTTACAGAGTTAATAGCAGAATTGAGTGCAGCTAGTACTATTGGGTGCACTGAGGTAAAAGCATGTGGAAAAAAACAGAGGAAAGGTGACAAAGACTCTAAGTCACTCAAAAGATTGCTGGTGGGGGCAGGGAGGAAACATATACTACAGCAAATGTCATTCCAAAGATTTCTATGCAGTACAATGGAGTAGACTTTATGCATACGTTAGTCTAAAATTAAGCAAAGAAGGCAAAAATTACCTAGAAAGTAAATTTGCTTTTAGAACATGATCTTAGGGCTCTCAAAATTGGTTTAACTTTATACCCACTATTTTATTGTTAAGACAATTCCAAAAGAAAACCATCTTACCTGTCAAAGAGACTATCGTGAACAACATAGACAGAACAGACACTGAGATCTATTAATCCTTTTGGTTTTGTAGCTCGTTTTTCACTTTCGAAATAAATAAGTTGGGCATCACTACCCTCTAAGATAAAGTACAAATTTTTCCAACGTTTTCCTTTGCCTGTTTTTTTTAAAAAAACAAACAAAACGCTTTTAGCAAACAATAAATTGTGAAATCCTATATATGTGTTGTTGAAAATAATTAAAAATGAATCAATTTTTATTCCAAAGTTTATGTAATATGCCAATGCTTACATAATGAGAAAATTCCTGTAACGAACATGTACAAAAACGCCTTTTGTTATATTACTTGTTTTAATTAGTCACAGAGTATATCGTCAGAGATTTCAACATGATGAAATCATGAGAATTCTTGTTTTGGAGTAATTATTTTCCAGCTTTAAGAAAAAATTCTTCCACTGAAGGATACCCCTAGCCACAATTCCCCAACATGCCTTTATGTCAAATTGAGGAAAATCTGTAAAATATCAATACTATGATGGGCCATGTGCCATAAGGAGTAACTAAAAGAAAAAGGAAAAAAAAAAAAAAAAAAACATGGACAGAAGAAATAAAGATTCTGGTTGAAACTGTAGACCTTTAATATACCTACACTCTTAATTTTGAAGGATGCTTATATGTAGGCTGTAAACAAGTGTCAATTACTAATAACTCATGTCAAAACAACTTATTGACTATGTATTACAATAATTTGGAGCACCATATTTACAGTGTCTCTATCAAATTGGTTAATGATAAAATTCTGAAATTACTTACCCTTTTTCAGAAGATAACCTTTCTTAACAATATTTTTATAAAAGGCATCCTTTGTTTTACGACGGATGGTATTATAGATTTCCTTGCCATCCACTGTGTCATTGAGTACTTGTTCTTGATCCTGAATTTTAAAAACATTAAAATTATTTTATACATTCTTGATGGAAATGAGGTAAAAATCTATTAAATTACCAATTAAAAGCCAAAGTGCTTAAAATACTAAAATCTAGATGTACATAACACATAAACAGTCTTTTGCTTTCCAAATAAATTCTCAGAAAGGTTTACTTATTTTTTTCCCAAGAACACAGACAACAACTTTCACAGAAAGGTTTCCTTGCCATTCCCAAGAACAAGTTGTCTTTTTCTATGTACAACTAATAAACTATTTTTAAATACAGTCAGTTATATTTTACAGCAAACAATGTATTAAAAACATAAACTTGTCCCAGCATAACTAAATTGGGACCCAATATAAGCATAAAGCAAAATCATGTTTGCTTATGCACAATTATGTCTGTAGAAATGCTAGCTGAATACAGACAACAGAACCCAGGTGAACTAATAAGTAAGAATGTACAAAATATACACACCTCAAATACCTAACAATTCCCTCAATTCACTAAGTGTGTCACATGCTACACCCATCCATCCATAGCTAGTGTTAAAACCCTGATTTCAGATAATCCTCCTCTGCCATTCTGCAACATTCCCATGCTTCAACCCTACCAATGGCCATTTCCACATGACTTTCCACTTCAGGCCTTTATTCAAGGTAAAGTGCCATATTTATTGTAGTATGTACATATTTGTTAATCATTTTGCATATATAAAACTAAGCAACATATTAGGTTCTTACTTTCTTAATATATCACTGATGAAATTTGTGTTACACCCCTGACCTCACTTTTCCCAAAAGCCCTGTGATTTTTATTGCCTGATTTTGCATAATGCCATTTTTAGGATTGCATGTTACATTTTGGCAGAACGGACATAAATTGCTAAATCCCCTGAAAAAAAGAATTATATCAGGAAGCCTTTATTATGATCCTTCCATAATAAACGAATCTTTTACTATCAAGGTGAATTGTTTTCGTTTTTCTATTTCTTTTTTGGCATAGTTCTTATATTTTGCAAGCATTAATATTTTATGACTTTTAGTCCATCTTACAAACTTCATTGTTCCATTCAATCCTCTTATAAATCTAAGATATGCTGTGGTATTTTCATAATTCTCTCTCTCTCTCCTTTATCTTGAAACATTATGCTGTCTCATCATCCTAGAAACTATACATCATTACTTAGAATTATTCCCAAGTATGCTTAAAAAAATCCTAAAATAACAGAAAACAGAAGAATGAATTGCCTACAACAGGGCTAACATATTATGGCATCCATGCTAAATGCAATCCACCACCTGTTTCTTATACATAAAGTTTTATTGGAACACAGCCATGCTTATTCCCTAACATCCTGTCTGTGGTTGCTTCCAAATAGGCAGACTTTAGTAGACAAACTAAATGAACTACAAAACCCTAAATATTTACTATCTGGCCCTTTACAGAAAACTTCTGCCAATGCCTGACCTAGAGGATGATGTGACAATGAAATAAATCATCTCTATTGCATCACTCTGGGCTTTTTTGTCCTTTTTTATTTAACTGTGTTGTAAAGTAGTGAAGCATCTTTTGAAAAAGTATAAAAGGCCATCTTTGCTGTCTTTTTAGCTTTCAACATACTTAAAATATTCAGAACTCTTTATTTTCTGCTCATAAATGGTAAAGAGAAAAAACTGACACAGGAAGATGTTTGACAATTAGAAAAATAATAAGATGAATGCAAAAAAAACAGCAGCACTCTATCACGATGGCAGAATTGATTTTGATAAATCTCAAACTGTGATTTTTCAGTGATGATATACTTGAATTTCCTCAAACTCAAGAAACACTAAGTGAACCATATTATTTCTAAGGGAAAAAAAGGAAATATAATGTTATCATCTGATCAGTTATTGAACAGGAAGAACGTCACCATGCAATATTTTGTGATAAGAACCTGGATTATCCTGTTTTGCTAAAAAGAAATGAGAGACTATTGTTTAAATTTCTATGTACATCAAAATTTACTTAACATGATTTGTGAATAGACAGACATTAAAGGCCATTTGTATAAAACATTACTGAAAGTAAACATATGACAGAAATTTTTAAACTCACTGGATTGATCACTCTCCAACATCAGTGTTAATTGGTGTTTTAAAATCTAAACAAAAATATTTTACAAATATGGAGCAAAGGACACTGTACTCTCCAACAAAATTATGAGCCATCAATGTTTTCAAAAGTACTGCATTTTGCTCGCACTGTAATTTCAGCACTTTGGGAGGCTGAGGCGGGCCAATCACCTGAGGTTAGGAGTTCAAGACCAGCCTGGCCAAAGGATGAAACCCCGTCTCTACTAAAAATACAAAATTAGCCAGGCATAATAGACACGCCTGTAATCCCAGCTACATGGGAGGCTGAGGTAGGAGAATCGCTTGAACTTGGGAGATGGAGGTTGCAGTGAGCAGAGATCACGCCATTGCACTCCAGCCTGGGCAAAAAAGAGTGAAACTCCATCTCAAAAACAAAAAACAGAAAAACCCCGCATTTTGATAATACAAAAACAAGAAAGAGGCCGGGCGCAGTGGCACAAGCCTGTAATCCCAGCACTTTGGGAGGCCGAGGCGGGTGGATCACAAGGTCAAGAGATCAAGACCATCCTGGTCAACATGGTGAAACCCCATCTCTACTAAAAATACAAAAAAATTTAGCTGGGTATGGTGGCGCGTGCCTGTAATCCCAGCTACTCAGGAGGCTGAGGCAGGAGAATTGCCTGAACCCAGGAGGCGGAGGTTGCAGTGAGCCGAGATCGCGCCATTGCACTCCAGCCTGGGTAACAAGAGCGAAACTCCAGCTCAATAAAAAACAAACAACAAAAAAAGAACAAGAGTCATAAGCTAGACTTCAGTAGTGATGTATTTAAAATCTGGAATTGATACTGCATTTGATAGATACAATGCAAGAAGAACCAAAGTAATTACAAGTAGAACATTATCAGACATGTATCTGCTTCTAAACGTGGAATCAGAATTTACAAATGGCTGTGTTCCAGGTCTGTGCACCAAGGGTAAAGAACTGTTAGTTGCATTTAAAAAATTGTGCATTTCAGGTATGTAAGCCTTTCTAACCATAAAAACATGAAACAAAAATTTGGGTATGCTACATCTGAATTCTTAATACATTTTCCAATGAAATTGTTTTTGGATTATAGTTTGATTCTTGCTGATGCGAATTATTTGTAAGATGATTTAGGAATATAAAACCTTAGAAGTACTGCAGATTTGGATCCAGACCACCGCAATCAAGCCAGCCATATAAATCTTTTGGTTTCACAGTGCAAGTAGAAGTTATGTTTACAACTATACTGTAGTCTATTAAGTGTGCAATAGCATTATGTCTAACAATGTACTTGTGTTAATTTAAAAATACCTTATTAATAAAACTGTTGGTCCATCCAAGGTGGTTTACACCTATAATCCTAGCGTTTTAGGAGACCAAGGCAGAAGGATTGCTTGAGGCTAGGAATTCAAGACTAGCCTGGGCAACATACCAAGACTCTATCTCTACAAAAATATTAGCTAGGCACAGTGGTGTACAGCTGTAGTCCTAGCTGCTGGAGAGGATGAGGCATGATGATTGCTTGAGCCCAGGAATTCAAGGTTGCAGTGAGCTACAGTTGCACCACTGTACTCCAGCCTGAGTCACAGGGCAAGACCCTGACTCCGGTCATCTAGGCCTTCACTGAGTCTCTTGCCTTGATACTGATGTCTGCTGAGTGATTAGGGCAGTGGTTGCCAAAGGTTGGGGTGGTCGTGGCAATTTCTTAAAAATGAAGTCTGCTACATCAATTGACTCTTCCTTTGACAAAAGAATATGCTGTTTGATACCATTTTACCCATAGTTGAACCTCCTTCAAAACTAGAGGCATTCCTCTCAAACCCTCTTGCTGCTTTATCAAGTACGTTTATAGAATATTCTAAATCCTTTGTTTTCATTTCAACGGTGATCACAGGATCTTCACAGGAGTAGATTCCATCTCAAGAGACCACTTTCTTTTCTCATCCATAACAAGCGACTCCTCTTTCACTCCAGTTTCATCATCAAAGTCTCAGTCTCATCTTCAGGCTCTACTTCCAAATCTAGTTCTCTTGCTGTTTCTACCATATCTGCAGTTACTTCCTCCTCAGTCATCTTGTAGCCTTGAGCCCCTCAAAGTTATCCTTAAGGGTTGGAATCAGGTTCTTCCAAACACCTGTTGTTATTGTAGCCTATGCCCATGAATCACAAATGTTCTTAATGGCATCTGGAACAATGAATCCTTTCCAAGGGGTTTTCAATTTACCTTACCCAGATCCGTAAAAGGAATCACTAATTTTGGCAACTGTAACAGTATGAAATTATTTCTGAACTAAGGATTTTAAAGTCAGAATTACTCCTTGATCCATGGGCTACAAAATAAAAGTTGTGTTAGCATGAAAACAACAATCTCCTTGTATATCTATCTCTATCAGAGCTCTTAAGTAAAGAGTTGCATTGTCAGTGATCAGTAATATTTTGAAAGAAATATTTTGTTCTGAGTAAGTTTCAACAATGGCCTTAAAATATTCAGTAAACCATGCTGTAAACAGATGGGCTATCATGCAGGCTTTATAGTTCCATTGACAGAGCACAGGTACAGTAGATTTGGCATAATTCTGGTACCCCTATGTTTTTCAGAATTGTCAATTGGCTTCAACCAAAAGTCACCAGCTGCATTAGCCCCTCACAAGAGAGTCAGCCAGACCTTTGAAGCTTCAAAGCTAAGCATTAACTCTAGCCATGAAAGGATGGTTTCTTTACACTGAAAGTCTGTTGTTCAGCCACCTTCATCAGTTACCTTCTGGATAGCTTGGCTAGTTACCTTCTGAAAAACTAGCTAGATGTTTTGGGTAACTTGCTACGGTTTCTACATCAGCACTTTTTGCTTCACCTTACACTTTTATGTTATGGAGATAGCATCTTTCCTTAAATCTTTTTTTTTTTTTTGAGACGGAGTTTCGCTCTTGTTACCCAGGCTGGAGTGCAATGGCGCGATCTCGGCTCACTGCAACCTCCGCCTTCTGGATTCAGGCAATTCTCCTGCCTCAGCCTCCCGAGTAGCTGGGATTACAGGCACGCGCCACCATGCCCAGCTAATTTTTTGTATTTTTAGTAGAGACGGGGTTTCACCATGTTGACCAGGATGGTCTTGATCTCTTGACCTTGTGATCCACCCGCCTCGGCCTCCCAAAGTGCTGGGATTACAGGCGTGAGCCACCGCACCCGGCATTTCCTTATATTTTATGAACCAACCTCTGCTAGCTTCCAATTTTTCTTCTGCAGCTTCCTCACCTCTATCACCCTTCAAAGAACGGATGAGAGTTAGGGCCTTGCTTTGGATAGGCTTTGGCTTAACGGAATGTTATCTGTGGTTTAGTCTTCAATCCAGACTACTCAAATTTTCTCCGTATCAGCCATAAGTCTGTTTCACTTTATTATCATTCATGTGCTCAATTCAGTAGCACTTTTAATTTCCTTCAACAACTCTTCAACTTGGCTGTTTGGTGCAAGAGAGACCTAGTTTTCAGCCTATTTGGCTTTCACCATGCCTCTCTCACTAAGCTTAATCATTTCTAGATTTTGACCTGATGTGAAAGACATGCGACTTTATCTTTCACTTGACCATTTAGAAACCATTGTAGGGGTATTAATTGGCCGAATTCCAATAGTGTTGTGTCTCAAGGAATAGAAAGGCCCAAGGAGAGGAAGATAAACAGAACAGCCAGTCAATGGAGTAGTCAGAACATACACCACACTTATCCATTAAGCTTGCAGTCTTCTTCAGATGCAGTTCATGGCACCCCAAAACAATTGCAATAGTAACATTAAAGATTGCTGATCACAGATCAACATATAATAGTGAAAAATTACCAAAATAGTGTAAGAATTACCAAAATGTGACACTAAGACATAAATGAGCACATGCTTTGGAAAAACAGTAGCAATAGATGTCCTTGTTGCCACAAACCATCAATTTGTAAAAGACTCACTATCTTTGAAGCATAAGACAATGCACAATAAAACAAGGTGTGCCAGTATATTGAAATGTGACAAGTTTATGATGATTCTTGAATTTGTATTTGGCTTCAGAATGATGATTCCTTACCAGCAGCCCCTCCCATAACTGCAATAAGTAGTAGGTATAGCCATCTGAAATGAACTTGTTAAGAGGAGGAAACATCAAGAAACGAGGCACACTACAAATCACTGTACAACTGCAGCTGAGTACCCAAAACCCTTCGCAATCTTTTATGTCACTAGAATATCAGTACCTCCATTTTCCACTTAGGAAAATTATTAATCCCTCTTTTGAAGCACCTTTTTCTAACCCCTGTTACACCATTTCCCTACCATACACTTCAGAAAATGCAATGAGGAAGAAATAGGCTAATCACCATAAGCAACTAATATTTAATAGGCTCTCTTGCTCATGGCCAGTCTTTCCTTTTATATTCTACATTCTATTCATTTTTGTCTTCTCTAGGACCTTGTCCATAAGATACTACCACCACCCATCTCCCTGTACATCATCATTCTCTTTATTACTATATAGTTTTTACTCAGAGTATACAGACATTCTCAAATTCTCTCACCATAAAACTACAGGCAAATAAAGAAAAGTATAAACCAGTTTTTACCCTAATCCTCTTCTATCACTTTTTATTTCCTTTTAGTACTCCCCAGTCTTTAAAAAGCATGGCTGTGGTTTATCCCTGCTGTTTCTACTTTTGCCTCCAAAAAACTCCCTCCTGTTCCTAGTGCAACTTGCCTTTCCCCACAACTGGTTCTACTCTCAAAAAGACACTAGGATGTTCCTGATTACCTAAATGAACATAGATAAAAACTAAGATTCTCTTACAGTTCACCTTATAAAAAAATCTAAATTATCTGCAGTTTTAAATTGTATCCAAACTTAATTGTACAAATGTGTGCAAAAACATACCACCAAAATGCATTTTAAAATAAAATGTTAATTACTGCAATAAGAAACGCAACACTGACCTGCATTGGTACAGGTTCCTTAAGATAATACCCTTCAACAATCTGTTCTTTTCGATAGTGATCTATGATGTCCCCAATGCTGTTAAAATAAAAATTTCTAATATTAATCTGTCTCATAAAAATGCAAAATCCTTAAAAATATGTGTGAACTTTCTACCAAAGATTATCTAATAAATAAATTTTTTTCAAAGCACATAACACAAATATATTAATAGAATAAATATGTAATGTTCATATTATTTTAGAAAAACTAGAATGTTCTCAATATAGGTTTACAGGCCAGAATACACAGCACAGATTCTGATTTTCCATACACATCAAGAGGGCAGCCAAGTCAACAATGCCATACTCAAAGAGTCATCATAAATGAGGAAGTAACTGAAAGTCTACCTTTTTTTTCACCCCCAAGAGTACTTCTGAGATACTAAGAATGAAGAATTCACAGAAACATGGTACTTATTTAGGAAGCAAGTTCAAGTAAATTAAGAATTTTTATTGTTACAACATTTACACATTCTGGTTTCAGATCAGAAACAGGTCATAAAACACATGAAAAACAGGCAAAAATAGAATTAAAAATGAGTTAATCTTACATGTAAGATTATCACTATAGAGAGAAAAGTTTATTGATTATTTTGATTAGAAGTGCTACAAATTATTCTAAATACTGGGAAAATATTTTAAAAAACAAAATTGAAAATAAAATGACAATGTATTTTAATATAAATTTTAGTGAACCACCTAATTTTTAAAATATAAACTCATTCCTCTATAATCAGTAAGATCATTCTGTTGTCCTAAATATGGAAATCTTGGAATTTTAAACTTCCCTTTAATATACTGGACAAATGGTAACTTTTGAGCCACCTAGGAAACACTTCTCCAGACAGATTTTAATTTTCATAATGCACTTATCACATAAAACCATGTGCACTCTTCTTGAAGCATAGATAAATGTTAATCCTCAAGGTCTGGCCAAAATCCATTCTCTTCCTTCTCACCACCCACTGAACTCTCATCTGCTGATTCCCATGCACATTTATACATCACCTGAATTTATCACAGTCTGCATACTATACTATCTCTTCTAATAAACCTGAGCACTAATAATGAAGAAATTCTTTTTCTTTAATGTATTGACACAGGATTTGTACAGTATATTTCACAAAGTAGATAAGTCTATAAATTTCTGCTGAATTAAATTTGCTATTAAATGCCTTTTTGGCTTTTTTAAAACTCTCAATATAGGAACATTAAAGTTATGTCTTCATAGTTTCTAAATGAAAGACATAACTACTGCCTCTCTTTCTCAAAGGTCTCATATGTATAGTAGATGGAGAGATGGGACAGCAGAGTATGGCTGTATTTCTTCCTAGGAATTATTTCCAACATTGTTACTAATGTTAATGCTGAAATGAAATATATATTTCCAAAACAATTACAAAATCCTTCATTTTCATGATACCTGATTAACATAATTTGGGGCTTTCTTTAAAAAGTTTAATGTTAAAACTAGAAACAGTAAAATGAATTTGTAAACAAATTCAGAGGGAATAAAAATTCTAAAAAATCAAAGTTCTTGGGGAATGGTCAAGGCCACTAAATTAATATACATTTAACTTTAAAAAAAAAAAAACCTGATTTTGAAAACAGACTAATAATATTGCAATAATTTGGACAGAAATCACTTAAAATACTTCTTTTTTCATGTTCCATCATGGTATTTGGCAAAAAAAAAAAAAAAAAGCAACTACCTTTTCATGTTTTACTTAGTACCTCCACTATGCAGCAAGAATTTCCAATTTTGTGTGATATGTATTAAGGAAGTTTTAGTCAGTGACAAAACAAACTTCCAAAAATTCTATGTAAATTGTTTTATCTTTAAAAACAATCTCAATATGGACATTCATTCAGTTAAGAAGAAAATATGTTTTCAGTGTATTATTTTATATGTTCTAAATCTCTAGAAAACTGGAAATGGGAAAAATTACATTCTTAAAGAGTTCAAATTGCAGTTAGCTGTATTTTCAGTGAGGACATCTAGAACTCAGATTGTCATGCAGAAAGTACTCAAGCAACTTGTATATGAGGTAGGCAAAAGGGTCCCACTGCCTAGACTCCCATTTTACATTTGATGTCTTGTAACAGTCAAGTGAGCTTCCAGCAAGCAACCAGAAGAACTTGTTTTATTTTTTGGTTGTTTTTTTTTTTTTTTTTTTTCCCAGATAAACCAGCTACAGAATCTCTCTTCATTCAGATGTCTAGTTTGATAAATTCTAATTCAGATAGAGATTGCTACTGTGGTATTGAGGGGTTAAACTAGGCAAATGTAAGTGTTTTAGAACAAGATTATGCCAGCCTCTGAAAAAGGAAAATAATGTTACTCTAGAGTTATTAGTTATAGGAAACCCTTTACATTCACAAATGAAGATTATTTTCTATTTGACAGAAAAATGACAGAACATTCTATCATATGGTTTCCTCTATTAACTTATTTTCCTAATCAAGTAATAATTCATTCTGAGTTTTGGGACAATTAGTTTACTTTGAAAGTGAGAAGTAAAAAGCAACAATCACATATAAGAAATGTCAACTTGAGAACAACTCAATTACAAGATAATCTGTATAGTAAGTCTCAGGTAACTTTAGAAACTTTTTTTTTCATACTAAAGTATCTCACTAATAAAATAATAATATTTTCTTTTTCTTAGATATTTTGCTCCTCCTACAGATTATATATGGATTTAGCAAATTTTTTTGCAAACAGCTTATGTCTAATTTTCAAATAGCAAAAATTACTTTGGAAGGAAACAAAGTATAAGTTACTAATTTGTATTCATATTTGACACTGTCTAAAGAATTACTGGGCATGACTATTATGAAGTTCTTATAATTTTTTGAAGCTAGAAACTTTTATATAATTTTGAATCTTTTATTATCAAGATTTCAACTATTTTTGCTAAAAGTAAAAGGTAACTAAAAAAATTATGATTTACCTGTTATAATACCGGCCTCCCATCATAAACTGATTGTTTGGTGTTGGACATATTTTAAATCGCTGAATATTTTCACTGGTCCGAAAATAAAGTGAATAATCACCAGGAGTATTATCTGAGGGCCTCACAAGAAAACTGCAGACTTGACCAACTGTAAAAATTAATCTGTTAGTTTTGTTACCTAATTATCAAATAAAAAAGAAAAGATGTTAAGTAGAATTATTACAAAGTCCATTCAAAGTCATAAACATGTAAATTTTCACCAGAACATGTTTTTTAAACAAATTTTCTGGTTTATGATTCACAACTATCCATTTTGTCTATCTGCTCTCTCTGATGTGTCTTACCAGCTTTAATACATAAAAGTAGAGAGCAGAAATTTTGCAGCATAACTTCTGGTCAGTAATGGCTACACCTGTCATAATTTGGAAAGGTAACCTAAGCAAAATTAGGGAATATGAGCTAAAACTGCTAAAATCTGTTTGTAAATCCTCTTGATAAGATTCTAAAAAGTAAAGACTAATTTTGCTTAAGAATACACTGTGCCTAACGTTTTCAATTAATCATTAAACAATAATGACTGTGCCAGGCATAGAGGTATACATGCATATAATCCCAGCTATTCAGAAGAATCACTTGAGCCCAGGAGTTCAATACCAGTCAGGGCAACATAGCAAGATCCTATCCTATATTTAGTAAGAATAAACAATGACAGGATGATTAAACCAACAATATAAGTCAATTTTAACTTTGTATTTATAAGCAAAAGAGTTTTGGGAAATGTTAAAATTAATACATATTAAATAGACTAAATCATGTAATTCCACAAGTGTACAAAGATATATACAAGAATCTCTTTTAAAAAATAACGATTGTAATAAAATAGTACCAAAACCTTTTAAAAAGGTAGATTCAAAACAACTGAAATATATATATGAATTATCAAAATCAATACACACACACTGTATTTTATTCAACAGGTATGCTCCTACAAGAAATTATAGAAGAAAATTATCATACATTAAATATGCCATATTAATTTTAGAGAACTGTTGATATCTTTGATTGGCAGTGACTCCTAATACTGAGATGCTCTACCTTTTCTCTTTATTTAAATATCTAATTTATTTATAAATTAGATAAAGTCCTTTTTCTGTTACCACATGATCAAAACTAAACAATCAATACAGTAAGTTTAATTCAAATTGATACAATGAAATAAATGCAATTAATCAAATAATCTCATTCTTAATACATTTTTATTATATTGTATATACATACTATATTTTATTTCAACAAAATGTAATAAAACTAGGAACTATCAAATATAAACTACAATTTTCATTACCAATACAAAAATGGCAACAATTTTTAATCCTGATTAATAACAAACTGTTATAGGTTTTCTTTTTCTTTTCTCCATTTAAGTCCGAATGATATAGAAAAGATCAGGACTTGATTGTTTTTAGGAAAGCACAATAAATGCGTAAGATATAATTTTTTTTGGGTAAATTACTAATAGTTCCAATCATCCAATCAAGGCACTTATTATCAACTAACTTCCTGTTCAGTAAAAAGAAAAAATAAATCTCCTAAAACTGAATCTTCAAGACTCAACACATATGTAAACATAAAAGTTACAAAAACTGACTGCATAATATAGGCTAAAATGAAAATGTTTCTAAGTTGATAAAACGAATCTTAGTGACAAGACTCCAAGATACTCTCTAAATGTCTTCTAAAATATGAAAGGAATTTCATGCAAAATTGTTCATGTAAGTGCTTATTTGTACTCCTCAGGAGAGAAAAATCCCACCAGTTCTCAAAAGAGCACATAACACAAAGAAAATGCAAACTAATGTAAGGAAATTAAGCTTAGCTCCTTTTCAACCTTGTATGCCTAAAACAAGAGTAAGTACCTCAAGTACTTGGTGATACGAGTTCCAGAAGAGAAACTTATATTCAAAATTCAGTAAATTCACTAAACTATTTATTTTTGGTTCCACACTGAAATGGCTGTTAGAATGTCATTTTAGTTTAAAATTTCTTCTCTATTATTATCATATAGCATTATCATCTTTTTTTAACTTTTTGGAACCTAATTAACTTACATGTTCACAATAAAATTGAGTACTTCAAAAACTATCTCAGATCTTTCAATAAAGTATTAAATTAAAATGCAATGCTTTTAGGCTGGGAGCTGTGGCTCACGCCTGTAATCCCAGCACTTTGGGAGGCCAAGGCAGGTGGATTAAAAGGTCAAGAGATCAAGACCATCCTGGCCAACATGGTGAAACTCCGTCTCTACTAAAAATACAAACATTAGCTGGGGCGTGGTGGCACGCACCTGTAGTCCCAGCTGCTCTGGAGGCTGAGGCAGGAGAACTGCATGAACCCGTGAAGGGGAGGTTGCAATCAGTAAGATCGCACCACTACACTCCAGTCTAGTGACAGAGCGAGACTCTGTCTCAAAAAATAAATAAAATAAAATAAAATAAAATGCTCTATGGATTAAAACAATTCAGATTACATCTTTAATAATTAGTGTTATCAACATAAGAGTTTATTTCACCAAATACAGAAACTACTGAATAGTCAACATTTTTGAAGAAATAAAACTTTTAAATTACATACTAAAGCTTAAACGCGTCTGAAATCTTTATAAGATGTGCTCTGCCGAAGAAATGCTTGGTTTTTAAATTAATTCAGCCTTAAATATTTAGTAAAAATAAACAATGACAGGATGGTTAAACCCACAATACAAGCCAATTTTTTTTGTATTTATAAGCACAAGAGTTTTGGGAAATGTTAGAATTAATAAATATTAAATAAGGGTAATCATATAATTCCACAAGTATACAAAGATAAATATAAGAATCTCTGCTGTAGCTGAACAGCAAAAGAGTAAAATACAATATCCTTCTATTAAAGACTAGTTAATTACAGTACTTATATATTGAAAAGTTTAAGGCCATAAAAAAGAGTAATGAAAATTTTTATCTGCAGATACAGAATCATCTCCCAATATATATCTAACATGAAGAAATTGTGCTGCATATTTACATGTGTGTATGTGTAGGGGTGAGAGAGATTCACAGAGACACAGAAAACTTCTAGAAACATATGGAAAAAAACTGTCATCTAGTATTACTTCTAAGAAGTGGACAGGAGCCTGAGGTAAAAGAAAAACACTTTACTAAATTTTATACTACATGCATGTTTAAAATATAAACAAAAACACCAGCTTCTTAGCACTGGACACAAAATTATAACATGCATAAACACTAAGCGTTTTGCTAAATGCAAAACACATAATAAATGCTTTGTTCACCTTTTTATTCTCTTTAAATAGACATTAGAAAAGCAAGTAAATACAAAGGTACCTGTCATTAGTAAATTGTAAGCTTCTTGTTTGGAAATCTTCCCATGGAACCATCTTAAAAAGATAATAAATTAGATATATAAAGTACTTTTTTTGTTATATGATCAAAACTAAACATTTAAATACAATAAGTTTAATTCAAATTGATATAATGAAATAAATGCAATTAATCAAATGTCATTCTTAATACATTTTTATTACATTGTATATATATACTATATTTAATTTCAACAAAATGTAGTAAAACTAGGAACTATCAAATATAAACTACAATTTTCATTACCTATACAAAAATGGCAACAATTTTTAATCCTGATTAATAATAAACTGTTATCGGTCTTTTTTTTCTTTTTGTGGGGAGGAGGGAAGGAGTAGTATAGACAGCACCTACTCCAGAATTTCCTGAAAAACGTAATAAATTTTTTCTCCTATTTCTGTATTTTCCTATAACATGGAAAATTTAACATGATGATAAATTCTCTCTTCCAATAAATTCAAGATGTGTTGACTCTTACTTTGCTAAAAGCCAGAATATAAGACTGGGTGATAAGAACAAGTGGATACCAACACCAAGAACTGAAAGAAAAGAAGGACTTAGTGCTCCTAACTCTATTGGAGCTAATAGCCTATCAAACTAGGTTGCTAAGTATTTTATAGTCTGTATTCTTAAATTAAGCCTTTCCAAATTTTATAAATGGCATCACAGTAAAAATATAGAGTATATAATAACATAAATATTTAAATTTTACCTTCAAATAAAATAATCTCTCTGATTTAAAAAGTAATTACTAGTTATCAAAGTACATAAAATCACCTCTTATTTACCTAAAGGCCTGATTAACACATCTTAATGCCAGGCTGACAATTCCCAATCACCTTTCTACTACTTTGCTGTATCTTATTAGGGTCTACAGTTAATCTAAATAATAGATTAAAGAGCAAGCCGGAAAGTAAACATAGGACTGAAATACATAAGTGCTCTAAAGTCCAGAGTTACAGGTTCAGAGGTTGTTCACATTGTTTTAAATGATCCATACTATTATTACTGCTGAAGAATGAAAATATAATTGAATTTCTTTTCATATGAATAAAAAGGTAAACTTTTCTTTAATACCATTCCAAGCATGAACTCACTAATTCAGATCTCCTGGTGCTCCCTGTGCAAATTTTGAATAATATAAAGCAAAGTGTACAACAACTAAAACAGTCCAGACTGCATGTAGTGAGGATCTACACTGCATTTGAGCATAGGCTAAATGACCACTTACTACAAATGTTAGAGCAGGATTTTTATACTCTGGAGGAGAGTCAACTGAATGACCTTACCTCCAAGGGTAATCCTCTACTTTTACAGTTTGAAAAAAAATTCAGAAAGAGAATGGTAAAAAAATGATAAGGTTTACAGATGAAAAAGATTATTTAGCAGAAGCACACAGTCTGAAGTTAAAGCGGCAATATCACTTTCTAAAAACAGTTTCATTCTTCAGACATTTATTCCAGTATAAAATTTATATATTTCAACCACATGGTTTGCAACAATGATAAAAAGATGAGTCCCTGATCTTATAAAGTTCTCACTCCTAGGCCAGGCATGGTGGCTCACACCTGTAATCCCAGTATTTTTGGAGGCCAAATCAGGAAGAGCTCTTAAGCCCAAGAGTTCAAGACCAGCCTGGACAACATAGTGAGACCCTGTCTAACTACAGAAACGACATAGAAAATGTAAGCACAGTGATAGGTATTGCCCAAGGCATTATGGGAATAACAGAGAAGGGTACCAATTCTGTTGAGTGTGTAGGGAAGAAAATAAAGGAAGATTTCCTAGGGGGAAGTGATAAATGAGCTAAGTATGAATGGAAGAATTCTGGTCTAGGAAGCAGCTTGAGCAAAGGTATAAAGAAGAAAAATAGCCAGGAACAATGGCTCACACCTATAATCCCAACACTTTGGAAGGCCAAGGTGGGAAGAGGCCAGGAGTTTGAGACCAGCCTGGGCAGTAGAGTAAGACCCCCTCTCTACAAAAAAAAATTTACAGCATTTGCCAGGTGTGGTGGTACACATTTGTAGTCTCAGCTACTTGGGAGGCTTAGGCAGGAAGATCACTTGAGCCCAGGAATTTGAGGCTGCAGTGAACCATGATAGCACCACTACACTCTAGCTTAAGCAGTGGCAAGAACCTATCTCTAAAACAATAAAGAAAAAAGTAGTATGTGTTTGAAGACCTACAAGATGGAGATTAGAAAACTAGAGATGATAAGTGATACGAGTAGTAAAGGACAAAACAGCCATATAATGGATCATTTTTTTAGGCTCTGCTAAGGTAAAGGTGGAGAATCAGTGTAAGATTCAATTTTTTAATTTTTTTTTTTTCTGTTTTAATGGATAATGTATATAACTATTATGTTGTATATTTTTATGGGGTACCAGTGATATTTTGATACAAGCATATAATGTGTAATGATCAATTCAGGGTATCTGGGGTATCCAACACCTCAAGCGCATATAATAATTTCTTTGTGTTAGGCATATTCCAATTCCTATCTTTTATTTTTAAATATTCAGTAAATTATGGTAGCACCTTATTGTGCTACCAAATACTAGATCTTATTCATTCCATCTAGGCGTAGTTTTGTACTCATTAATCAGCCCTGCTGTATCCCCCCTCCCCACCCTTTGGTAAGCACCATTCTACTATCTACATGAGTTCAATTTTCTAATATTTTGCTTCCATATGAGTGAGAACACATGGCATTTGTCTTTCTGTGCCTGGCTTATTTCACTTAACATGGTATTCTCCAGTTCCATTCATGTTGTTGTGAATGACAGGATTTCATTCTTGTTTATGGCTGAATAGTATTCCATTATGTGTACGTACTATATTTTCTTTATCCATTCATCCACTGATGAACACTGATTAAACATCTTGGCATTCTGAATGGTGCTGAAATGTGGGAGTGCAGCTTTCTCTTTGATATACTGATTTCTTCTCAATTTTCTGAGGAACTTCCATGCTGTACTCTATAGTAACTACACTTATTTATACTCTCACCAACAGGGTACAAGGGTTCCCTTTTCTCCACATCCTCGCCAGCATTCATTATAGCATATCTTTTGGATAAAAGCCATTATAACTGGGGTGAGATGAAATGTCATTGTAGTTTTGATTTGCATTTAACTGATGATCAATAATGAATGGTGAGCATTTTTTCATGTATCTGCTGGTGATTAAGGATTTTAGGTGAAAATGTGATACCATCTAGGTAAATTATTCTAGCTCCTGGAAAAAAGGATTTGATAAGGCTAAAGAGTCAAGGGAGATCAACTTGGAGGTTATTGCTATATTGAATCCTGGCAAGAGATTTAAAAAGGCCTGAACTAGAATATAGTTATTTAAGATTTGAGAAGGCGGTAAACATTCAAGAAATATTTTAGGAGACAAAACCATCCGGACTCGGTGCCTATATCATGGCAACAGAGAGCTGGAAAGAAACCCAAAATTATACCATCTATTTAATCTCAAAGGGTACTTATGGATGTTACTGAGGACACTTTAAAGAATTTAAAGTACCGCCTCAATGCCATAGTCCTGTATTAAGAAATTAAAGGGAACAAACACACACATAAAATAAACCAACAATGCAAACTTTAGTTATGCTAAATACCAAATAAGAAATTACATAAAGTTAAGAAAAATGGAAGAATGACAATGCTATCAGATAATAAGACTTCTAAGTGAAAGTGGGATTTATGTTTTATGAGAAATATATGCAGCTTTAAGTGTTTACTGGCATTTAACCTATATTTTTAAATTAAAAATTCCATTGCTATAATCCAAAATAAAAATAAAAATCTAGATTTATGGTCTTTTGAAAATCAGGAGGCTCTCACAACACTAGACTCACATCCCTACACATATCAACTAGAGAGATTACCTTACAACAGGCAAACTCTTTCTAGTTTTCCACCTCCCAGTTTTCTCTAATAGCATGAATGAATGTCAGTTGCCATTTGTTACCACACTTAGTGTTGTTTTTTGATAGTAGGAACATAGTTCCATGTACCTTGATCTCTATCAAAGAGGGAAAATAAGAAAGATCAAGATTATTGTCTCTAAAGAAAACTGGGAATATATATACCTGACCTACTTCACTTGCTTACATTGTCTATCTGATCCTCAAAGCATTAATCAAAATTTGCAACTCCTAGCCAGGCACAGTGGCTCACACCTGTAATCCCAGCACTTTGGGAGGCCAACGCTGGTAGATTACTTGAGGTCAGGAGTTCAAGACAAGTCTGGCCAACATGGCAAAAACCCATCTCTACTAAAAGTACAAGCATCAGCCTGGCATGGTGGTATGCGCCTATAATCCCAGTTTCTCAGGAGGCTGAAGTGGAGAATCATTTGAACCTGGGAGGAAGGGGTTGCAATGAGTAGAGATCGTGCCACTGCATTCCAGCCTGGGTGACAGAGCAAGGCTCCATGTCAAAAAATAATAATAAAAATAACAAAAAAGAATTAAAAACTCCTGAAGAGTATTAGTTTGAAGAGGGGAAGACTTGTAACTAATACAAACAGCAAGGTACAGTCTCCCTAATGAAGTCTGTTTTGTAGCCACAAGAAATAATAAAAATGAACTCAGAAAATCTTACATATCTCACTTAAAGAAGGGTGAAGCATTAAATAAGGTGATTGCAAATGGAGTAGTCAGTTTAATGTTTTTATATTCTAACGGTTAGCAAACAGAAAACCCAAACACTTGAGGCAAGCCTCAAGTTCCATCCATAAATGCTGAACGATAAGAAAAAAAAGTTGTACTACTGAAAAGATATTACAAGATGAATAATCTATTAAAATATAAGACAGAATTGGGATTAATGGTTCAGATCTTTAAAAGAAAACTTACATATACATAAAATCAGTCTGAAGATTATGAAAAAAAGACCTTGCAGAATCCTATTAAAATTGTGAAGAACCGTTATGAGGTTGGGGGGGTTGGGATAAAAGATGTGGCTTTAAAACAAGAAATACTTTGAATAACCAATAAATACTACGAATAATTTTAAATTGTGCTGAACTGTGACATTCATAATGTTATAAATGTAATGTTTATTGAAAGTTTTTAGGTGTGGTGATAAAGAGAGTTGTATTTAGTTGTATCACTAGATCCTTAATAAAATATTTACAAATCAGTTCCGTAAGCCAAATTAAAAAGATGTTTAAGTCAGTCTAAAAACTTTAAAAAAAATTTTGGCCAAAGTTTTCCAATTAGTAAATTTACAATATAGATATATATTTTTTTCATTGTAATAATTAACACAAACTCACATTTTTCCTTCATGTGGATCTTCTTCCCGGCCCTAAAGGGAAGACACATTAAGACAGTATTTTATATAATTAACTATTAATCTACTTCTATTAAAAATCATATCTTCAACCCACACTGCCCTTCACATTTATGTGTATACAAGAAAAGATGTTTCCGTTCAAGAAATATCTTTCCATACCTATCTTAATCTTTTCTTGTTGCCATTACCCTAACTCAGGCCCTCTTACCCATTTTTCTTAAATTAGTACAACAGCCCAACTAATATAATTACCTCTATGTCCTACTCCACCACTCTAACTTGGACACATCAGTTTCAACAGCAGCTTTGCCCTACGTTAAGAAAAACCAAACACCTCTCTACTGCCTACAAATTTCTCATTCTGCAACTGAAGTCCTTTACCACAGGACTCAAGTCCACATTTTCTGTCTCATACTACCAATTCTTTTTAGGTACCTATGCCATGGTCACACATAACCTCCTATTTGCCAATTTCCTACCTGTAGCTTTTTCTTTTTGTTCTCAGAATGTACTTTCTACTTTTTGCTTTCTACCTGTTAGTTAAAAACCTACCCCATCTAGGAAGGAACCATCACAAACGCTACCTCTTCAGCGAGACATTTGAGCCCCTAAAAAGTGAACACCAACTTCGAATATAAAAGACATCCCCCTTTTATCATGTTTTGAACTTTATTTTATACTATACTCCTCTGATTTAAGATACTACAGTGTTACTCATTCCACATGGAGAAAAATGATCTAACTTGGATTTATTTTTCACAATTTGGTCCTCACTCATGAAATACCTAATCAAACTAAAATCAAACACTCACTGAATGCTACTATATCCAAGGCAGTTGGAAAACAAAAAAACTATAAAAATGAATAGCATTACCATTATATCACTGCCCAAAAAGGGTTACTCTCTTATAGAAGAAGTATACATAATAAATTAATTTTAGACAGTGTAATAGAAGGAAACAATTTTGCCTAAGAGATTCCAAAAAGGCATAAATCCTCTGTGAAACAAGAGGTGACACATGAACTGAACTGATAAAGATGAATCAAATTTCACAAGGCACTCTAACAGGGCAGGAATGTCAAGGAAGAGGGAAAACTATAAGCATAGAGACATTCATTTACGTAACAAACATCTACTGAATGCCTACTAATGCCAGCCACTATTCTAGGCAATGGGAATACATGAGTCAATCGGAGACAAAAGTCCCTCCCCTCACAGAGCATACATTCTAGAGTTAATATATAAAAGCATAAATGTGTTTGGGGAATAGTAATTATAATTTTAGAGGGAGAAATTCTTTAAATCTAACCACTAACTGAATGCCTGAAACATCTTTGCAATCTAAAAATGTCCGAATGGTTTTTTAATCTACAAGGAATTCACTATCCTCTAATAAAGCCCATCATGAAAATTATTCTACATATTGGAGTAAAAATTATTTATAACTGACCTTTAATTATTCCACTATTAATTTATAATATTACTATATTCATTTTTAGCAACCACATCACATTATTCAGTTATACAAAGTTACTAACTTTTTCTTCATCCCTTGTATTGACTGATGTTAGGTCATGTCTCCTTATTCTGGTTTGGGTTGTTACTATTTTTCAGTATATGTTGAATAATTTTCACTTACTCTTATTAAAGTTTATCTTGTTAAATTTGATCCAGAATTCCAAGAGCTCAAGAAAAGTTCAACAACAGTGCAATTCCTTTAAGTAATCAGGATGGGGAAGATGGTGGTATAGGAGGGAGAGGGAAACCCAAACTAAAAGTTTTACTAACAAATTTTATAGGAAAACTAACATAGTAAGATGCTTCAGTATGAATACTGTTTGCCTATATGGAATAAATACCTCTTTCACTGTACAATACAGAACAATACACTGTACAATAATCTAGGAATTAGGAGTCCTAATCCTAGCTCTTTCACTAAACAACTATATGACTATGAGTATAGAATGTATCACACCATTTCCTCAACTTTTTCCACCTCTACACACAGTATGCTTTACTTCTATATATGAAGATCCAGTTGCCAGAATAGACAGATAAGAGTATAGGAAAAGAAATATATTCTCCACTGCAGTCTTCCAGGAGCAATAATCAGCACATACATTTCAGCATATTATCAGGTCTTCTGATGGTATGATTTAAAAATAGTAGCTTTGAGGGTTGTAAGAGACAACAGAAAGCCACTCCATCCCACTGGACAAATCAGAAAGGAAAGGGAGAATTCCAAAGTTATAATGTTTGACAAATTTGATACTGAGTGCTGTCTCTGAAGTATAAAGGCTATTCAAATGCTAACCTGTTATTAAAAATGCACGTGGGAATAGATACCACATGATAACGTATTATATGATGGCAACAAAAATAAGGATGGTATTCAAACTGTAAAACCATGCAGTAACGTATGCATAATACAAATGAATTCTTCCAAGTTTACTAGAAAATTATACATATATTTGAAAGATAAAGAATCTGAAACCAAATCTGTGCAACCAGTTGAGAGTCCATGATCAGACTGATATAACTTCATTTATGAGGAAGATCAAGAAGGCAAAAAAGAGGACAAAAATAAGCACAAATGAGCCAGGTACAGGGGCTCACACCTGTCATCCCAGCACTTTGGGAGGTCAAGGCGGTGGATCACTTGAGGTCAGGCGTCTGAGACCAGCCTGACCAACATGGTAAAACCCTGTCTCTATTTTAAAAAATTAAAAAATTAGCTGAGCATGGTGGCGCATGTCTCTAATCCCAGCTACTTTGGTGGCTGAGGCACGAGAATCGCCTGAACCTGGGAGGTGGAGGTTGTAGTGAGTCGAGACTGTGCCACTGCACTCCAGCCTGAGCAACAGACCAAGACTCTGTCTCAAAAAAAGCACAAATGTTAATATATTTCTAATTCATAGAAACTCATTAAGGCTTTCTGAATATTGGCAGCTACATATTATAACAAGCTAGCTTATGTGCCACACTAACAAACAGCACTTATAATAAATAGATTTTAACGAAAAACTCCTTGTACTTACCAATTAAGTTCTTTTATAAAAGAAATGTATTCATAGCTACTTTCTCTGTTTATGGGCAAGATCCAAATTTTATCAAATAATTAGAATTTAGAATTGAGAAGAAAAGAACAAAACTTACCACCTCTTCTACTAGGTCTTCAACAATAAGGCCTTGTTCATCTGTTCTTAGATTTGTAACCCACATCCATCCATCTTCTAATTCATTATGAACAATGAACATATCTCCCTTTAGGAAACTGAAAACAGCAATTTTTAAATTATTAAAAAATTTAAATACATAAATTCGAACAATCATACACCACAAAACAGGATAGTTTTGAAAAATACTATATTTTTCAAAACAGGATAGTTTTGAAAAATACTATATTGAAAAATACAAGGAGTCAAATACCCTAAATTTGTATCCTGTTTCTGGCATTATCTACATGTAAATCTCTGAAGATAATAAATAATCTGGATCTTAATTTCCTCATGAATAAAATGAGTTTGATAATAGTATTTGTACTATCTCTAACACTGAATTATTGTTAGACTCAAATTACAATTTCTGTTAACAGAAACTAATTATACATATATTAAAGGTTTTGGGGTGTAAGAAAACAATTGAAAAATTTATGTAAAGAGTAATAATGTTATTACTCTTTCAGATGTAGGTTATATATAAAATCAAAAACAAGGATGATATTCGAACTGTATAAATGAATTCTTCCAAGTTTACTGGAAATTTATATATGTATTTGAAAAATAAAGAATCTGAAACCAAACACGTACAGCCAGTTGAGATTTCATGATCAGACTGATATAACTTCATTTATGACAAAGAACAAGAAGGCAAAAAATACATGCTTTGAAAGAATGCTTCTTAACACAAAGTTTCAAGATTTGTTGGATGCTACCATTAATCCTGTATCTGTAACTGTATCTATCATATTTTTCAACAATTTTCCTTTCAGTCTTAATATTCACAAAGCAAAGTCTATTAAGTAAATTTAAGTTAATCTAGTCTCCTATCCTTGAAAGCTTTAACTGTTTTCTCTATGCTATCTCAAGCTTCACTGTTTGCACAGTGTTTCAAAAAACAGAACTTATATACAACATTTAACTCAGTAATTGAATAATCATAGAATATTATATTCTATCTTGATTCTACAGTCATTCTTAATGATGGCCAATATTTCCCTAGCTGAATGGCAGCAGACATGATCACTTAACCAATTAAATTATTCCTTTCTAGAACCACTTAAGCACATTAAGGAAAATCATTGAGTGTGTAAACGGAGGGTGCACATGAACTGGTAAATTTCATTTCTTAGTTGAAAGTAGTCATTTCTTAGCTGAAAGTTTCAATGTTGTTACTATACCAACTTTTCATGGTGCAAAAACTAAAAAAAATTTTTAAATAAGCTTGTTAGTAGTAATACAACATAACCATAACTCACTCTGTATTATTTTGTGTTTTCCCCCTCAAAACAAACTAAAATGATTTATTAAATCATTAATTTTTAAGGTATTTTATTTTAAAATTCACAGGTATGCACAAATTTGTTAAAAGACTCATAAACCCAAATTTATATCATCTAATTATTGTTTAAATTCCCATCCTCTTTTTCTTTGCTCTCTCAGGACCTCTTACACTCTTAAAAATTGATAATCTAAGTGGCTTTATTTATATGGATATCTATAGATATTTACCATATTCAAATTTAAAACAAATATTTAAAAAATATTAATTCCTTTAAAAAACTCATTAAAAATATGAAAAATATTTATAACTTTTACAAATTTAGTGAGAATATCACTGTTTTGTAATTTTGCAAATCTCTTAATGCCTGGCTTAATTGAAAACTGCTGGAGTCCCATATCTGCTTCTGTATTAAATTTGCTGCTATATGATTTTTTGCTCAAAGCATATGAAGAAAATCTGGCTTCACCTAAGAATATAGTATAAAAGAGATAAATATTTTAATAACCTTTTCTGATAATTATAGATATTCTATGAAATCACACCAAAATCTCAACGAGTGGTACTATCTTGAAGGTTAGTTGTAATATGGAATCCAAAACTATTTATCAGTGAACTTTCTGTATGCATTCCAGTAACATCTACTGGTCTATCTAGCACTTTGAATTAATCTTTTACTCATGCATAACGTCATACATTTACCATTTAGAAAATATTAGTTCGCTGAGCTATGTCTATCTTCTAGTTATTAACACATTATATACGCTATCAAAACCTCTTATTCTTGGCCAGGCACAGTGGCTCATGCCTGCAATCCCAGCACTTTGGGGAGGGCAGGTCACCCAAGGTCAGGAGTTCAAGACCAACCTGGCCAACATGGTGAAACTCCGCCTCTACTAAAAATACCAACATCAGTCAGGTGTGGTAGCAGGCGCCCACAGTTCCAGCTACTCAGGAGGCTGAGGCAGGAGAATTGCTTGAATCTGGGTTGCAGAGGTTGCAATGAGCCAAGATCGTGCCATTGCACTCCAGCCTGGGTGACAAGCAAAACTCGTCTTTAAAAAAAAAAAAAAAAAAAGGAAAAAAAAATTTATTCTTTATTATCACCACCTATCTCATCAGAAAAGTCATTATCTCAGAAATTGTAAAATTCTTAATGGCCAATACAGAAAAGTCTAAAATTCTCATTTTTACTCAAAACTCAAATTTTGTTATTGACAACAAATACTAACAGTTATTTTCCTTGAAATAATAGTCTCACTTTGTTCTTTTTCAAAAAATGTTAAACATTCTCGCAAGTGAAATGGTGTGCACAAAAGTAACAGCTAAGCCAAGCGCAAGGGCTCATCCCTGTAATAACAGTACTTTGGGAAGCCAAGGCGGGCAGATCACTTGAGGTCAGGAGTTCGACACTGGCCTGGCCAACACGGCAAAACCCCATCTCTACTAAAATACAAAAAATTAGTTGGACCTCGTGCCACACGCCTATAATTCCAGCTGCTCAAAAGACTGAGGCATGAGAATCCCTTGAACCTTGAGGAGGTGGAGGCTGCAGTGAAACAAGATTGTGCCACTGCACTCCAGCCTAGGTGACAGAGCAAGACTCTGTCTCTAGTTCAGTTATCTCACATTGCTTTTTCTCATGGCACTGATCTTGGGTACATAGCAGAAGTGTTTTATACATACTTCCCATTTCATCATACAGATTAAAGTTGTATGGTCACAGGTTGAAATTTAATAAATATTGTTTACTTCCTCATTAATAATGCTGTTACATGAAGCTGTCTTTAACCCCAAGTGTGTAACAGTGAAGAATACTGTACACTTTTGTACCACAGTCTTCATTTCTACTAAGACACTGCAGTTTTACCACCCATTGCTTTTGTACCATCACTGTAAAATTCACAATGAAAAAGGCAAATTATGTCTTAGTATGGTTATGAAAATAATCTGATCTCATGGGTTGTGATGATCAATTTTATGTGTCAACTTGGCTGGGCTGCAGAGTTCCCAGATTAAATATTATATTTCTGGGTTTGTCTGTGAGGGTGTTTCTTAATGAGATCAGCATTTGAATCAGAGGACAGTATCCTGCCGTCCCCAGTGTAAGCAGGCATCATCCAGTTGACTAAGGGTCTGAAGAGAACAAAAAGTGGAGGAGGAAGAAATTCATCCCTTTTTTTCTTCCTCACTGATTGTGCTGGGACATTTCATCTCATCTCCTGCACTCAAACTAGGATTTACATCATAGGCTCCCCAGTTCTCAGGTCTTTAGATGTAGATTGAATTATACCACTGGCCTTCTTGGGTTTCCAGATTGCAGACAGCCGACTGTGGGTCTTTTCTGCCTCTATCTATCATTGGGGGAACCAATTCCCAATAATAAATCTTCTCCTCTAGAGAACGCTGACTAATACATGATTCGAAATGGGTCTCAAAGATCCCCAGAGTTACATAGAACATGCTTTGAGAACTGCTGTCCTAAATGATTCCACAAAAAATTAAAAATTACCTAAATTCCTAAATTTATAATTCATCACTGTTCTTCTTTAATGTACGCATTTTCTCCTTTGTCTTTTATAGGGCTTTCCAGTTTATATTACAAATTACAATGTGTCAATAAGAATTAAATGAGATAATTAATGGCAAGAAACAAAGTTTCCACTAGAAAGTTAAATAGCTTATAGAAAGACACAGAAAATTTGATTATCAAGTTACAAAATAAATTATATAGAAATTAAAAAAACTAACATGTTGCATAGTTCTATAACATTCCAAAGGATCTGATCCACCCTGACAGGAGTGAATATAATAGGAGAAATCTTCCAATCTAGCTCTTTAAAATGCCTATACATGAGAATAGATTATAAAATACCTTATTTCATCAGTGTCTGGTACTTTTGTGTAAGGCAGAATAGCTCGTACACGTCTTCTATCTTCTACTGGCTAGAAACCGTTAAAAAAAACAGGGTTTTAAAAAGACAATCTTTTTATCTGAAAGTCAAAAGAGGCATATCTACACAGTTAAAGTCAATAAACATTCACATCAGACACTCCATGAGATCAAATAAATTTTTACTTGGACTATAAACACCCAGTGCCTAGCAAGGCTATTTTGTTGTTTTTGTTTTTATGAAAATTATATTTTAAATATAAGCAATCTGCTTTTATCAGGTAATATGAATGATCATTTCATTTTAAATATACCATATGAAACATGTAAGTTAACCTTTCTCTTATGATACAGAAGGCATTTCAGAATCCAGCAGCAAAGTCAGGTTTAGTACTATGAAATCAGTAATTTGCCCTTATACATTCAGAAATATTTGTTAGGCTATCACCTTACAGTATTTTTTTAAATCTGATTTCTTAAATAAAAAATTACTGAAAAGTATTTTCTTTTTCAAAGAAGTTGTCCATTTCGTTCTGACATTATAACCCGAATTAAAATTTAATACAACGAATACTTCTTGAATTATAGTAAACATAAGAAACTGAACAACAACAGCTAGTCATTATTATAGTGAAAAAATAAACTTTTGAAAACTTGCCTCTGGTGGTGCAACTGGATAAAGCAATTTTTCTCCTTTAAGCAAACAAGAAACATGACTGTAATAACCTATTAGATCTGACAGTGAAGAAAAACGTCTTCCACCAATGTAGTAATCACCACACATAGCAATAATCCTATTTGAACAGGAAAAAATAACAGGATAAAAAATCTTTACAGCCAATTTTAAAGACCAAGTTTCACAAAGAAATTACAAATCCGAAATTTCCATGCTCTTTTCCTTGTAACTACATCCTTACACTAAAATACCATCTTTATCATAGCAAATTACTTGGGGCTATTTCTCTTACATATATATACATGCATTTGATATGAAATACGTATCAGGCTTATAAACCTCAATTACAGAATTCCATCAAATATTTGAAAATTCACCCTCAGATACCTCTTCTCACTTTCCGTATTTAGGGCCAAATTAACAATTTTGTAAGTTTTCTCTGGCTAAAAGTAGCTCACAGATCTGTTGAAATATTTACACAAAGTACAGTAATAATTTTACATACTACATGTGGGATCATGGTACTAGTAAAGCTTACTTTAAAATCTAAAAACCAAGGGTACACAAACATTTTATCATTTAACACTATATGCATTAGATGATTTTTTTCAACTTCTTCTGTAAAAGTGAAACAGAATATAATATACATAAATATATTTATATATACAGAATTAATATTTGCACTTGAAAATTTACATGCCTGTTTCACTGAAGTACATGTCTACAAAGGGTTTCAGAATAGTGAAGCTAAAATAAAGCACACAAACTGAGTTTTAAACAGGGTCTCCTATACTTTTTGTTATTCTATAGTCTAAAAGTATGTAATTCCTTTCCTTTAGCCTACTAAAGTTTATTTGTAATTCTTTATGCTTTAAAAGCTATAAATATATTTGAGAATCAGCACAGTAATGCCCAACAATATTGTTTTTAAAAAAAAATTTGACCATTCAAAAGAATCTCTCTAAATCACTGATGAAATCATTTGACTGAAAACAAGCATCCTTTTCCATTATTTGTTACTGAGTAATTCATCTTTATTATACAGGTATATTTATAAATATTATATAAAAATAATTATACCATGTGGCTTCATAATAGGAATAAAGACTTACCTAAAATGGTTGACAACATTCATCTGGCTAAGAAATGAAAGTACAAAGGACCCTGGCCTCCGATCACTCTCTCTTATAAGATAACTGCCAGATTTTCCTGCCTGCCTGAGGCGTTCTTCTGCTATCGTTCTATCAAGTTTTCCATGATACCACCTAGGGGAAAAGAGAGAAGATATTACAATATAAATTGCAACTGTAAAATTTCTATTGGTACTTGAAAAACATATCACTAGGGTTTTAAATGCCTACATGTAACTTTAAACATTTATATTTTACTCTGAACCAATTAATCCAATTTTAACTCAATTCTATTTAACCTCAGTCTCTCAAAAAATACTCATTTACTTGGTCTTTAATTTGTTCTAGAAGTTCAGTCCTAGTCATCTCATACATAAATTCTTCCATTTCTACCCATCTTCCTACCTCCAGGATTGCCTGCTATTCAAAATATAAAACTACAGCAACCCAATCTTTACTTAGAAAAATAAAATTTGGACAAATGGAAATGATTAATTTACCACTTGTATCTTATACTAAGGAATCAAGACTTTACCAGTTCCATGGAAACTATGAGTATATAAAATGTTTTATTCTATTTTAGTGTTTGTGCCCTGAGACAGGAAAACAGAATTACACTGTCTAAAGGATGCTATTCTAATTTCCTATTTGAACATGAAGCTGATTAATCCCTTTGGCTCTAAAATAATCTACTCCATGACTATAAATGTGCACTCAACTTTCCAAACTTATTTAACAAACATGTGGAAGAATAAATAGCACCTTTGTCCCTTCACCCTTATGGCTCTCAATTTAACTGTACTCTACCTACATACTATCAAATGATCTGCTTAAGAAACTGGCTATAACTCTAGCATCATCCATGATACCAAGTATACCTATCAAAGCCTCATGGACTGATATAAACAGAAACATACTTAGAAATATACCAGAAATATCAAACAAGCATGGTAACAAATCTCCAAAGTAATTGTTATAAAATCTTTTTACATTTTTGATAGTTTAGCCAAACTCATCCTTAGATACTTACAGCCGAATTGGAAACTTTCAGAGTAAAACAATAAACATTCATATTACATTGATATATTCAATTATGTTACATAATATAGTATTTCAGCTTTAACAATGTTTCTTTGTAATCTTAATGTTTATAATAATGTAGTATGTATATTATATATGAGCCAATGATAAATGCATTATGCTATTATTATTTTTGTAAGACTGTTGTAGTAAAAGCTCATTATTCTTGATTCCTTAATTTATAAAAATAAAACAGAAGGGCCGGGCACAGTGACTCATGCCTGTAATCCCAGCACTTTGGGAGGCTGAGGCGGGCAGATCACAAGGTCAAGAGATTGAGACCATTTCTGGTCAACATGGTGAAACCCCATCTCTACTAAAAATACAAAAATTAGCTGGGAGTGGTGGCACACGCCTCTAGTGCCAGGTACTCAGGAGGCTGAGACAGGAGAATCGCTTGAACCTGGGAGGCGGAGGTTGCAGTGAGCTAAGATCACGCCACTGTACTCCAGCCTGGTGACAGAGTGAGACTGTTTCTAGAAATAAAAATAAAACAAAAATACAGAAACTTAAAACTTCTTAAGAATTACTTTTAGTTTTCTTCTAAAACCAACCTATGTATTTAGAGCCCTATGCATAAGACTAAAAATAATGAAAAACTTATTTATAAAACATAATTGTAAACTGTCAGTATTAGAACAATCAATCTTGCATTCCTCTGAAATCCTAATCTTAGTGTAGCCATTATCTTTGAGACAAATGACAATTAAATTTAACTTTCAAGAACTCGAGGATTTTTTTAATCTGAAATGAAAAGTTTACACTGGAGATCATAAAGGTCCTTTGAAGAACTATAATTTAACTACACAAGAAAATAAAATTTTGAAATTTCAGGCTATAAGGTTTAGTATAAAAATATATGGGATATCCTTAGAACATAAAACTAGTATATTCCCCATTACTTAAAGCAGTGGAACTATCCCAGAGAACAGATTTATATATCCAACAAAGATAAAATTAAGGACAATTTTAAGCAAATCTCTATTTTTATGTACTTGTTATTTGTAAAATTTCTGTTGTGTCTTAGGCACTATCAAGATGAAAAGGTTTTATTTAATCTCCTTCATCTTTTGAATTCACCATGAAATGATACACAGAGATCCATGAGGCATTACAAAATTACTACTTTATAATAGATATCTGACTTAGGATTTTAATTGATACATGTTTATTTGTGGTTTTCAGTTTTTTTTTTTGTTTTGTATTTTTAAGATGGGGGTTTCACTCTGTTGCCTAGGCTGGAGTGCACTGGTATCATCTCACCTCACTGCAACCTCCACCTTCTGGGCACAAGCCATCCTCCCACCACAGTCTCCCAAGTAGCTGAGACTGCAGACACATGCTACCATGCCCAGCTAAAATTTTTTTTTTTTTTTTTTTTTAATAGAGAACAGGGTTTTGCCATGTTGCCCAGGCTGGTCTCAAATTCCTCGACTCAAGTGATGTGCCCACCTTAGCCTTCCAAAGTGCTGGGATTACAGGTGTAATCTACCACACCGAGTCAGTTTTTTACATCTATGTACTTTCCCTAAGATCTGAGCATTAAAATGGGTAGGTCAGTTCTGGAAAAAGACATTAATCTAAATAAGTAACTGTTTCCTACACAATAGTAATTTCCTTTCATGTCAAAAGGTCATAAGCTTCAAACACATAAGGCAAAACATGTCAATTCTTGATTATGACTATAAACTATAATTAAATTATCCAGCCATCAGCTTGTAAACATTTATGCAGTTGATTTGATCCTTAAAAAATGTTAAACCATTTCAACTGTAACAAACCTCTGGCCCAGCCAGAAATTCTGATATATGAAAACAGTTTAGGCTGATAGAACTCAGAGAAGGATGGCTATGCTGACACTCCCTGAGCTTGTTCAAAAGAGAGAGAGCATACTAACAGAAGACCAAGACTTACCAGAAACCCAAGAAACCTCCAATCTATGGTGAGGCCACCCTAAACATACCCAATCTCATCAGAAACATCTCCAGTTATGGCCAAGTGTTTATTTACGTTTTGTATGTCGTTATCATCACTTGTAAATGAGAAAAATTAATTTCTATCTTAACCTCAGAATATAATTAAATACTTGTCCTAAATTCCTACAAAGAAAAACACAAAAATGAAAAATATTACATAGGCTTTATAGTGGAATGGTTAGGAGAAAAGTTTCTAGAGTCACTGTTTTTGAATCCCACCTCTACCACCTAGCTGTGCAAATGTAGGCAGATTACTTTATCTCTGAACCTCAGTTTCCTCATCTATAAAAGGAATACAATAGTGTCTATCTCACAGACTGTTGGCTTAATATTATTAAATGAGCTAGCATGTATAAAGTTGCTTAGAAGAGTACCTAATGGATAGCAAGAACTCAGTAAATATTAGCTGGATTATTATCAAACCAACACAGAGGAGTAGAGGATACTCAAAGGCTATGGGACTTCTTCAAGAAAACTATCCAGTTTTATGACTGTTACATAATGGGTGATCAATCTGTGAATGATCTTAGTCTCAATTACCCTATTTTCCAGTCTTGTTTACTTTCCATCCAATTTGAGGTAGAGAAAAGGAGAACCCAATCATTCTTCTTCTACTAAGGCATTAATTTTAGGAAGAAATTTTCTCAAAACACTTTTTGAACATTATAGATTATACAGACTGCAGGGCTGCAGATGCCATAGTATTAATAAACTAGAAATTCTTACATTTCACCTGGCAACTCTAGAAGGAAACTCTAAAGGAGCCCCTATTCTTTTCCCAATGTGCACATATTTTTGGAGGCTGAGGTACAGTATAAAGGACAGTATGTACTTGAGATACCGTGACTTAAAACTGCTTAATATAACACGTTAATAATAAAGCATTTAATGTTCTCCTATTTTAAAAGTAAATTTCCCTGTCTCTTCTTCTTTGCCTCTCTAAGGAAGATGGGAAAAGGAATAGAAGCAGGAAATTCAAGAAGTACATATATGTATTCATAGCTGGCTTTGTAAATTTTTCTTGAGAAATCTTACAGGCAGATATGGAACCCCTTGATTTCATTTTTCTTAGAACTACAAATCAATTTATATACAATATCATACATCTAAGATAAAATCACATGTAGAATAAGTGAACAAAAAAAGTTACAGAAATTGCTCTATTTTAAATTTGGAATTACATCAATATTTTTTATAAAATGTGTGCTGTAGCTAGCATGGTGGCTCACACCTTTATATCCCAGGACTTTGGGAGGCTGAGGCGGGGACTGCTTGTCCCCACGAGTTCATGACCATGAACAACATGGCAAAATCCCACCTCCACAAAAAAATACCAAAATTAGCCAGTCATGGTGGAACATGCCTATGGTCCTAGCTACTCGAGATGCTAAGATAGGAGGATGGCTTGAGCCCAGGAAGTCAAGGCTGCAGTGAGCTGAGATCGTGCCACTGCATTCCAGACTGGGCAACAGAGCAAGATCCTGTCTCAAGGGGGGAAAAAATATGCTGCATATTGCTGAACACCTTTGAGGAGCCTTAGAGTAGTCTTTGTGTTTTTTAGTCTGTTTCACTTGATCAGAGAAAAATATGGAAATCTATGCTACGAAAAAATATCCTACTGTGAATACAGACAGGCATTTCATTGAAACTGTACAATTATTTACAACTAACTTGATAATCCCAAATGAAAACTGTCTACTACACAAAAGAAAACCATTAAAACAGTGCTAACATAAATAGACTTCCTTTTAGAAAAAGAAACTATATTGAAGTTACCAGCAGATCACTTTTAGTTTCCACTGTGTTCTTCCTTTTGGTTATATCACCGACAGGCACCAAGTTGTTACAGAGAAACATACATGCAGAAATCCAATTGCCAAAAAATACTTTGTCGTCTCAATCACTTGGGACTCTGTGTGCCTGATCATATTACAAACTTCTGAAGTTACTCTGTAAGTCTCAAAATGCTAATCAGACTTTCCTATACATGTTTGTGTCTTCTAAAACTAAATTGGTGATTTCAGGTTGGTATGAATTTGCTAAAACATAAAAATCATCTAAAGTTCCCATATTTATTTGTAACAAATACAATTCTTACTGTCTGTGATATGGTTTGGCTGTGTCCCCACCCAAATCTCATCTTGAATTGTAGTTCCCATAATCCCCACATATTGTGGGAGAGATCTGGTGGGAGGTAACTGAATTATTGAGGCAGTTAACTCCATGCTGCTGTTCTTGTGAAAGTGAGTGAGTTCTCATGAGATCTGAGGGTTTTATAAGGGGCTTTTCCCCCTTTTCCTCAGTACATCTCCTTGATGACACCATGTGAAGAAGGGCATGTTTGCTTCCCCTTCTGCCATGATTTTAGGTTTCCTGAGGCCTTTGCAGTCTTGTAGAACTGTTAATCAATTAAACTTCTTTCCTTTATAAATGACTCCATCTCAGATTTGTCTTTTTAGCATCATGAGAATGGACTAATACAGTCTGAGCTAAAGGTTAAAAAATAAAAGCAACTGATTTCTTAAAGTGAAGAAGAAAGTAAAGAAAATTCACCGCGTACAAAGTGATTTACTTGGCCTTTTTTCAAATCACTATGATACAGACTAACATTGGGTCACTGGTAAATTCATTTGAAAAACCACTAGGCTAAGCAAAACAGGTATAGTACTCCTTAGACCAACTATGCACTACTTCAACTTGGGAAAGGGGGGAAGAGAGCATGTTTATGTTAGCTATTCTTGGGTATATTTGTATATACCCAGATATCTAGTGCATCTATGTATGTGTGTGTGCACATGCATGCGTGTATGTATTTATCTCAAATCAAGTTAGTTCAAAGGGCAGAAATGTTGTTTCCTTTTTCAACAGGTAACATATTTACAGACTCCAAAAGAGGTTTTAGTTTTGAGAGTATTTCTAAAGAAACAGCATTGTCATACATTCTGTCCATCCAAAATTAACTAAAAGACTAACATACCAAAGGTGAGAATACAAAAGTTTACACTGAAATGCAATCAACCACGACTGTGTAGTTTTTACTACCTTTAACTCCCATCACCCTACTGAACAAACAGATAACAAAGAGAAGAAAAGCCACACACCTCTCCAAGAAATGTTATGCGCTAATCAAATGTTGAAAGAGAGGAGGAAAAGAGAGGGAAGGCTAGCACAATACCTACTAGCAGGTGGCTAATATCAGTTCCTACAGCACATTTCCAATCTCTTGTATCTGTGTACTTTAAATCCTCAAAACAATCTCAATTCTTATAGTTGGGTTTTTCTTAGATCTTCAACAATTACAATAGCATACCATTATGAACATGAAGACAAGAAATCACTATATCCGAAGGTTAAAAGTAAACTTTAGTCTAACATTGTCTCTTATTTAGTTCATCTCCAACAAACTATGTGCCAAGCATTGTGCTGCATGGTAAAAATATAAAGTAAGTAGCACAGAACACTATGACATGAAGGTTTAGGATCTAGTGGAGAAGACAGACAAATCAAGCAACTGTAATCTGGTATAGTAAGTGCTGAGATACACAGGGACACAAAAAAATGATCTGTTTTAGTCTTAGAATTTTAGTATACATTTCCTGAAAGAACTAACTGATGGCTAAACTGAAACCTAAAAGATGAATGGCAACTGATTTGGAAAAAGTGAGGGACTGAGAAGGAAGGTAAGAAAAATGTTACAGGCAAATGGAAAAAGCACAGGCAAAAAAAAAAAAAAAAATAGTTGACTTATCAAAAGATATGTGACCATAAGAATACCTTACACATTCTTTATAATATACTTTACAAATCTAATTCCCATCAAATAAAATGTAAAGAATATAAGCTTATATATAGACATGTTAACTTACTTGCTGAATACAGACATATTACCTTATGAAATTTCTTTCAGTTCCCCAAACCAAATATGCCTCAAAGAACGTTTTAAAAGTTCAAAATATTCTCAGATCTGTCCTTTCATCCAGTCTCAGCAATAACCCTATGAGAGCACAAGGCAGGGGAGTGGGCATTATCCACTCTGTCCCTCAAAAGTTCTCCACAATATGCCCATTATTCTCCTGTATGTACGCTTACATCCTTAAATAAGTTACAATTTTTCATTCAACGATTTTTGTTAAGCTCCTATTATGTGTTAGGTAATGTTTTAGGCATTAGGTTTCTCCCTTTGTGCTTTCTCAAGGTGTTTCTCCTGTGTAAGTTTTAAAAAAAAAAAAAATAAGGGTGCAATATTACACAATTTATTCAAAGGTCATCCTAAAACGAAGGCATTTTCTACACGCTTTTCCTCAGGATTTTACATTTCTATATTTATTTGTACTCATGGAAATATCAGTTATCAATTGGATCAAATTATAACCTCTACTGACAGTGATCCCCAAACTTCCCTCTTTAAATCTAACTTCCTTCCTAAACTCTAGGCTTAAATTAACAAAGCCCTCCCAAGAATCTTCACCTTAAGGTGAACATATCAAAATCTTACAAAATTAGCAAATACCTCTCCAAACACACACATCCACACACACACACACACACACACACACACACACTCATGCTCACTCCTTTTTATTTTTTTTTGAGACGGAGTTTCGCTCGTTACCCAGGCTGGAGTGCAATGGTGCAATGTCGGCTCACCACAACCTCCGCCTCCTGGGTTCAGGCAATTCTCCTGCCTCAGCCTCGTGAGTAGCTGGGATTACAGGCATGCACCACCATGCCCAGCTAAATTTTTTTTGTATTTTTAGTAGAGACAGGGTTTCACCATGTTGACCAGGATGGTCTCGATCTCCTGACCTCGTGATCCACTCGCCTCGGCCTCCCAAAGTGCTGGGATTACAGGCGTGAGCCACCCCGCCGGCCACTCCTCCTCTTTATTAACGACACCAACATCCTTCCTAGTGTCCAGACCTGAAACTTCAAAAGCAACTTTGATGCCTTCTTGCAGTGTTACTTTATTTTTATGTTTGTGCTTAGTAACTGTATTTTAAAAAATAGGTTTTGATCCACAGTTCCCGGCTTATAACTCCCATAGCCCTTTGTCTTAGTCTGTCTTTGCATTGCTATAAAGAAATACTAAAGAAAAGTGGTTTATTTTGGCTCGTGATTCTACAGACTACAGATGAAGCATGGTGCTAGAATATGCATTTAGTGAGGCCTCAGGAAGCTTTTACTCATGGCAGAAGGCAAAGGGAGAGCTAGCACATCACATAGCCAGAGAGAGTAAGAGAAGAGAGGAGGAGCCAGGCTCCTTTAAACCGGTGGTCCCCAACCTCTGGCACCAGGGACTGCTTTAGTGGAAAACAGTTTTTCCACAGAGAGGGATCAGCAGAGATGATTTCAGGATGAAACCGTTTCACTTCAGATCATTAGGCATTCGACTCTCATAAGGATTGTACAACCTACTCTTACGTGAGTTGTTCAAAATAGGGTTTGCACTCTTGTGAGAATCTAATGCTGCTCCTAACAGAAGGTGGAGCTCAGGCAGTAATGCTCACTTGCCTGCGGCTCACCTCCTGCTGTGTGGCCCAGTTCCGAACAGGCCATAGTCAAGTACCGATCCATGGAGTAGGGGTTGGGGGCACCGCATATTTAAACAGCCAGCTCTCACCTGAACTCATTATCACAGGAAGGGCAGTAAACCATTCATGAGGGATCCACCTCCATGATCCAAATACCTCCCACCCCACCCCACTTCCAACACTAGAGTTCTCATTAAACATTAGATTTGGAGGGAACATACATTCAAACCACATCACCCTTGTTATAGTCTTTTATTATAACGTTCAGTGTGTTAGACCTCAGGAAACAACAACCTTCTCCTGCCCTTCTTTCACCTGCACCAAGGCAGGACTCTAATTTTCCTCCACTTTTCCAATAGTGGGTTTAAGGCTCTCATTTCAGAGAATGTCCTGTGGGGACCTTCCTATTGGGAAAAGTGCTGATGTCATAAAAATTCTGTAAAAAAACTAAAGGACTGGCTTCACAGCTGAACATGTGAAGGTGAACAGGAAGGTGAACAAGAACTCACCCATTTGCTGGGAGGGTGGCACACCTAGCTCCATGGAGACAGAAACATTTGGGACCCTCCTGCATTTGGGACCCTTCCAAAACTTGCCCTATTGCATCCAGACCTTGCCATCTGGCTGTTTACTTGTATCTTTTAACAGATCTTTCTTAATAAACCAGTAAATGTGCTTCCCTGAGTTCTGTGAGTAGCTCTAGTAAATTAATTGAACCCAAAGAGGGGGTTGTAGGAACCCCAACTTGAAGCCATCTGGTAGAAGTTCTAGAGATCCAGACTTACAATCAGTGGGAAGGAGGCCCCAAGTCCCCAAGACTGGGCCACCAAGACTGGGCCCTCAGCCGTTGGGATCGGACACTATCTCTGGATAGTGCTAGAAATGAATTGGAGGCCAACCAGCTGATGTTCACTATAAAACTGGTTGCTTATTTGCCAGGGAGAAATACTGTGTATTTAGACAGAGACGACTTCTGTGTTGATTATGGTGTGTAAATACAGAGGAAAAACAATTTGAGAGTTTTTCCTAAACACTTCTTATCTTCCCAGCTACTGCCAACTTGCACACCACAACTCCAGTATCACTGAAATTATTCTCCAGTTTTCCATTCCTGTATTCATTACTACCCTTCTCCATATCATACTGCTCCAACCCTTCCTACAACTAGGGAAAGATTCATCTCCCTAACAGGTTCTTTCTTCCTAAACCACAGGCTTAATCTTTTCACCCTAATAGCTCATAAGTCTGCAAATGGCAATGCAATAACAAATAAAGCAGAAAGTATTCACCATGGCATTCAAAGGCCACAATGAAAGGCTCCAGCCTCCCTTCCAGCCAAATCAGACTCTACAAATACTACCTTGTTTCACCATGTCTTCTCACAATTCATTCAATTTCTCCTTTGAAAACACTATTATATGTTGAGTTCCAAGGAAAAGTATACTTGCATAAAGCCATTTTTAATCCACTTTAACTGAATACATTATCTCCCTCTGATATGGTTTGGCTCTGTATCCTCACCCAAATCTCATGTTGAACTGTTACTCCCAGAGTTGGGGGAGGACCTGGTGGGAGGTGATTAGATCACAGAGGCAAATTTCCCCTTGCTATTCTCTTGATAGTAAATTCCCACAAGAGCTGATGGTTTAAAAGTGTGTGGCACTACCCCCTTCCCACTCTCTCTCCTGTTACCATGTGAAGATGTTATTGCTTTCCCTTTGCCTTCTGCCATGATTGTAAGTTTTCTGAGGCCTCTCCAGTCATGCCTCCTGTATAGCCTATAGAACTGCGAGTCAATTAAACCTCTTTTCTTCATAAATTACCCAATCTCGGGTAGTTCTTTGTAGCAGTGTGAGAATAGGATAATACAGAAAACCAGTACCAGAGAAGTGTGGCACTGGTA